TTGGTTATCTCGCTTTCCTCAATGATTGTCGAGCAATGTCCCTTTATTAATCGCATCCGCTCTATGAATTGGTAGGCGGTCTCCTCCGGCATTTGCCTAATCTCCAGAAGGTCTGTGAGTGAGACTGTTGGAAGAAGAATAAAGAACCCTGCATGAAAGGCAGCTTCCAAACCTTCCCAGGTTTGTATTTGTCCAGGTGGTAGATCGACAAACCACGAAAAAGTTGTTCTGGTAAGAGACAAACCAAATAGTTGCAGTTTATAAAAAGGTTTATTACCGACCTCTCCTAACTGTGCTGTGAATCGACCAACATGCTCTATAGTGGAGGATCCGTCTTCTCCTGAGAAAACATGAAAATTTGGCGGTCGATAATTCCTCAGGAGAGGATACTCATTGATGATTCTTTCTAGAAATGGCCTTTGATACGCCGGTCGGTTGGGGAATCTCCCCTGTATTTGGCATGACAGGTGGTGAAATATTTCTTTCAAGAAAACGTTTCAGAACCGTCGCCTGGTTGGTTACAGCAACCGCCCACTAATTCCTCCTTTATTGACATGTGTTTTTAACCGTCTCGCCAAACGCTGCCACCAGTTCCAGAACTTAACTGGCCCGACCGACCATTCCAGAGACTAACTGTTCGCTAGACCAAACGATTTATTGGTCGCCCCATCAAGCGACCAGCATTTGATCTCTCCAGACAATTCAATGGTCGCCCCAACAAGCGCCCAACATTTGATCTCTCCAGACGATTCAATGGTCTCCCCAACCAAGCGACTGAACTACTGTTCATTTAATTAGGCGATTGATTAACAGACCTTTGATTGGTCCAAACTCCGTATTGGCCGACTTAATCAATGGCAGACCAACCGACTGCAAACCATCTCATCCGACTGCAGACCTTCCGACCTGCCTATCCGACCGCGAACCAACCGACCGTGGACCAACCGACCTGCTTATTCGACTGCGGACCAATCGACCGGACCAATCGACCGTGGACCAACCGACCTGCTTATCCGACTGCGGACCAACCGACCTAAGTTCATATTTCTCATTTTCTGATCGACTTCGTGTCCTAACTTCCTTTAAGATCATATTATTATTATTATTATTATTATTATTATTATTTTGTGCGTAACACAAATTAAATAATTTTTTGTTATATTATCGTGTTATGTTAGTTTTTATTGGTTTGAGCGTAAATTAGATTGAATTATTTAAAATTGAACTTAGTTTAAATTAATTTATGAGAAAATTATTAAATTATAATTATTTTACATATATAATATATATTAATCAATATTAATATATTATAATCGGGTTGTTGTGTCGGGTTCGAGTTGAGAGTTTCAACCCTAACCCGACCGTTTACTATCGTGTCGGGTTCGTGTCAACCCGTATACATAATCGGGTTGAAATATTTAACACAAACTCAATTATTTCGTATCGGGTCGTATCGGGTCAGTTTTTACCAGTTCTAAATAGTACAATATTTTTTTATTAAAAAAAATTACAGAATAAATAGCATTAAATCACATTGTATATTTATACTCTTTGTATAAATAGCTCTAAATCACAATATATAGGACGGAGGGAGTATAATAAGAGATGTAAATCACATTTTATATTTATACTCTATATTATTTTATTTTTTTTATAATTTGAGAATTTGAAGCCGCTATTCGAAAGTGTGCATCAGGTAAACTTTCAGTTGAGCCTAATACCCGAAAATACTCTTTATTTATAATATTACTAATGGTTCTTCAAATCTTTAAAAATAATTTTCTTATATTTTTTATTAGTAAAATATTTAAATATTATGTTATGTTTTATTAAGAATAATCTGGTGGTGTGGCAAATTGACCTGAAAAAATAGAATATGTATATCAAATTAAAATTTAATTAATATAACAAAATAAATAAAAATACTCATTTATTTATTCATACAAGATCCACATTAATTATTTTTTATTTTTTTAATGTCTATTAACTGTTCAACAACTAGTTAATTATTTTTTAAATATACAAATATTATCAACATACATAATATAAAATGGAAAAAGAAATTAAAAAACAATATACTGTATAACACGAAGTTGGGCATAATTCAATAATATTCAACATTACTTATTTATTCGTTCTAAAAAGATATTTTAAAATGGGCTAATGGCCTATAGCTTATCTAAACTTATTAAACAGGCGGCTGCTAATTAATAAGCCTAAATTTACATATTATATGTAGTATTAAATTTAAAATGGTATTAATCTATTTTTATTTTATTTTTTGACCATCTAACCAATTTTTTTAATAAAATAATAATTAATACTCTTTTCTCTTCCAAAAGTACAGTTTTGTTGTGTTGGATACAACTTTGGTAAAAAGTAAGGATAAATAATTTTTTTTGTCCATGTGAGTATATTAGTGTAAAAAGTAGTTGTAATTATATAATAATAATAATAAAAAAGTACATAATTTTATGGTGATATGGTTATTTATGGAAATGAGACTATTATTTTGGGACGAAAAAAATAGTAAATAAGACTATTGTATTGGGATAGAGAGAGTATATCATGTCATGATTTAAAATCCAAACTTAACTATATTATATTAAATTATTATTATTTTTTCTTTATTTATGTTGTTACAAATTTGAGAGTTGAGTGTGAGATTTTGAATAATAAAATTTTAAAATTTGATGTAATATAAATAGATATTTTCGTGATATTTTTAAATATTAAATTAATTGTTACTATAATATAAAAATGAAAATTTATTTGTTTGTATTTTAATTTTAGATATTTGTATGTTAGCCATGATAAACGTGTTAACAATATAAAAATAATTTTTTTTTTGTTAAAATGTTAAATTTTATAAGATTGTAGAATATATATTGTGTTGATGTGTATATTTTGTTTTTTTTTTTTATTAAAAATAATCACAGAATGTATCAAAAAAATTCGTTGGGATGTTTAATTTAATATTTTGGATAGGGAAATCAATAAATAATGAGATGTAAATTTATATTTTATTTATTAAAAAAGAGAGAGATTACAGATATTTTGAAATTTAAATATAATTACTTTCACTATAAATAATAATAATAATAATAATAATAATAATAAAAAAGATAGTAGAAGAAATAAAAATAATATATTGAATTTGGACAAAAAAATATTATTTATTAATTTAAATAATAAAATATAAGGCATATACACAAAATTCTTCTCACTTATTTTCTATTTTGATGATTATTTTCTTACTCAATCCCTATATATCTAAAAAGATTATTATACGTTTATTTAATATCTTTCGCTTTTTTCTTTATACTTAAATGGAAAATTTATATTTCTATATTATATTTAATTGTTTACTATGAAAAAAATAATAATAATAACAACAATAACTAATAAGGATAATAGCCACTTAAGGAAAAACAGCCACCATAATAAACATAAATTTACAATAATTTAGAAAAAAAAAAAAATTATAATAATACAAAATAAATAAAAATACACATTGTTCATGTATCATATTACACAATAAGTCAGTTGATTTAATAACAAAAATTCATACCATAACAAGTAAAAAGAATTGCGCGCAACTCTTAAACCGTAGTACAAAATATACTTATAAAGAAAAAAGAAAATACTTCTAAAGAAAGAAACATCGGTCACAATCAAATAAAATATGTACAAAATAATAAATCAATATTTCAAATATCTTAGACATTTGTGTCAACGTTGGCAATTGAATGGAAGTTCAACATCAGTTGTCATAAAAAAAAAAAAAAAAAAATTGTGAGGAAATATAAAAAGAAATGTAAAATAATAGTCTCATTTCTATTTTTAATAGTTTTGATGGTAGAATAAAAAAAAAATTGTGAGAAAATACTTATAATAGTTTTGATGGTAGAATAAGATATTTATAAATGAATTTTATAAATAGGGAGTTGTACTTATGAAATAAAAAGGGGTGAGGAAAAAAAAATTGTAAATAAGGATTTGTAAAGAAAATAAATTAAGAGTTGAGGACTTCAAAAAAATTAACCGAAATGGGTGCATGTATATAGACAAAAAAAAAAAATATAAAAAAAAGGACGGATAGGTATTAAATAAGAATATAAATAGGCAGAGGTTGCTATGATAGATTACCGAACTTTTGGGGGTCAAAATTCAATCCGTAAAAATATAGTAGCAGCAGCAATATATATAGCTATAAATGATTTATTCTTTTTAGCATTTTAAATTAAAGATAATATAATAGTGACATTTTTGTATGTTATTTTTTTTTTTTACTATACTTTAATATAATATTAATATTCACAAATTTGTAAAAAGTAAATATTTACAGGGTGTGTTTGTATGTGTATTTAAGTTTTTAGTTTAAATTTTTAAATAGTAAAAAATTGTATATTAATAGGTATTGATGTGATATAAATAGATATTCATGTGATATTTTGAATGCAAAATAAATTTATAGTATCATACCTCATTTGTTTAAAAAATAATAGTCTCATTTCATTTTTGGTATTAAGCTCTCCACATTTTTACAAAACTATTATTATTTTTTCACAATAATTATATAAAATAGGAACATTTTGGTCTTTTACCAACACTCTTGCTTCCACTGTCAATATAATACTATTAATATACATGTTTTGCTACGGAGTAGTATAAAAAATGAAAAGTAAACAATTGATTTGATATTTTTGGAGAATAAAAAAATCTAAATATCAAAAACTTTTGCTAAAACCACAAAAGAATACAAACATAATTTTTCTTACAATATATTATATCAAAAATATTTATTTAAATAAAAAACTTGAATCAATACCTCTTTTCACAAATCATTTTTTTTTAAAAAAAAAAAACAAAACCCAAAAACTTACCTATGCATAGACACACCCCACGCCAATCCATACCGAACCATACTTGTAATGGATAATATATGTATATATATATATATGTAAGAATGTATAGAAATTATAGATACAGCAACGGCGATGGCAATGGTGGAGAAAGAAGATAACAAGTCCTCCGCCGTTCACCGGGCACGCTTCGCCGCCGCGTTGGCCGCCGTCTTCGCCGCCGTAGCGAAATCCATTCTATTAATCAATACTCCACAGGCTTTGCTCCGCACCACGCTGGCGTCGCTCATCGGTTACCTGGCGGCGGACCTCGGGTCCGGGATCTACCACTGGGCCGTCGACAACTACGGCAGCTCCGGGACCCCAATTTTCGGTGGCCAAATCGAGATTTTCCGGGCCCACCACCGGCAGCCATCGGCGGTCACCAGATACGACACTGCCCGCCTGGTTCACATCATGGCGGTGATTGTGACCGTCGTGGTGACGCCGGTGGCGGCGGCGGCGCGTGATCCGGCGGTGCTGGGGTTCTTCGGTTGGTTCGGCGGGTTCGCCATGTTCGCCCTGAAGATCCACGCCTGGGCGCACATGGCGGAGGGGAATATTCCGGCGGGCGTGGCGGCGCTTCAGGAGGCCGGAATTATTTTGCGGCCGTCGTGGCACGCGGCGCACCACCGGGCGCCGTTCGACGGCACTTACTGCAGCGTGAGTGGTTGGTGCAACCCTGTTCTGGATAAGCTTAAAGTATTTGCGTCCATGGAGGTGCTTCTGTTCCACGTCGCCGGAGTTAGGCCGCAGAGCTGGGCCCACAGCAAAGTCCGGCGGGATTCCGGTGAGTCAGCAATCAAGGGAGCTACCTGAGGCTGAGGATTTAACATCTATTAAATAAGGACAAGAATATATCAAAGAATAATATTGAAACAGATTTGTATGAACATATTAATATATTAATTGGTGTGATTGAGCCATGCATATTTGTTTAATATAATAACACTATTTACCTTTGTTTTAACAATTGTTTTTTAATTGTTTACTCGATTATTATTATTATTATTATTATTAACATTTTTTTTGTTTTTTTAAAGGATTGTATTAAATCTACTTTTTAAACAAAAATTCATGAGAGAATTTATACTGTATTTTTATTAGGTAAAAGTAAATATAACATGTATCCCTAGCAGGATATCATTACTCTTATTTTATTAGGTAGAAGTACATATAACATGTGACCTCTTTATAAATTTAGTTTGCAGGTATTAAGTTTGATTAGGGTTTATTCAGTGCATACTATCGGTAAGATTGCGGATTTTTACGTCATAAAAAAAATAAAAAAAAATAAAAAAAGTACATATAACATGTTGTCCTCGTTTGTAGGTGATTTGACTGACTTCACAGAATTTTGTTTTAGATTAATAGACCCATCATTAATCTGTCATTCAAAATAAATTATTATTTGAGAAAAACTAATACAAGTAAGTATTAAAATATTTATTTTTATTATCTTTTAAAAATACTATACGATTTTATAACTTTTGCAAAAGAAAATAAAATTAAAATTATTTTTATATTATTCTTAACTATAGGCAGCGAATTGTAAATCCAACTTTTACAAAAGAAAATAAAATTAAAATTATTTTTACATTATTCTTAACTATAGGCAGCGATTGTAAATCCAACGGAGGGAGTGTATTTTAACTAATAAAAGTGGTTCCGTTACACTATATTTTTAGATAAAATTATTATTTTTTATGTATGGTGTGAGAAATTATAAAAAATATAAAATATATTACTATTTCTGTTTCATAAAATAGGAATATTTGCTTTATGTATATAATTTTTTTAATATTAATATTATATTGATTTATATTTTAAAAAAATAAAAATATTTATTTGTATAAGATATTGAAAGTAGTAAGAGATAGATAATATAGATTAGGAAGTGATACTTGTTTTGAATGGAAATAAAATGAAAAATAATATCCTTCTGGATGAAAAGAATATTAATATTTGATTTTTTAATTTTTTATAATGAATATGTAAAATTTTTTGTAATTTTGATTTTTTTATATAGAGTATTTTACATTTATTATTATTATTTTTGAAAAATTACAATTAAAAAGTAGTATTGAAAAAACATAGCAAGAATATATATTGTAAATTAGCAAAAGATTTGAAAGCAAATACATTTATATATGTATGTATATTTCCTTGTCACCCAATTTTCTTTTTTATTTTTTTTTTATTATCATATAAATTTAGTCTCATTTTTTAGTAGAAAAAAAATACTACAGTATTTTCTTTACTTTAAAAACAAAAAATTACTGTAGTATATTTTTACTTATTTTACCCCTTTATATTTTTTTGTGTTTGGATATTTTTACTCTCCATTGAAACCCTAGACAGCAAATTGAAATGAAAGATTTCGATTTGGCCGCCACACTTGACAGAGCTACATAAGAACCCTACTGGCTACTCCACTTCGCCCCACTTTTCCACAATCTGCATCGTCGTCGCCTCTCTGTAGTGACCTCCCCCGAGGGTTTGTATATTTTCGTCTCTAGAGGTTCGAAATTCGATTTGTCGCACCCGCCCACCTCCAGTCGTCCCCGATCCACCTCCAATCAATGGCTGCTCCGGCGGTGGCGAAGCCTAAATCGACGGAGACCTTCGTCGACAACAAGCGGAAAGACGACATCCGCATGGCCAACATAGCGGCTGCGCAGTCGGTGGCGGACGCTGTCCGTACAAGCCTGGGTCCCAAAGGAATGGACAAGATGATCTCCACTGCTTCCGGCGAGGTCATCATTACCAACGACGGCGCCACCATTCTCAACAAAATGGAAGTCCTCCAGCCCGCGGCCAAGTTCCTCGTCGAGCTTTCCAAATCGCAGGACATCGTCGCGGGAGATGGCACCACCACTGTCGTCGTCATTGCTGGAGCACTTCTAAAAGCTTCACTCACCCTCCTGGCCTCGGGCATACACCCTACTATCGTGTCCGATTCTCTCCACAAGACGTCCAACAAAGCTGTTGAGATCTTATCTGCTATGGCGGTGCCTGTGGAATTATCAGATCGGGACTCCCTCGTTAAATCTGCTTCGACATCTCTCAATTCGAAGGTAGTCTCCCAATACTCCACTCTTTTAGCTCCTTTAGCTGTAGACGCTGTGCTTTCTGTGGTGGATCCCAATAAGCCTGATTTAGTGGATTTGAGGGACATTAAAATTGTGAAGAAATTAGGAGGGACTGTAGATGATACCGAATTGATAAAAGGGCTGGTCTTTGATAAGAAGGTGAGTCATGCTGCTGGAGGGCCAACTAGAGTCGAAAATGCTAAGATTGGTGTGATACAGTTTCAGATTTCTCCTCCTAAAACAGACATAGAACAGAGCATCGTGGTATCTGATTATTCACAGATGGATAGGATTTTGAAAGAAGAGAGAAACTATATATTAGGGATGATTAAGAAGATCAAGGCCACGGGTTGTAATGTCTTGTTGATTCAGAAGAGTATCTTGAGGGATGCTGTAACAGACTTGTCTTTGCATTATTTGGCCAAAGCTAAGATTTTAGTCATTAAAGATGTTGAGAGGGATGAGATTGAATTCATTACCAAGACTTTGAACTGCTTGCCAATTGCAAACATTGAGCATTTCCGTGCTGAGAAGTTAGGGCATGCAGATCTGGTGGAAGAATTGTCGCTCGGAGATGGTGGGAAGATTGTGAAAATTACTGGCATTAAGGAGATGGGGAGGACTACCAGTGTGCTTGTCCGTGGTTCAAACCAATTGGTGATTGATGAGGCGGATAGGAGTCTGCACGATGCTCTGTGTGTGGTGAGGTGTTTGGTTAGCAAGAAGTTTCTGATTGCTGGCGGTGGGGCTCCTGAGATTGAATTATCAAGACAGTTGGGTGCATGGGCGAAGGTCCTTCAGGGCATGGAAGGGTACTGTGTGAAAGCATTTGCTGAAGCGCTTGAGGTCATTCCCTACACTTTGGCTGAAAATGCAGGGTTGAACCCAATTTCCATTGTCACCGAGTTAAGGAATAGGCATGCACAAGGCGAGATCAATGCTGGGATCAATGTGAGGAAGGGACAAATCACTAACATTTTGGAGGAGAATGTGGTGCAGCCCTTGCTGGTTAGTACAAGTGCAATTACCTTGGCCATAGAGTGTGTCCGAATGATCTTGAAGATTGATGACATTGTTACTGTGAGGTAGAGTGATCATTTAACTAACTATTATTGGTTTTGGCTGTAGGGAAACATGTTACTTCATATTGTCATTGCATTTCGGTGTGCTTGCTACTAGATGATGTTCTGCCTTGTGTTTTGGGTTAATTTTGAATTGGACTTGTTTATTTTCTGATATCTGTTATTAGATGATTCTCTGTCTTGTCTTTTGGGCTATTTTGAACTGAAGTTGTTTATTTTCTGCCGCCAGCTGTTAGCATCTCTAATTGGTGTTTAATCTCATTTAGATGATATGAGATGTTTTGAAGACAAGCCGATACTTGTGATATTCAAACCATCTTGAGGCCTTGTGATACTGTTGGATTTAGGAGTATGTTGCAATCAAAGTAACACCATTACCAGATTTTTGTAAAGAGGCTAAACTGTTCATGCTTTGGAACTTGTTTGGTGGCTGGTGCTGCACCTGAAACATACATATGAAGGTCTTTATCTTATACAAACCGTAGCCAAAACACATCATAGTAGGGGCATATAAGCACTGTGGGTACAAATGTACAAGAATCCTCCTTCATGGAGCTATAAGAACCTTCCACCCTCAACCTCCAATCTGCGTTGCCTCTTTGCCTTGGTGGTAAGATCCACCAAAATTTTGTATTGTTTTTTTTTTTTTTTTTTTTCTATAGATTTGGAGTTTGTCTTTTTTCACTGTCGATGGTTATTCTGTTTATACGTGTCTCTATTCTGTAGATTTGTGAATTGCAGAATTGTGTTTTATGGTGTTGTGGTATCTAATTCCTGTGATGAACATTTAATAAAAATGAAAGTAGTGGCCTGATTTTCGTTGATGATGATCTTGTTCTGAGGGATTGTACCACTGTTTAGATTTCATGATGTTTGGCTGGGTTTGATTTTTTTGTTTTTTGTTAACCACTGATGCCTGACAATTGTGCATTTTGTTTTGTGTTTTAGTTTGAATGGTTGAACCTTTTGAGGTTCCATAGACTACAGTAATGCATCCCTGTGATGATGTTTTTCACAATATTAACGTTAAAAGTAGACTGAAATTGTTTGATGATAAATTGCTTCTGAGGGATGCGTTATATTGATTCTTTGGGTAAGTAAAAAAAATGTCTCAGGATTACCTAATTAAGAGAATTGAAGCGATTCCTATTGATTAGCTCTGTGTTTAGGGCGATGCATGTGATAGGAGTATCATTCGGTGTTGTTTAAGACACTGCTATTTTTATTAATATCTAGAGAGTTTGCTTAATAAAATGACTAGTAATCATGTTGGTCATTCATTTTGTTGGAGGCTACATTTACATATGGAAAATTAGTTCATAGTTTGACTGCTTTGATTGTATTTAACTTTTTGGCTTTTGCTTGATTCGAGTAAAATAATTTTTCCCCCTTAGTCATTCACTTATTCTTTGATTGTACAGTTAGATTTCTTTGTAGCTGCTATAAAAAATTTAAACTAAATCAACGGATGCTCTAAGTATTATCATCTGCATTAGTGGCTCTTATGGAGGGTTTTGAAGCTGTTATAAGCTTAATTAGAATAATATCAAGAGAGCTGAATACAGGGCTGCTGTTATTAGCAGATTTTGTGACAAACTAAGTAATTATCATAAGGTGATTTCTAGTGTGATACTGGTGATTTATATATATCTTGTTACTGCAATCCTTATCCTTCCACTTGTAATATTTGGTAATATAGATATCATTGTTGCTCTTGCACAGATGGTTGGTTATCTTCTCTTCACTCATTGCTCTTCTTGTATATTGGTAATTAAGTACTTTAACGGGTGCTTTTGTAAGTGCAATTTTTGCTTCTTTTCCCATGTAAAATCCAGCATTTTTCTAAGCCAGAAAATGAGTCTTGATCAGCCATTGTTGCCAATCCAATTTTCTTCTGAATGTTACATATGAATTCTGCATAAAGTTAATAAATTGGCATAAAATATCGGCAATTGAAAAACACAGGCATAAAATATATGTTACCAATTCCAAATTCAAAAAATTGAAGACACAGCAATTGTAGACTACCACAAAACAAAATTCTCAAACACATAAATCTTGAAGCAAAATGAAATACGTACACAAGATAGAGAAAGATAGACAGATTGAAGAAGAAGAAGAAGAAATCCCATGTTGCACTTGCAGACATATATAACTGCCTGCCTACTTACATCCAAATCAAAGCAAGTTTGTTGAGAACAACAATGGCTGCTTCACTACTTCCCAAGATGTTGCAGATCGATTTCCCAGCCCGACGCCAACTGCATCACCGTCTGCTCGGGCCCCGGCCCTTCCCAGTCCTCCGGTAACTCCAACGACGAGCAAGCGTCGTGTAAATTCACTATTATCTCTCGTCTAACTTCCGTAGGAATCTCAAGAACATCGGGACCATTCTCCACGACTATATCCGCCAACTGCGGTCAGAAATCGATACAAACACATCACAAAGGCTTTCATTCCATCGAACACAAAGGCTATTAGCAATTTACATAACAAAAACATACCTGTTGAAGCCAGTATAAACACATGTCACTGAAATTCTGTCCCGTCAGCAACTGCCCAACGACTTGCAAAACCTCATTAGCCACCTCAGTCGAGAGCTGATCGATCACAGGGCCCGTTCTATCCATCAGTTTCACAAGCAACAGATCGTCTCCTGTACACAAAACCTCGGCAAAAGCAGAATCCATATCGCCGACATGAAGTGCATCCATCGCATTGCTCCACGAAGTCCAAACCGGATCTCTCTCCGGAACCGCTCCATCTTCTCCCAACGCTTCGGCCGTCATTTCAGGTACAGCTGCCCTGGCACTTCGAGCAACGCCATTGTCCTCACCAGCCACTCGAATGGCTTCCAATGTCGCCTCGTCCTTAGAAGCTTGCCAGACACTTCTAGCAGAGGGTCCCTCGCCAAATCGAACAGGTGCCGATCCCTTTTCCCAACCTTTCCTGCTCCCGGCCTGATTAGCTTCACTTTCAGACGTTCCCGGCCTGATATCGATATTTCCTCCACCTCCTGCTCTCCTCGAGCCAATTTGAGCATGTTTAGAATAGCCCGTCACATCCCAAGCATCCACCGCCTCAGATCGCCAAGACGGGACCCTACTCCTCATTCTTGAAGCGACGCCTTCAAATGCGCCGTACCTCTCTCCAAAGAGAGGGCGGCCGTCATTTCCGCTCCCCAATTTGCTGTTTGAATAGTCCTGGAAACCGTACTTGGTGGAATGTCTGTTCATTGATCCCTCGAATCCAGCCATCGTGTTAATCCCCCTCCGACCTGTTGATACAGACAGATTTCTAGCCATGTCTTCGACAACTCTCTCGAGCCCCAGTACCCGGCTCTCGAGGGTCACCATGCTGTCATGAGAACCGCCCATGAAATCCTGCAGTGAGATTAATTGTAGTCAGTCGATATCGTCATCACTGTCATGAATAATTGCAAACAAGATGAATCGAACCTGCAGCATATTCATTAGATGAGCTTGTTGCCTCTCCAGTTGCAATAATTGACGCTGAATAGACAAGCTGTTCCCTTTGTTATTCAATAATCCATCAGATAAACCGACATTTCTAGAAGAATCTCCATAAATGGCGGATGAATCTCTCTGATTAGGATCGTTCCTCTCGGCAACGCTTCCACTTTCATATTTTGCCTTGAAGAATGCTCGAGCCTGGCTATTGATCATGGACCTCGTACTCGGATCAGGATTATCTGAATCGGGGTTTTCGTCACTTTGTGAGTTGGAAGCACTGGCATGTCGACGAGGTACAACTACCTCTACAGGCAAATCACCTGAACCCCTTGTTTCGAGTTTCTGGAAGAACTCAGGGTTCCGTTCTTTGTCAGACAACGCTGGAACCTTCTTCCTTGCTGAGCCGATCGCCTTCTCAGAATTGTTGTTTGCATTGCCTTTGGAACTTGAATCAGGTGGAGAAAATCCATTAGATGAAGTCTTCGTAGATTTTTCACTTCCTCCCACACCAAGACTAGATTGATCCTTCTTATTCGGCGAGTCTGCAAATTCAGAAGCCTCAAAATCTGATGAAAGAAACAGTAAATGACATAGTATAAGCAATAAGTAACCAACGAATAGAAGTCCTAATAACGAATATCCAAAAATTTTACCATGGGACATGGCTTTAAGTTCATCCGAAGATCCATCCCCTTTTCCAGCAATTTTCTTCCAGAGCTGCAATGCCTCTGTCATACTTTCTCTCACAGGTTTTATCTAGAAGAACATCAAACATTATTCATTTAGAACTGGTCATCTAAGAAGTAGTCAAAAATATATGCAGCTAAGTTCAATTGAATTTATGCACCCCCAGAGTTAAGTTCTAAACTTTCTTATGGTATGAGGTGCAGCCATGCTTGCCGTAATGATCATTCATTTTCTCAAATCATTATCTTTATGTGACAATGCAACAAAACCTTTTCAACTAAAAAAACTTTAGCAAGTTCAAACACTACTTTACGCTGTTCATCAAGAAACCATATGAAAATTACGCATCGAGTAAGATACCAGGCATTTGGTGTAGTAAATAGCAGAGAGTCAAGTTATATAAACTTCAGAAGTGTGTCGTATTTATACACACCTTGTCAAATCGACAAGTCTCAAGCACATTTAATGTGGTGGTAGCTTTATCTGAAGTTATACAGCCGGTGTTCAAAGCTAAGGCACTTAATGCATCAGCAGCAGCCTTCCGAGTGGCCCAATCTGAACTACCAAGATACTCATGAATACTCGGCAACAATTGATCCAAATTTTGCGGCGCAATTGCCCCAACCTGAAATAAAAGTAGGATATAACGATTATACTGAAAAACACAAGGAATTGCACTTTAGTGTTTATCGTGGCCGTAAAATTCGATGGCAAATATTGAAGACCTAAACCAGTTGATTGGTGTGTTATAAATAGTAATCGAGCAATGCTGCTGAGATCTTCATTGTACATCATGATAGCTGCGATAACTAATAAAATCGAAGGTTCTTCGAGATGAATCAACCTTTGTGAGGCCATATCAGCCAATCCAGCATTAATTCACAAATCAAAACTCATCAAATACCACATGAACTCATAATACTAATTAAATCTAACAAGAAAAGTTTCAAATATTAATCTCGAAATGGTTAGGGCAGATAAACTCAAACATTAACAAGAACAGCCAATGCAGCAAAGCAGTTATGGAGAAGCGATTAAACCTGAGAAAGGCTGGAGACAACTTGCAGCAGAGAAGCCTTGGCGAAGAAATTAGGATTGTTCAAATACTTGCAGACCCTAGGGCAAAGCTTCTGAAACGTTGCCGGAGGCAGATCAGTAGCACATTCGACCATCTTAGCCATACACATCGACGCACCTGCTTGGGCGGTTTTGTTGTTCTCATTCATCGCCTCAAAAAGGGGCTTAACAAAGAGCGAAACAGCGCCATCTCCGGCGCCACCGCCGCACTTCAAGTACAGCCCCGCCAGGGAGCCAATGGTGTCGCGACACGCGTCCCTAACCTGGGAATCGGAATCCTTGAGCCTCCTGACAATGTGGGAAATAATTTTAGTGAGGTGAGTGGCGGCAGGATCCGTGTGGGCGGCGCAGAGAGCGGCGAGCAGGCGGAGGCTCTCCTTCTTCACGGCGGGCTTGGGGTCATTGACGGCGTCGCAGAGGCAATTCAGGAGCATTGAGATGCCGTCATTTGAGATGGAATGGATTGTCTTCTCGAGGTCCTCCACAGCGATCTGATGCGTGTCGCGGTCGGCGAGCTTGGAGAGGGAATTGAGGATTCGCTGCTTCAATTCGACCATTGCCAGATGGGACGAGAGAGACGAAGCTGAAGAAGACGAAGATCTCGAAGGGGTTGTTTGGCTGGGGCTTTTTGTGGGTTTTGCAGATCTCTGAGAACTCATTTCGATGGGGTCAATCTCAAATGCAATGCCAGTAACTTCTTATATCGATCAGGCACCCAATGCTAACAAAATTTATTTTGAATTTAAAAAAGTTGGGGGTGTGGGTAATTTTCCTTTGAACGAAAGGGTGCAAGATTTTTTATGAAAGGAAGACTACGAAGAAGTTCACATTGAAAGCAAAGCTGGGTAGGGAGATGAAGTAGGATTGAAAAGACAAATCAGATCTGTAGTCTCTCCACCGGAAGTTAAAAAATTTATCAGAGCCAGGTTTCGATCCTGGGACCTGTGGGTTATGGGCCCACCACGCTTCCGCTGCGCCACTCTGATTTTTGTTGATATCATCAATTATATAAGATAATATACATTTAATTTGAAGATAATATAAAGAAAAAATATTTAGAAGTAATCAAACCTGAATATCTGAAACTATCTATCCATTCATCGGAAAATTAACCACAACGATGGCGTCGGCAGCTCCATCTATTCTCCGCCTGAGAATGTCCGTTAAATTCGCGCCGCCGTCTCCACCTCCGATTCTCCCCAAATTAATGTGTCCTTTTCTCGGCAACGGCGGCGCGAGGCGCTGCGCCGCGGCTCGGCTGGGGCCGAGCTGCGGTTCGCGAACCACGTGCTGGTTCCGGTTCGGGAAGAATGGCGTCGACGCGGAAGGCGCCGGAATTTACGGAAGCCAATCTCGGAATGATTTCGACCGCGACGATGTCGAGCAGGTTGTAAGATCATAATGTGGATAAGATTTGACTGATTGATTGATTATTGTCTAACTTTGATGAGTCTGCTTAGTATTTCAACTACATGGGAATGCTGGCTGTGGAGGGATCGTACGACAAGATGGAGGCTCTCCTGAACCAGAACATTCACCCGGTGGATATTCTGCTGCTCATGGCGGCCTCCGAGGGCGACAAGCCGAAGATCGAGGAGCTGCTGAGAGCCGGAGCCGACTACACGGTCGAGGATGCCGAGGGTCGAACTGCGGTCGACAGGGCTGTCAACGACGAGATCAAGGATTTCATCCTCGGCTTCTCTGTTCAGAAGTCGTCGTGATTCTTGGACTGCCTCTCGAGTTGTAATTTCCTTACGGCTTCTCTTTGTTGTAGTAGAACGAACATGCTCACCCCCCTCCCTGTGTTTAATGCTGAATTCAGATTGCATTGTGAATCGATGATTAGCTGTATGAGTAGAATACATACAGAATGGTTTATATGGCAGTGGGTTCTGCCCACTACTGCTTGAAATAGAGCTCGACGAGCTTCTTAAGGGTGTCGAAGACACTAGTGAATGGATTGAGGGCGACGGGGGCTTTAAGTTGTAGATCTGGAAATTGATTGGTGAGAGCTTGTTGCATCCCAGACATGGACATCATTGCAGCGAGCTGACTGTTTGACATCACCTCGCAATCCTGAGGCGTGTCTTTGATTTTGATCGGATCATACCCGAGAGTTGCTAAATAAGACTTGTATTTCTCGATGAATTCTGGCCCCGGGTTTGGCTTCCGGGAGTATATCTGGAACATAGCCATTAATTGGTGAGTAATTTAAACAGAGATGATAGAAATTTCTGATAATGCAAGATCAATAAAATATATATACAGAATGAAGTTTGTCACAAATTTCTTTCCACTCTGAATGAAGGATTTTTGCACAAAACACTGGAAAGATTGAAAGTTTGAAACAATCAAGTGTGAGCAGATGGAGATAGATGCAATAATAGAATACCTGAATAAAACTTTTATCCTTGGCACCTGAAACAAGGGCATAGTTATCATAATCTGTTTCGATTACGTCGTAAGGCTCCTTGGGAATGAATGGCAAAGTAGGGAACCGGAGGTAACACTTCTGTGTGATCTTCTCCTGCTTTTCAAGGTCCGTTTCATTTTTATCTTGATCTTCTTCGGGAAGGCATTGAACCTTACCTCTAATACCTGTGATATAGCCATCCGGTCCACCATGAACACAGAAGGTATCAACTTGGATAGCAGGTGTATCCTGATCGAATGTATAAACTCCCTGCAGTTACATAAAACCAGATAATATGAAAATCGGCACATGTATCAGGCCACATTCAGGTCATAATTGAAATATTTGAACAACTTCGAAAAAGTACTGATTCTTTTATCATCCCCAAATGCCGATGAGTTAATAAAAATCATTCATTTTATCTCTTCGCCCTTTTCCTCCTGGAAATAAATGTGCCATGATCAAGACAAAGCTCAGATCATATTGACAAACCTAAAGTTATCAATATGCATATCAAAACAATGTTCTTAAGCATAGAAATTTGGAAACAGTCAACCGGCTAGACAGTAATCATTTAAGGAAAAAAAACATAAAGCGATCATACAATTCTCCATCGATCCTCAATTTTACCTGAGTGCAGTGGCAATCTTCTTGCCCTTGCCCAGCAAATCCACGTTTTAGAGAAGCAACTTCAAACCACCTTCCAGCATATCTTGATGGATCAAAGTTCTTCGCAGTCATACCTCTCATCATCATCATCATTCCATTTCCTTCATCATTGTCCAAGGGAAGAACCAGCTTTTCATCTGCTGCACTCGCAAGCTGGTATGTATTTTCATGATATATATTTGAAGCAGCAGCCTGCCCAATGGGACTAAATAAGTCCAGAAACATTTAGCTTTCAATGAATTACTTTATCTATTTGCTCATTTGTAAAAGATCAGTGTCAACAAGAAGGGCACTATGATAAAGTTAATGCAACAAAACACATCATGTAGGAGCACAGAAGATTTACTTTCATTGTGGAAAGAGCATTACTGAATTGGAATAACATCCTCTATTGAGAGAAATAAGTGAAGAGATGAAACAACAGTATTGCTCTTCTATACACCTTGAACTTTAGAAAGAATATTCAACTGCCAAAATGCTAAAGATTCTATGATCAAATCATTTAAAGTAACATCTGCCCAGAGAACTAACCAAGTTTGTCTCGGTTAGCAACACTATTGATGCTGCAAGACCTGATATTGCTTGTTTAACACCAAAATTGATCACTATAGAATGCTCACGACGGCAATTGGATATCCCTTTAGCTGGCATTCCCCTAGAGAAAAACCAGGGCATATATAGCAATCTTTTAATAAAGACAGAGGAGAGACAAAAACCAGATAGACCACTCGGCTGTAGAAATTCTTGGAATGGTGGACTTATGCTAATAAAATTATAGAAGTATGATGAACAATCTATGACACAAAATTACATTAGCCTCAAAGCACCAACAAGGAAATAAAAAGATGAGATAATATTTCACGAACCAAAAACCATACAGCACCATTCAATTGGCCCTGCTGCACAATGGCATGCCTAATCGATGAATTATAAAGGGTTCCAAGGAAGAAAGCAGCAAATCACTTCAAATATATTTTTATACCGAAACAATTAGGCTAATATTTCAACAATGATCCAACTGTTTCTGCACAATTTTCAACAACCATATGTTCCCGAAATTTGCCACAACGATCCAACTGAATATAGACACTAAAATCCATTACGGAATAGATGAACAATGCTTCAGGGGATTTGAGATCGGAACTAAACATCTCCATTAAAGCACTTGTAATCGCAATTCGACATCTCAAAAAAAGAAAATACCTGCTCAGGCGCGAATTATGCGATTGAAGCAACAATGGACGCGGTTGAGCTGCCACGAGATTAGTACATTGGTACACCATCTTAGAGATTCTTCCTTCCCTCGGGAGGCTGGAAATGGAGGTGTGAGACAGAATCGAAACTGAAAATCTGATTGGCCTGGCCTGGCCCAGCTCATGTGCTGTGGATAAACCATAAATTAGAGGGATTTAGGTTAAATACTTTAGTGATGAATAGAATCGGAGAAATGACTGAATTTTCAGCGACGACCGTCTTGGAAGAGCTCTTCATTCCTCTGATATTTCAGAAGTTTGAGTATACGACATTTTTTCTTGAGTTGAAAATTAGTGACAAAGGAGTCAATTGGCTTACAGAAATTTAGGGTTATCCAAATTCATCAGGTTCAAAGATATCTTGTCCAACTGAAAATGCAGAGTTAAAATGTGCGAAACAACAGTCAAAAATAATATTCTCCTATTTAAAATATTATACTTTTTTATGTTTATTATATATATATATATATATTTTACATTTTCTATTTGTTTAAAAAGTACGTAGTTTTTATTTGTAATAAATAAATATTATACTCCCTTGGTCCAGATATCATGTCTAAATTGTCGTTTCTGTCCATCCCGTATTGTGTCATTTTCTTATTTTTGGAAAATGATTACACACTTTAATTTTATTTTAAATTTTTAAATTTTATTTTTTTAAATTTTAATTAAACTAATTAATTATTTTAATCTTAATTTATAATTATTTATATTATATTATAATTATTTTCACTAATACATTTTTAATTATCTACTAATTACACACTCGGACGGAGCGAGTACTTATTTATAAAAATTTCATTCTTAACTTATATTAAGAACAGCCAGATTGTGGACGGTAATTTCGATTTCCAATGGAACCTTAATCCCTGTATATTTTGGAGGGAGTAAACCTCTCCCTCGACAGCATTAATGTAATATTTTTAATATAAATTTAATTTTTCATACAATATTCCTATAAAAATAAAAGAATAAATATTTTATTTTGTTTTAATATAAATTTGATTTAAATATTAATTTAATATTATAATTTATAAAAATATATATATTTTTTTATTAAAAATCATAAAAATTGGATAGTATTAATTTTTTATTTGAAATACGAACAAACACACTATTTATATAGTACTTATGAACAATAAAAATTTGTTTGATTTTGATTTGAGTTTAATTTAATATATATTTTTATTAATTTAAAAAATATAAATAAAATACTCCTTCCGTTTCACATACAGTGTCTGCTACACTGTACATACGGTATTATATTAGTGAAAATAATTATCATATAATATAAATAATTATTTAAAATAACTAATTAGTTTAATTAAAATTTTAAAAAAAAATTAAACAGTTTAAAATGAGATTAAAATGTGTAATTATTTTCTTAAAAAAAAGAAAAGTGAGATAGAATGTGGAACGGACAAAAACGACAACGTGGATATAGTATGAGGAACAAAAGGAGTACAACTTAAAGAGTTTGAGTGGAATACACAAACAATATTTGGATGTTTTGTAAAGATATATATATATATAAAATTTTTTAGATATGTGTTTGTAGGTTGTGATCAACACTCTCTACTCGCACAATTATCAATAACAATATTTTATTTTTTATAAAATACATGTATTAAAATTCTATTTAAATCAAAATTCAAATAAATACTTAATTTTAAATGAATTTCAACTATAACTAACGATACGGGTACAAAATCCAAATAATAAAAACAAGTATCAAAATTGGAAAGGAACAAGCCCTTTAACTTCAAATGTATTAAATATGGTGTTATCGTGCAATCCAAAATTTATACTTTATTTACAGCTACATGCAACGTACACTAAAAAACAATATGATGATCTTTTTTTATTATTTAAATAAAAACAAGTAACATAAATAAATAAATAAAAAGAGACACTTACACTAAAAGCCAATACCAAAAGTTACAAATTACACGAATACATAATTGATACTACAAATGTCATCCTAATTATAAGCCTTGTCATTAAACTTTTCTAAGTACCCATCTACCAAATGTCCAAATCTAATAATCACATCCATAATGAATAAATAAATAAATAAATCACAAAATGACAAAACTTGCCACGTCACCATAATTAAATAAATAATAAAATTACAGTAATTTAATTTTACGGGTACGCCCATATCAATCAATAAATCAACTAACTCTGCCGATTTTTCAAATAATAATAAAATAATAAATTACAGGTGGAGTAACTTTCACTCTTTTAATGACAACACGTGTCGGGGTATAAATGTCCACCGTAGACAATTAACACTACACTACATTATCCACAAACTCACCTAATATTACTCACTTATAAATAAAAAAATAATTAAAAAAAAACATTATTTCTTTTTTTTTTCATCATTTCAAATTAACCTCAAATTCAAAGCCAATGGGCTATAAATGATTGCCCTAATTTTTGGAATCAAGTATTAGTTAAATAAGGTTGGTCACTCTTTTTTAATATCTCACCCAACTCCACCATGCATAAGTGAATTGTTACAAATTAAAATATAAATTATTTTATTTAAAAATATGTATCTAAAGGGCCCTTTGATTAAACACCTCCCCTCCCTTTATGTTTGTCATTTAGACAGCTTGCAAATCATGTCTCTCCATTTATTATTTGTTTTCTTGAAATTGTAATAAATATTTTATATATTTAGAACAAAGGGGATCATAGCAAAGTGGGTGTGATGACACATATATATATATATATTCTTGGAAGATAAAAAAGCTTGTGTCTATCTTTTTTATTTTTATTTTTTTTCAATTCCACTTTAAGGAAACCATTTTGATTATCTATTTTAACCAAAAGGGGATTCTTATTCTTCATTCATAAGTCTTTGGACATAAAGCTACAAAATGTTTTCTTTGCAAGACAAGGGATTTCATTGGTTGTGGTTTTTGGGGCAGTTGGGTGAAGGTGTAGGAAATAAAGGGCTTGTTTGTAAATACTTACTTATTAATCACGTCATTAACTTCTTAATTAATCATAATTAATTAATTTCGTAATAATATAAAGTGCAGGAGTACCTAACCGTTGGTTCTTCGGTGAAATCAAGGAAAAAGCCGGCGAAGTGAGTGACCCGTGCGTAAAAAAACCGGTCAAAAACCGGCCCCCCCCCACCCCCACCCCCTACCCACAGCCATAACTGCTCGTGTACTTGTCAATTAATGGCAGCTCCGATGCAGCCAACGAAGAAGAACTATATATAGGGAGGTGGGTGCATATGCAGATAGGTTGATTGATTTGATTAGGTGTGTTTATGGCTACTCAGAAATTCCAGGACCGGACGGGGAAGATGGCGGAGCTCTGCCGGAGAATCGTCCAAATCAACGTCCGGTGGAATTTGGTGGAGAAAGCGCGAGTTATCCGGCGGTTCTTCAGGTTTATTGTCGACCGAGTGTTCGTTTGCTCGGCGAGGATGCCTAATTCGCGCTACAGAAGGTTATCGACTGCAGGAAGGCTGAACTCTGTCTCCCTTCCGCCATTGGAGGACGCGGAGTTCGAGCTCGGAGACAGGGAGGACTTCGCCGAAACGACGACGTCTAGTCGGAGCTACGATAGCGACTCTGATTTAGTCGCCTTGAAAATCAGTTTGCTCGGCGATTGCGAGATTGGGAAAACCACTTTTGTGGTAATTAGTTCAAAATTTTTAGGTTCCTTCCACCAATTTTTCCCCAAATTTATTTGTCCTGTGTATTGATTTCTACTTTTTGACAGATAAAGTATGTTGGAGATGACGAAGAACAGCGAAGCTTGCAGATGAAGGGGCTTAATCTAATGGGGAAAACACTCGACATCAGAGGTGCGAGAATTGCTTTCAGAATATGGGACGTTGGAGGTATAGTTTCCATGGAGTTTGAGTATCCAAATTGTTCTTCCCAAAATTGCTTCAATATGTTGGTCAGTCAATTTTTAGGTGCAATAATTGTTTATCCTCTTCTTCCATCCAAAAATCACACCATTGCAGGTGACAGTAAGTCTCTGGATCAAGTCCCAATCGCCTGCAAAGATGCTGTAGCAATTCTGTTCATGTTTGATCTAACCAGCAGAAGAACTCTCAACAGGTTCTTCACTAACCTCTTCAAATTAAACATGTTCTAGCAAATGATTATGTGAGAATTAATCAATTAGAAGCTAATTGATGCAATCAAACATGTTTATGGAGTTGCAGCATTATTGGGTGGTACACTGAAGCAAGAAAATGGAATCAGGTGCCAAAATTGTACTTTCTTGATCGAAATAATTAATTACTCAATACACTACTTTTGTTGTCTTGAAATTGCATAAAACCTCCATAGAAGAATGTGTTGTTCGTAGACATTATTATATTGGATCCATAGCTTTGGCTTTGTCTGTGGAAGTTCTAAAATGGTGGTTTCCATGAAATTGAATAATACTTGAGCTTTTGTTTGTTTATCTGCAGAGTGCTATTCCGATTCTAATAGGAACCAAATTCGATGACTTTGTCCAACTCCCACCAGACATCCAATGGACTGTCGTCACTCAGGTAATATAAATTTATAAACTATCCCCACCATTAAAATTTCTTGAAAAAGGGAAAAGAAAAGAAAAGAAATTAATATAATCATCATAAATGGCTTCTTGATCTTTTTCTTGGTAGTAGTCATTATCTTAAGAACAAAAATTCTAATACCCTTTATCAGTCAAATCACAATCAGATCAGCATCTTTATCTAAATTTTGACATGATTAGCTCGTTTACTGCTGCATTTGACGTCTGTCTCACGTTTTTTCCCATTTAAGGTTTAATGAACATGATTTAGGAGATGTGACTGCAGATTGTTGGTTGACTTTCTTGATTCTTTGGCATGGCTGCGAATTTATTTCCAGATTTGGTTGTTGCATTAAATGCCCATTTTTTAAATTTCTTGTTGCCAACAATATTAGGATAATTGAGGTTAATTATGTATTGGAAAGGTTTTGGAGCTTTTCCATTGATTTTAAATTAATAAAATATAACTCAATTGATGTGATATAAATAAATATCGGAATAAATTAGCAATATAAAAATATATTTCTATTATTATTTTTTTTCCTAATGTTGATGAATAGTGTAAAAACGTAAATTTGTGTATATTGGGTGGTGATTTCAGGCAAGGGCGTATGCTCGGGCGATGAAAGCGACACTTTTCTTCTCGAGCGCGACACATAACATCAATGTGCACAAAATCTTTAAGTTTATAATGGCGAAGGTCTTCAATTTGCCATGGACACTACACAGAAACTTGACTCTTGGTGAACCTACTATTGACTTCTAATTTTAATTGTTTTTGATGGAGTTTTTCCTTAGTATTAATTGTTGTTTGTAGATATTTAGGTTGTTGCTTTGTTTTTTGTTGTATAGTTGCACTGATCAGTTGCTCGGGTTGTTTAATTTCTTTTGTTTGTCCCAATTAATCGAGGCTTGGAATAGATCATCGAGTTTTTTATCAAAAATATTATTTCTTCTTACAAAATATATGGTAGCGAAACCTTGTTAGCAACCTAAGCCATTATATATATATATATATATTGTTGTTTGGACTTTAAAGTAGTAGTATTATTAAAAAAAAAAAAGAAGAAAGCTTTAAAAAATAAAAAAGAAACAGAGCCTATATTACCTTTTTAAAGAGGGTATTAAAGCAGTTGGTTGACAGGGATTATTTGCTTTTTGGTGTTGATTATTAGATGAAAGTAGAAATTTGTAGCAAATGTGTATACTTTAGGCTTATCTATTTTGACTTTGTATTTGTGTCCGAATTGGATGTAATTTTTTAATGAAAACAAGTTTATAATATATATATATATATATATTTAAGAAAAGCAATAAAGATTGTAGTTTTTTTAAGAACCTAAATAAACTTATTTATTATTATTATTATTTATTTAGTTATTTATTATTATTATTATTATTATTATTATTATTTACTGAAGTGAGGGTTTGTTCACATCGAATTTTGTTTTGTTTTGTTTTATTTATAATTTAAATAGTTGTTGAACCTAATATTTTATAAGAAAATAAATATGTATTTTTATTAAAAAAATAAATAAAATCTTGGTGATTGTATAATAGTTATTACGAAGGAAATTAGTGTGGTGATAAATTGCATAAAAAAAAGACAATAATAGATAATAGTTAACTAATTCTAAAAACTACTAACAGTTTATAATTCTAAAAAAGATTCTTTCAAAGCCTTCTCACATGTTATTTTTATTTAATTACATTAAATGATCATTTTAATTTTATTGTTTTAAAACACTAAATTAGAAAATTATACTTCATCATTTCATTTTCTAATGTCTTAACTATATTTAGACGCATTTGTAGGCCTTTCATTTTCTAATGTCTATAAAATGACAATTTTATTTTTTATTTTATATATAGAAAAAAAAAAACAAAATAAAATAAAAGTAAAAGACTAAATTATGTATATAAAAATAAGAAAATATGCTCGTTACTATTCTACATGTTTAATCAATTTTGTGGAACAAAATTAAATTGTATGCAGTGTCCTCTTTTGAGTTATTCTAAAAGGACATCATGAATTAATATGCTAAAAATTGCAAATAGACAATCAAATCAAATTGATTTGATCATAAAACAACCTTGTTTCTTGTTCTATGTCTAATTATTCTATCTAAAGAGATCCATATACACTATTGTGGCTTATTATATATATATATATATATATATTATATATCGATTCAATTCAAAGCATTGCTTTCCAAACAGCCACAATATGTATATATATTTAGCTTCCAATTCCCTCTAAGAAAGTCTTCATTGTTTTGCCTGTAAACAACAATTAAAACAAAAGTTAAACATAAAAAGTAAAAATCTTTTAGTAATAAAAAGTACTATAAAAGAAAGAAATGATAAACAGAAACATCACCTGGGAATAAAAGAAAGTTCCGAGAATAGCAATGGCAGCTCCAAGGACATTAACAGGTCGCACTGGTGTTCGGAAAATGATGATCGCCGACACAATCACCGATATTCGCTTCATCGTATTCCCGATGCTGAATGTCAAAGGCGATATTTCATCCAACGACATGTACGACACCTGATTGTACAGATGGTAAAATATGCTCTGCGCCGCCATCCACCTACAACCAAACATTTTTCGAAACATTACATAAACTAAGTATAGTTAGTCTCACTTGACCGGCGCGAACAATCCGAGCGATTCCATAATGTAAATTTAACGACAAGGTATCAATGTAAAAATAGGGCCTAAAAAGACAATAGTTAGGGTGCTGATTAGAGCTACTCGACGATTATTATCCCTAATGAACTCACAGTGATAGTACAGACAATATATATTGTATTTAATTTCAACACAAACGAAACATAACATATGACAACAATTGATTTCAGCACATGTTACTTGTTAATACAACACAGTACTCAGATAAAATCTAAAAAGTATTTTTACTTGAAGCTATAATTGAAGCATTTAGACTTCTATAAGAATGATTTGCAAAAGTAGGGGCGTAAAACAACCATTCGATCAAGCAAATTTCTAAACTTTACCAAACATCAAATCCCGTAGAAAACATAGCAAAAACGTGACGAGATTACCATATGATATTTGGTCCAACTTGTGACAGTGCTTGTCTGAATCCAGCAACCCACAATTGTGGTCCCTCGACAGCAACAGCAAACGGGGTGAGAATCAACAGCGACAGCATCGATAAGCAGGCGTAATAGTTCATCCCGTTAACGGATGTCCCCTTCATCCCTTTCTTGGAAAATATATTACGGAACACAAACGCTAAATTCGATATCATAGCCCCCATAAAACCTTAACAAGCAAACAACAAACACACACAATCCACCTACTTCAATGAAATTTCATGTGGCATGTCCAAAGACTCAATAATGTCCAACAAGAACAATAAACCAAAACTATTACCGATCATGTTAAAGTTGAGCTCGGTGAGAGCAGCCAATCCACAACCTCCGATAATAGGGAGAAGCGATAAATAAACCGTGGGCGGGAAAGATTCTCCTAGGATGAATCTCGACACTAGAACACTAAAAGCAGGTTCGCCACTCTTGATTATGTGTGTGAACGAAACGGCTACTTTCGACATGCTCACGGTCGCGGCAACATGCCCGATTGTGTGAGCAATTGCAACCTTAAAAAACACAACCAAACATTATACATAATTCAATACAATGCTGACAACATAAGACCTAAACAGCACAAGCTAGACTACATGTGAATTAGGTTAACATAACACAATACATTAAATTTATACTATAATACTTCCGCCCGTCTACAATCTACCCCAGCCAGCCAATCTAAATATAATTATTATATCAAAATATAATGTAAATCAAATAAAAAATGACAAAAATATTTTTATAAGTATCTTATAATATAAAAAAATTATACAAATATAAAAATATTTTAAATTTTAAAAACAATGGTAGTATATTATCAATATAATATAAAGTATTATTCTTTAATTATCGTGGAACAGAAAAGGGAGTATATTTTTATAAATATCCAATAAATCAGAATTGGGACAATACTAATTAAGAATAATTAATCAATCGATTGAATATATTTTTTTGTTACCGGGAGTAGATTCTTCCAGAAAGCCAGATCGGTCTTCGGAGGTTCTGCAATTTTAAGGGCCCAAGAAATGAGCATGATGAGCGAACCGGCGGCCAACGACAAGGTCGAAGTCAGCCATGGGAAGGGATAAGCATTCAGCACTTTCTTATTGTAAATGTTGAACACAACGTTCAACGCCCACCACGTCGCGAAGTAAATCCCGATCTTCGCTTTCCTCGCCGCCTCCGCCGACGACTCGAATATCGGCTCCGATCGATCGGCGGCCTCATACGCCCGGCGCGACACGCCGGAGAACCGCTCCTCCTTCTTATTAATGTAAAAAACCCGGTTCACCTTCGCGACTTCGACCGGCTTCGAGAAGGAAACAATGCCGCCGCCAAACAGACCCTTAGTCTTGCAGTTACCGGCGGCCGCCGCCGCCGGAACAAGCGAGCGCCGCGCGGCGGCGGATTTCCTCCGCGGACGGAGTAAATTCAGCGGCGGAAAGGGGTGGTTTAGCGAAGAAGCCATTGTTGCAGAACGAAAATTGATTGAAAGGACAACTACGGTTTCAAAGCAGGGGAAATGATTAAAAGTGGAGAATCAAAGGCACCATGTGCGTACGGGTCTGCAAATGTGTAGAGATTAGAGAGGAAAGAAACCCAAAATCAGAAAACAACAAGAAAGCACACCCGATCAGGCAAAATGTACGAAATGGGATTAATTATGAATCCAACAAAAGTAACAGGAGGATTAAAAAGAAAGAAATTCCTTAAATATAATGAGTGAGTGATTGAGATTGAGAATTGGAGTTAAAATTGGAAGAGAATCAAGATCTGGATGAATTTTAAGAGAATAAATAAATTAAATGCAAGTGAATCGGGGTTCGGGAACTCAGAAGAGTGGTGGTGGTGGTGGTTTTGAGCGTAACGTAGTTTCTTTGTATTGGTGAATTAGGGCAGCACAGCAGACCAGCTGCCCTGCCCTGCCCCACCTGCCCTTTTTATGATGCACTGGCGGTCCGATTCTGTTGTTTTTTCATTGCAATTTGCTGAATTTTCGTTCTATTGTGGTAAATATGCAGATCTGGAGTTGAATTGTTGTTTTTCAATAGTAATTATTTATGCTTTTAAAAAATATGTATTATAACCGAGAATTATATATGAAATATTAAACTCATTATTATTATTTTTTTAAGAATCCCAAATATTTTTTTAATAAATAAATAATTTTATTTATATTTTAAAAAAAATTATTTTTTATAAAATTATAAATAAATAAAAATATTTTTTTATTTGTTTGTTTCATATCAAATTTTATTCGCTTTAACACTCGTTCTGTTCAACTAAGTCTATTTTTAAATTGTGATTTCTCAACAATAATGATAAAAATACAAATTATTTTTTATAAAAGTTAAAAATTCAAAATATTCAATTTAAAATAATATATATTATAATTTTTTACACAATTTCTCATATTACATACAAAAAATTAATACATCTAAAAATATTAAATGAACAGACCAATATATATTTATTATTGAGATATAATATTTAAAATATTTAAATTTTTTGTAATCATATATCTTAATTTTTATTTTAAAAATAATAACACCACCGCTTATATAAAAAATATACTATTATAAGTGTTATAATTAACCTATTAAATAATATTTCTAGCTAAAGCAATCATTTGTATAATTTATTTATTTTAATTACGCATGTATATAGGAAATGAGTGTATTCTTTTTTATGAAAAGAAACTCTGTATATATCTTAAAACAAATTAATATATTACACATTTATTATATTAATTATATAATTTTTTATACTTGATATAAAAATTAAATAAATTCCTTCACATTATTTTAGCAAACAAATAAACTCCATAATGTTCAGTGAATGAGTGAAGTGCTTTTTTATACCTTATGATCGTAAAGCGTTATTATTATTTTAATACAATTAAAAAATAATTTTCTATATAATATATGTTTTTTCCATAAAAAGTATCATCCCAAAACCATAGCATACCATTTTCCATTTTAGCAGCACAAGGAACCAACAAAATGCCATACATTACCTGCTAACTTCAAAATCACAATTATGCATGCAACCATCAATAAAAAGAAAAAAGAAAAATACTATCTTCAAGTCGACAAAAGTTTTCCAAATGATCATGTTTTGTGCAGCAACTATGAACACTATCTATATGTCTCCTATGATCTTCCTATAGAGTTCAAATGTATGTTTTCAGATCATTTTGTGTACTAATACTCACCTCCTCCTCCCAGATCCATCGCCAACCGACCATATATCAATACCCCGACTTTCAGGTTCTGTAATTATGGCATCAACACAACAAAAAGAGCAGTTTTACGCGAAAATAAGCGCGCAATTCTCAGAGCCTCTGGGATCAGATTGCAGCTGGTTCACGATCTCCTCGCGGCTCTTGGGATCCAGGAAAGACTTCTTAGACCAAAACAGTCGCATTTTCTCCAATGCGACTGCATTTTTCAGCAAAAACCTGAGAAACCATATTTCTATCTGAGTCCCATCGAAATTCCTGTAATCGATTTTCCTGAGCCTCCCTAAGTTACATTTAGGCGTAAGGTTAACCGTAAAATCCATGTCCTGATGACAAACAATTCCCTGAAAGCCAAAGCAATTACATATTAGCCCAGAGTACCAATATACGATAAGGTTAGGTCTATCAATGTTACCTACCTCACAGAATCGAAAATGCTCTAAATAAGGCAAGAATTGAAGGAACTTTATCAACAGCAGGAGAGAAGTTTTATTGAATTCTCCTTCTAATTCCAAGAGGGTCATGTTCTCGAATATTGGAATATAGTCCGCCGAATTCTCAGCAAGAAAAAGCGACTTAAGCAAAGAATAGCATCGAAGTTAGCGAGCATGACAAGAGAACACCAACAGCAATCAAGAAATTTGCATTTATTAAAAGTGCGTCTATTCAATTAAAAATAAAATAAATAAATGAACTAATGAATAAATGAACTAATGATGTAGTTACCTCTATGGTACCACTGGAAATTCTCAAGCTGCTAACGTTTTTCAATCCCCTAAACAGCTTAAGGGTTCGACACGCAATCTTCAGCTGTGTCCCGCAAAGGTTAGGAATGTGAATTAATGCGAGGGCTGATGAGGAAAGGTCGAAAACATTAATCACATTGGATAAATAGCCACTGTACTTGAAGAATATCAGATTTCGGGCATCAATTCTGATGTCACAGCCACGAAGATCATCAACAGAGCAAAATGGTAAATCATCTATTATCAAGATCTTCAGCGAAGGAATCGTTATCGAGATACTCTTCAGATTTACCCACTCACAATCCAACACTGCCAGCTCTTCCAGAGAAGGACATCCGGAGAATAAGCTCTGCATCATTGTATCGTTCGGAAATGTGACAAGACAAAGCTGCAATTTCCTGAGGAAAGGGAAGGATATGCGCGGAGGCAGCTGAAGGGTACAATTCATTTCCAATTTCATCACTGTTAGCATTTTACTATCGAAAACACATCCAGGAAGCACAAAAGGCTCCTCCACAAAAAGACAGAGAATCAGCTCTTGAATGTTGTGCTTCATTGCAGCTACAATCCATTCGTTGATATGAGATGCATTGAAACAAACACGACAAGATAGACGGAACCTGTTCATGTTCGTCGCATCTCTTTGCAAAAGCACCTTCTCGACGAAATTCATGAAACTCTCAACATTGATCTGATACCAGAGGTCAAGCCGACTCGAATACAGAATAGAATCATCGAAGTCTACTGTGGGAACTGAAGTCCATAAGTACCTCCATCTTTTAGACAATACACATGTTGCCACGGACTCTTTCGTCGGAAGATACGACAGAATGTGATGGAGGATGCAGTCGGGTAGAAGGCCTATTCTGTCACTCTCATCACCTGCCTCAAACCCCTTTTCCATTTCCAAAGTTCCCATTTCACTCCCCTTTGGCAGAGAAAATCAAAACCCTAATAAATTAGTGGCTCAAATGCAATATCATGTATGATCAAATTTAGTTTAAAAAACTTAGTTAACAATCACAAAACTTGGAACCCTAACAATCAACCAAGACATTCAACAGTTGCCTAAAACAAAACCCACCACTACAAACGAACCTTCAGTTTTCCCATTAATCAACTATCAATCGCATAACCTAACGGTTAGGCTACCATTCAATCAAAATCCCAAATCCTCAACCCTAAATTCAAAGATCATAAAAAGCTCATATCGATTCAAAGCGTCATAAAATTCACGACTTGCCTGAATCCGGCGCCTTCCACTCCGTTCGACGCGAAAGAGAATGTCCGACACGCAACAATCACTCATCAGGTTCCATTTCAAACAAGTCGCGGCAGCCCGAATCCGAGAGATCGAAGATAGACGGAGAACGGCCTGTAAGATTAGTACGAGACAATGCCCTGAAGCAGCAGAAACAAACTCGGCAGTTGCACTTAGGGTCGAACACAATCAGGGGGCGGACACCAATTGCTCCGAGGGATTCCAAACTTGTACAGCGTAACTGGAATGGCGGACGCGGTGGCACAATCTAGACCGTCCACTATCGCCTGTTCTCTGTTTGTATGATCCGACGGCTTTTGGTGTGCTTTTGGGAGATTTTTTATTTTCTCAACCAAACAAGATGGACCAAATGGAATTTAGATATTTTAGGATATTTTTGGTATGTGAGATCTTATTAAAATTTAAATTAAAATAATTAATTAGTTTAATTAAAATTAAAAAATTTAATATAAAATTAAATTGTATAATATTTTTTTAAAAAAGTAATATAAATGAAACGGACGAAAATAAAAAGACGGACACGATAAATCAGACGGGGATAGTAATAATAATTTTTAAAATTTTAAGTAATACTATTAAAAGTAATATTTCCTCCGTCTCATAACAAAATATTCATTTCTCCATTTTATTCCGTCCCATAACAAAGTATCCATTTTTTTAGTAAATGTATTATCTACCAACATTACAAATATCTTTACAGCTTATAATATATTACACAAATGTTATTACCTTTGTATCACACATACTAATAAGTTTATTTTAATCATTGCTATTTTATTCTTGCTATATTTTAATATAATACTGATATTTCTAAAACTACGTACAAAAAACAAATTAATACTTATTTTTGGAATGGAGGGACTATATAATGTAATATTGTCTTTACAAAAAATATACTCCTATAATGTAAGATTATATTTAGATATTAAATACTCTTTTCGTCCCAGACATCGTGACCGGATTACCGTAGATATAGAAATTGAGGATAAGCATAGTTAGTAAATAATTAAAAATATATTAGTAAAAATAATTATAAATTAATATTAAAATAAGTAATTAGTTTAATTTAAATTAAAAAATTAAAATAAAATTAAAAATGTGTAATCATTTAAAAAAAAAAGTGACAAAAATATGGGACAAACATAAACGACAATAGAACATGATAGATGAGACCAAAGAAGTATAATATTTTATATATATATATATATATATAATTAATTTAATATTTCAAATAAATATAAATATTTAAAAGTTAATAATAGCAATAGTATTAGAATGTTCAAAAATAGTTTTGATTTAAATATATATCCGAGTTTTTCTTTTAGAAAATGAATAATAGAGAATCTAATACTACATATATAAAGTTTTCAAATGATTTTAAATGATAGGAGTATATTGTAAAAGTGTATTTATGTTTTTGTTTCGTAAAATTGTTTAAAGATATAGTAATATATTAATTTTTTTAAAAAAATATGATAAATTATTTTTTTTATTTATATATTTATTTTTTTTATGTTAAAGAAAATCTATAATATAAAAAATATTTTATCTTAAATTATTGAATTTTTTACGAAAGCAACTTTAAAAAAAGTAGTATATTATTTTTTAATCCAAATTTTTATTTACTCTTTCATATATAATTTTTTTTCTTTCTTTCTTATTTATGTAGTTTTTTTTTTTTTTTTTACTATTTGACGATCATAATATTTGGTAATGGAATTTTTCATCAAACTAGAATATCTCTGAATAATATAAATATATTTAAATTTGTAAATTTTATACGACAATTATGACGATCATAATATTTGGTAATGAAATCTTTTAATTAAATTGTTAAATTTTTGTTTGTTTATGTAGTAAATATTTAAATTTTATAACAATATATCTATTATTAATGACTTTATTTTGTAGTTTGTTAACGGTATTTGTAATATTCAATTTATTATGTTTTAATTCGAAAATATAATTTTATTTTACAGAATACGGGTGCAATTTGGTAAGCAATTGAATTTTAGTTAGAAAGTTATTTATTTAATTAATATTTGATTTATGATTTAATATATATGATTAAAAAATTAAATATATATCTAATTATTTTAATTACTAAATTTTAATAAAATATACTCTATAATATGAATATCATTTTATACCGAATAAAATATATATAATACAAATAAATAATAAAATATAAATTTTTATTTATAATTAAAATAAATTGATTTTACAAATAAATAAAGGGTTTGTTTGTTGAAAAGGGATAAAAATACAAAATTGTGAATAAATTTTGAGTTGATCTCTTAATAATGTAATATCTTATAAAGAATTAGTTGGAAGAATAATGCCAACCTGAAACGGTAACCAAACGACATTATAATCTCGATTTAATGAAATTCACCGTTGTAATGACATATTTTTTAGATACAATACTTATTACTTTATTTACATTTATTGTCGATATAAATTCACTAATTTTAATTCATCGATTGAGTTTAAACAGGACAACCAAAGGCCCAATATAAATTAGGGTCTATTAATACATTTATGTTCTATATTCCTTCGTCCCACATAATTTGTCTATATTTTCAATTTTCGACTGTTCCATGTAACTTGTCATTTCTTTTTTTAAAATATAATTATATACTTTATATTTTTAAATTTTTTAATTTAAATTAAAATATTTAGTTATTTTAATCTTAATTTATAATTATTTTTACTAATATATTTTTTAATTACTTACTAATCATACTTTACCTAAATTCTCGTGTCTACAGTAACATCCCAAAATTACCTAGGGAGTAGGGGTGGAAATAGGCCAGGCCAGGCCAGGCTTTGGTTAAATAGGCTTGGCCTGTCTTAAAAAGATATGGCCTGAGCCTGGCCTACCAGCCTGAAAAAAAATATTTTTAAAGCCTGAGCTTGGCCTTTTTAAAAGCCTGGCCTGGCCTACGAGCCTGTTTAAAAGGCTACATAATAATTTATTATTATTATTATTATATATTTTTTTTTGTAAATTTCGTACTATAAATAAAAAATAAAACAGATACAATTATTTATATTATATATAAAAAAATAAAAAATTCTGTTTTTTAATGACAAAAATAATCATTTTTATTGCCATATAAAAATACAATATATTATACTAATAATTTGCAAAAAAACGTATATTACAATTCATTCAAATATATATATAATTATTGGGAATAAGTCTTGCAAACTCCAGACAAAAGCTGATAGAAATTACTGCATAATGACATTAAAAAAAAAAAAACAGTTTACATCAATCTATTGTCATTAAGCTGATTGTTCTAACAAAGAAATAAGCAACGCTAACTCAGAAGCAATATTAAAAAATTCGACAAAAATATTTAGAAATTAATAACATAGTTTTTCAAGTTCACGTCACCCACAGGCCACAAGCCACAAGAATTGCAAATTCCCCCAAAGTTTCTGAAACCATTAAATCTGTTCAAGTACAAAAGTTGATCAAATTAGTATTATATCTGAAATTTCTTCCTTCTATATATAAATTACGCAAAGCATCAAAAAATTATATTAGAACAAAAAGAAAAAAGGAATATCTTACTTACCAATACAATAAAAGTTTCAAGAGAAAAATAGCAAATAGATCAATAATATCTTCTGGACATTAGCATTTCCACTCCTGAAATCAAAATTTAAAATTTCAGCACCTGCAAACCTATCCAAATATTTAAAAAAAATAAATAAATAATTGTAATATCAAAACAACCACCTGCAAACCTATCTAAATATTTCAAACAATACATCCTGCAACAAATTTCAGAAAATCAAAGTTGAATCCTCCCAAAATACATCATGCAACAACAATATCTTACTAAAAAAATCAGATTTTCAAACAATTAATCTGTATAAAAAATTTCAGAAAATATTATAAATTTAAAACGTACCGCAACCAAAGTATTAAAGAACTTCTTTAATCTATAAGCTTATCTCCTTCAAAGACTCATTCACCTTCAAATGAGAGAAATATTTTTATTAGAAAAAAATATATTGTGGGTGATGAATAAGATAAAGAAAAGACAGTTAATAATAAAATTTACCTTCTTTTTTTTCAAGTTGTATTTATGTCGAAGCCAATCTCCTCCACAAATTAGTGTCTCAATAGATTCTTCATTCAATCTTGAACGATATTCATCTATAATTCTACCTCCAGCACTAAATGTAGACTCTGAAGCTACCGTTGATATTGGAATCGCAAGTACATCAGCAGTCATCTTCGATAAAACTTTATATTTCATGTTGTTGTTCCTCCACCACTCCAAGGCACAAAATGAAGACATATTTCCATCAGGAATATAAACACTGTCCTCGAGATAGGCATCCAATTCAGATTTTGATACAGGAATTGCTTCTTTTGCTCTTACAAGACTCATAATTTGATCAAACCCAGTAACTATCGCAGATTCAGATTGGGTGGTGGCAGAGGAGATGTTAGCCATATTGCACTGACTTGAGGATGATTCTTCAACACTTAAGGCCACATAATCATTATATAGTTGTTGCAGTGAAGCACGCACTTTGTTCACATACTCGGCAGCAACTTCTTCAGACTTGTATATCATTGGAAAACATATTTCAACACCATGAAATTTAACTCTCGGATCCAATACATTTGCAACAGCCATCAATAGATTGCACTCACCCCAATATTTATCAAACTTTTCTTTCATTTGCGTTGCCATTTGTATCATAAAAAGATCATCATCCTTTGTCGCATCATCAATTACTTGCTTCACTTTCCAGACCTCTGAAAGATACAAGTTGGCAGTAGGATATTCACTTCCAGATATTAAATTGGTAGCTAAGTTGAAAACCTCTAAAAGTTTACAAACTTTCTCGACTTTCTCCCAATCTTCATTTGAAGGTGCAAATGTATAATGAGGTTCTCTTTCTTGGTATTCTGAGAAGACAATCTTGAATTTTAAAGCAGCGGCTAACATGTGATATGTAGAATTCCACCTTGTTGGACAATCAATTATCAACTTCCTTTCTTTTAGATGCTTTTGTTCAACTACTTCACCAAAACTCTTCAATCTTGAATCATTGAAGTTTACATACTTCACACTTTCACGAACATTATGGATGATATCTTTGATTCGACTAAGCCCATCTTGCACCAAAAGATTCAATATGTGTGCACAACATCTAACATGAAATAGAGCTCCATCGAGGACAAGCTTGGTGCTGCGTGATATGTAGTCTTTTAGATACCTCAAGCACGAGTCATTATATGAAGCATTGTCAACTGATACTGAGAACACTTTATCTTCGATCCCCCAAGCCTTCAAACATTTGAAAATGGCATTGGCTACATCAATTCCTCGCCTTGGAGCAGGCACCTTGACAAAGCTTAAAATCCTTTTCTGAAGCTTCCACCCAGAATCTATAAAATGACCAGTGATTACCATATATTCAATCACTTGATGACTGGATTTCCACATATCTGTTGTCAAGCTAATCTTGCTCACACTCTTTAATAATTCCTTCAATGCTTTTCTTTCTGCTTCATATATTGCTATGCAATCACTTCGTATCGTCTTACGAGAAACTTTCTGAAATTCAGGGTTCGCATACTGAAATGACCATATAAAAGCATCGTCTTCTACAATGCTAAAAGGATACTCATGTACCATAATAGAAGTGGCAATGACTTCCCTCATCTTTTCATTAGAAAATCTAAACCCGGGACTTATAAACGGATTACTTGAATTGGATGGCTTAAAAGGAATGACACATTGTTTCTTTTGTGAAGCCATTTGTACTGACCTCTACAAACACCCTTCTGAATGTCTCTTTAGATAGCTTGTGCTCGCACCTCTTCCCCCAGTAGCAAATGCATTTTTACAGTATTTGCAAATAGCTTTCTTAACACCTTCAGCAACTTGAATTTCATCAAAGTCATTCCACACAATTGAAGTTTTTTTCCTTTTTTTCCTATTGGCACCTTCATTTGCTTGATTTGAATTCCTTTCGTCTTCATTTCTGTTATCATCCACAGGTTGGCTTGAAAGGGAATCCACTGATATACTATTGTGTGTATCAGATGGAAGATCAAAAATATTTGTTTCATCCATCGAAGCCATATCCTGCTTCAAAATAAATAAAAAAATTTATTTAATTAATGATATACATTATAAACGAAAATATCAGAAACTGTTCATTCTTGTAAATATATATCTTATATTTTTCTACAAAAATATAAAATTTTCATTTTAATCTAAATAATATAAAACACAAAAATAAAAATAACAAAACTATTTTAAAAAAATGACGTTATAAAAAAACAAAAAAAACGTCATAAAAAAATATATAAGATAAATAAAATATAACAAAAAATATATATATTGAAATTCATATCTAAATAAAAATAACGAAAAAAAACATATAAAAACGATATTTACCTTATTTTTCCAAATTCCACCGGTAGCAATAAAAAAGAAGAGGCGATGAAGACAGAAGAAGGAAAAAGAAAAGTAGTGGGTCTCTGTGAAGAAGATTGCAAAACCCTGGACGGCGTGGAGGTCTGGCAGCAGTTGCAGGCTTGCAGCGGTGGAAAAGGAATATGGACAGTTGTTGTTCAGTTTACAGCGGGATAATATTTGAATTATGATAAAAGAAACAAAAAAAGGAACATGTGTGCAGTAGTTGTTCATATTTGAAATTTTTTATTGGGATAAAAATTATTTTTATTTTTGTTTTTTTTTAATAAATTTATAATTAAATTTTTTTTTATATATCATTATTATATATAAAACTATTCTTATTTTATAATAATAAAAAATAATTTTATATAATAATAATATTATTATTAAACAGGCCGGCCTGTTTAGTAAATAGGCTTTTTCATAAGCCTAAGCCTATTCTGTATATATAAACAGGCTTTAACAAAAATCTGAACCTGGCATTTCTAATAAATAGAACAGGCCAGGCCAGGCTTGATGTAGGCCAGGTCATAGGCCCCTGACAGGCCGCCTGGCCTATTTCCACCCCTACTAGGGAGGGAGTATAATATTTATATATACTACTCCCTCCGTCCGATGTGATATGGATGTATTACTGTAGACACGGAAATTTATGTAAAGTATAATTAGTAAGTAATTAAGAAATGTATTAGTAAAAATAATTATTATTTAGTAAAAATAATTATAGATTAAGATTAAGATAAATAAATAATTTAATTAAAATTAAGAAAATTATAAAATTTAAAATTTAAAATGCAATTAAAGTGCATAATTATATTTCCAAAAATAGAAGGGACAAATTATGTGAGACGGATGAAAATAGAAAATAAAGACAGGACTGAGGAGAGGGAGTAATATGATATTTTTTACTATATGTACTAATATGATATTTATAAAGTAATAGAAGGCTTTGGCTTAGTGGTTTGATGATGCATATGCAATTGTAAAGGTGTGGGTTATTTATATTTTTATTATAGGTAAAATATATTATATATATAATTTTTGTTGTGAATTAGGAGATAATTGTAGAAGATAATAAAAAAATAATAATATATTTAAAATGAAAAATGTACGAAGCTCAATCTTTAAAATATTCCTCGTAATAAAATATTTGATTCAATTCAAAAATAAAAAATATTTTTCTAAAAAGACAGAATAATTAAAGCGTAATGAAAAATATTTATACAAAATATTGATGTTGACCGACTAAAATTTATATAAGACAAAAAAAAATTTATTTGTAACATTTTGTAGAATTATTGGTTGCTCAATAATGATATATTAAAAACAAGTTCGAAAAAGTATTTTACTTTGTTTTAAAAAGTACTACCTCCGTCCGGTTTTAACAGTTATATATATATTTTTGTCGTATTGATATTTGAATATTAATTATTATATTAAAACTTAGTACAAATTAAAAAAAAAATTACAAATATACTTCCATTAGTATCTTATAATATTAATAGAAGGACATTTGTACAAGAAATTATAGAAATATAAAAATATTTTTAATATAAAGTACAATAATACAAAAAATAAATGTGACCCTTAAAGCCGGACGGAGAAAATATATTTTCTCCTATAAAAAGTAAATACAATACCATATAACTCTCTTTCGACTCGATGCAAGTAATCATTGTGATGATATTTATATATATATTTTTTACACAACTTTTGTAATTTAATTTGCATTTTATTGTTGATGTAACATTACAAATTTTAATTTATTAATTGAAGTTTACAGTACAATAGTAAAATATAAGAATCAATTAAATATTGTTATCTTTAAAGTAAAAATCAGGTAGTGCTCAATCTCAAAACATTATTTGACAATAAGTCTCTTGATTTGATTCAATAATGATTAAATCACTTGATTTGATTTCGAAAAAAAAAGGAAAAATAGAAACAACTATAATGGAGGAAGTATTTATTATTATTATTATTTTTTGGATGACGTAGGAATCCGCAGCTGCTATTCGAGAACATTGGGTAAACCGCGAATCACAGTGACTTGAAGCGGCGGATATTTGAACCCACGACCCTTCAACAGTATTTGATCAAGCGGAACATATGACCTACATACATTATATATATATATAGATACATACAACATCCTTGAGAAATAGAATTCACATACCTTCAACTGACAGAGACAGAGAATTGTGTCAATCCTTGAGAGGGAAGAGCTCATCGGTGAGAGATGGAACGATCCACTGTATCTGATAGTAAGTCGTGTCCCACAGATCATCCTCTCCCTCCGGCGTCAGGATCTCCTTCTCCTTCATCGCGCTCACGATCTTCCTCAGCAGCTCCGGTATCACTTCCGACATTCTCGACTCCCCGTATTCCCCCAAATCCGCCTTCATGCACGTGTCCATCCTCCTCAGTATCCCCAGCCAGAACGTCCTGAAATTAGGGCTCCCCGATATCGGCTTCAGAAAATGAAGGTACACTTCTGTCATCACTTTCATCGACCGCACCAGACTCCCCTCCATGCTCCTCGTCTCCCGCTCCGCGTTCTCCCTCCGAGAATACTGCAGCATCTTCTCGTGCAGATCGTCCACCATCGCGAATATCACGTTGTAAAATGCATTGATGCACGTGTTCGGCGTGAATAGAAGATCCTCTGCTAGCATGAAGCTCTTTTGCAGAGACAGTACTGCGTGGTTTCTCACCTGTTTGAAATTGTAATCAAACATTTTTAGGTATGGAAATGTATAAATTAGGGTTACTGATTTGTCGAGGTTAGGTTAGGTTAGGTTAGATTGAATTACCTCTTCACGCCTGGCTAAGCTCGTCTTCTTCAGCGATTCGCCGAGCCTCTGGAAGAAGCTAATCGGATTGTAGATCCTCGTCGTTTCCTCCACTGAAGAACCGCTTACGTTGCTCGGGTAGCTTCCTGGATCCGAATATCCAGCTCGGTACCATTCGACCAGCAAACTGGCTGACTCTGCTAGTAGATCCATGATCTTGATGTTCTTATCGACTCGGCTATTCCTGAGGGCGACGAACGCAAACGCGCAGTCGATGCAGTAGGAAAAGTTTGTCCTTGTGATGTTGTTAAGCTTCGACATCAACGCAATCAAAACCTCAACGCCAATGTCGTAGGTTTCTGGATGCCGGCCGGTGACCGAAAGGAGATGCAGCACGGACATCCATCCGAGCTGCGTCTGCAGCTGATCTGGATAGTCCGTGATAATCTTGCTCACCGACTGCAGCAGGAATTCCGAGCAGTTGTCGAGGATTTCCTTCTCCAGCCTCCACATCAAGTTTATGGACTTGAACAAAGGTTCTTCGGATCCCTCTAATTGACTCGAAGCTGCAAGCTTAAGGCAGATCCTTAGTAAGGAGACTATGGCTTTCTCAGTGAATGGAATTGTGGAGAAAAGCGGTAGCTGCACCACTTCGAGCAAGTATTCGTGGTAGTGAGGCCAAAATGAGGAGAATCTATGCACGTTGCAGAGAGAAATCGCGCTGATGAGCTCCCAACAGAAGGCCATGATTTCTTCTTCCTCAACTGAGGTACTGAACTTCTGGACCTTTCCGGCTGCAGCGAAGATGATGCAACGGCCAAGGTTGAGCAGAGACTCGTCCGGTAGAGTTGAGCTCGTGGTGAAGATGCTCCCAATTCGGCATTGCTGGATGATCTTCACGTTCTGCTCGAATTCACTCAATCCTAGGTTCAGTGATTCTTCCAAGTTCTCAACAGACATGAAGTTGAGGAATCTCGACATCACCCCCGAGCTGTATCGCTTCTGTTGTCCTGCTTTTAGATCTTGAATTACACTGCTTGATTCGGCTTCTGATGGAGTCGCATAGCTGTCTGGGTCTACGATGGATTGCGGTATCAGCTTGAGCTTCTTGAGCTTTAATAGGCAGTCCATAATTGTTCGCCAACCGCCTCTGATCGAATCCTTGAAAGCATTTGCAATGGTGAAGACGGACAGTATCGCCATCTTCGGCTTCATGTCGTGGCTGAAAGCGTATAGTGTTTCTTCTGTGGAGGCGTACGGGTTCAGCAATGTTGTGAATTTGCAGAAAGAACAGAGTAGTTCATCAAGAGTATCTTCCAATCCATATTGAGCTATCCTGGAGATCGAAAACAAAGCTTCAAGGCATTCATGGAGGATCTCCTCTTCGTCGGACTGTTCGAAAATGGATGCAACAGTTGCAACAGAGGGGCCGGCGATGGCGGCGAACATGTCCCTGCCTAGCCTTCTGTCGAAATTGCAAAAGATGAATGGCTGGATGACCTTCCCACGGCTGACCAGTTGGATCCAACGGTTGGGATTGATTTCGGTGGTGGCGCCGGGCCGATCGAGGCTGATCGCATTGGTCGAGATGGAGTGGAAGATCTCGGAGAGGTATTCCCGTGGGAGATCGTTGCCGCCATTGATGGCTCTGTTGTTTCTAATGAAGTCTTCTTCCGTCATCTTCTTCTTCACCTGCGGATTGTGCTGGTCCGTGTTGAGCATGATGATGGAATAGCAGAGGATCATCACAGCGTCCTTGCTGACAAACATGTCCGACGATTGCTGGTCGTAGTATCTCTCGGAGAACGCTTCCAGAATCCTTTGAATCTTCTGAGACTCTCCCGGCAGCCGGAAAGTCTCCAGGTAAGTCCGCAGCGCCGTGTAGACAACCATTCCGGTGAAGTCAAACATCTCTGAGAACTCCTTGAGAACTTGAATGTTGAACTCCGCTGGATCGCCGAGGAAGTCTCCGATCATCGTCTTGTCTAGCTTCTGCGTGTACCGGAAGAAGCTCGCGTAGGCTTTCGGGTGGGGCGGATCCGACACCAACCTGGAATATTTCAGGTATTCCAAACCCTTCTTGTCGTCCCGACTGTAATGGCTTCTGGCGATTAGTATCTTCTTTTTCTGTGCTTTACGGATTCGCAAGTATTCCACCCAAGCTTCTTCGTCGTCTTCCTTGGGTTTCTCTTCCCAGAACGGTTGGTCTCCGGGATCCGAAATGTTGACCGGGTACGGGTCGGTCGGGTTTGGGGTCGGGTGGTCTTCTTCGTTGTCGATGTTGTCGGCGATGTAGTGGAGAATGAGGGACAGGCCTTCGAAGGCCTGGACCTGTGTGCTGGTGAGGATGCCTCCGGTGGGGAATGCATATCTGCAGAGGAGCTTGCCGGTGTCCTCGAAGACGTCTCTGAAAGTGGTGTCGCAGTCGTAGTTTACATAGGCTTCCAAGACGAAGGATGGCTGGCGGCAGAAATTGATGATGGCTTCGACGGCGACTTCCTGGAGCTGGATGGGGACTCCCGGACTTGCGACTCTGAGCAGCACGTAGGAGAAGAAGGCTTCGAGCTGGACGCGCATGGAGCTGCGAAGGAAGTGGTAGATGTTGAGAACAGTGCTGCAGATCATGGACAGAACCAGAGGGCTGCAGCAGGTGCCGTAGTGGATGAGATGGTGGAACAGATCGTCCTGGATCATCCGCAGGAGTTTGGAGTGTTTGCCCATGCTGTCACCGCTCAATTCCATGGCGGAATTGATGAGGTAGAGCGCGAAGACCTGGATGTTCTCGTCGGCTACTTGAATCGTCACGCCTTCATTCTCCATCACGCCGACGACGTTCAGAAGAGAGCAGAGGAAATGGAAGATGTCGACGGCGGATCGGATTCCGTACCCTGAATCCAACTCGTTGTCGTCGGAATCCGACTCGCCGTCCTCCGAATCCCTAACTTCAATCTCCGGCAGCCGCGAGAATATGATCTGGATAAGCTCGTGCATCGTGTACCTGATGAAAAAACAATTGCTCACAAAATAAGCTTCAATTGGGAGAAATCAATGGCGAATTGGATTTTGACCTAGCACTACGCTGCAGCAGATCGCCGCGGGTTGCCGACTGCTGGACCACCTGGAAGCAGGTGTTGACGACGGTGCAGGTGGAATGGTCGGTGAGCAAAACCGACGCCGGGTGCCTCATGACGGCGGTGAGGACCTGCAAAATCCTCATCATTATGGCCTCCTCCGCCACCGGATTGGTTTTCTCCAGGCGGCAGCCGGTGATGGCGGTGACGACGGTGTTAATGGCGTCCTTAGCGCCGGGGGTCTTCTTATCGAATATTCCTAGGCGGAGGATCTTAAGGATTGCCTGGAGCGCGACGCTGGTAGCGGCGGCGGGGATGTCGTCGCTCTGTACGACATCGAGGAAAGGCGTGATGTAAACCGATGGATCGAGCATCCGCCATTCCTGCTGCGGATTGAAGAGCAGGGCTCTGAGGGATCTGAGGGACTGCAGCAATGTGGCGTCGCAGAGATCGTCGGGGTGGTGGTAGAAGCCCGGACTCGATTCCGGCCCCCGGCGGATGACGGCGAGCAGGGCGCCGACCTCCGTGTTGAGCATGCACGAGATTCCCAGGTCTTTCCGCCTTGATTTCGGTCGGGTTTGTTCGTCTTCCGCCATGGCTGATTCTCCGGCAGGTCGTCGGGGAAGAAGGGTAGGTGGTTCCTTCTTGTCATCTCGTTTCTGAAATTGGCATTGCAGGTAATTAATTACTTAATTTTATTTAATTTCAGTTATTTGTTTTTTTAATATGTTTTTATATTTGTGGTTAGAATGGGAAGTAGAATATTTCAATCCCATTAATCTCTCACACTTACGTTTATAAAAATATTCTATAATTATATAACCAAAATACGAAAAATAAATAAATAAATAAATTCAGTAAAAAAATTATATAGATATTTTAAAATTTGACACATCGTAGTCGTACGAAAGGAAACCGTGGGGCCAACAAAATATGATTATGTGCAACACTTATATAATCAATCATATGGATTGGATTGTCTGAAAATTTGGCCACAATCTCTCTCTCTCTAGATCGTTTTCAGTGATGAGTAAGCCTCCATACGACAAAGAGCTTCTAGGATTTCGAACGAACAGATCGTCTAGTTGATACAATTGGAAAAACCCACCGTATTTGGTAGCAAGGGTATTGGAAAATGGCGGATAGAGGTAAAGAATGGGAATTTTATCTCCGGTCGTTGTCGTCCGCCGCCAGAGACTTCAATCATGCCGCTAACCCCACTTCCGATCCTTCGCTTCTCGATTCTGTTAGTTTCTCTTCTGCTGAAAATCACTTTGCTTCATTACGGTAATCTCTTTTGCGAGTTTGCTAGCTGTTATTTATGTTGGTTTGTGTTGTAGGTCAAAAGGCTGTACGAGCTCTGCAAGAGCGAAAAATCTGAGGAATTGGTTGCTAGGGTTTATCCTCACCTGAACAAGATATACCAGCGCTGCGTAGCTTCAATTTCTCAGTCTCAGACCTCCAACGGCCTTCTTTTACTGGTCATTTTTGTTGGCTTTCCTTGCAATTGCATTTAATGTCGACATGAATATTGGTTGAATGAAATAATGTCTTTTAATCCCCCCCGCGTTGATCTGTGGGTGATCTTGTGCAATCCTTCTAACTGTTTGTGCTTTTCGTTTGTGATACAGGCCATTCTGCAGTTTTTTCTTGATTTTAAAGATGATGTTTTACATGATGCAGATCCGAGTCTAAAGACATTTTTTCGAATGTGTTTGAGCCGGTAAGGAAATTCTATACTCTTTTGTTGATTTCCAAAAACATGTATTCCATGCTACATTACTTGTGAAAGCAGCTTGTTCTCTTGAGTCAGTATAGTATCAGGTAAACGTTGATAGAATTGGAATGCTAAGATGGGTTAATACTAATTTTTAATTAAATCAAACTTGGTAATTTTTGTGTTTGGCAGTTTGGCACTTTGGTTGCGGCCATAGTTGGCCCTGGCACTGGTGTCAATCTTGAATTACTATGTTCACTTGTTCAGTTCATGCAATATGAAACTTCTACAAATTATTGTTGGTTAATGTTTTGTGGTAGTGTTTTTCTGCCATTTGATCTGGCCCATTCTGTTGATTTGACATTATAAAATGTTAACTTTTCTCAATACCATAGGTTCTTTTTTGGAAAGTTATGCATTTGTCTGTTCTTATGAAAAACTAGTAGGACTTCAAGTTTTGAATTTCCATAAATGCGCATATGTTTTGAAATGCTGCCTTTGCTTGATTATCAAAGTAAATAATTTCATTCCTAGTTTTGTTTGTCGTTCTTACACATTATCTCATGCTGGTTCTGAGCGCTAAGAAAGCCAAGTTTTAACCCTCACACACCCTAATCCCTTATTTCTAATTAATCCTGCAGTGAGTTTGCAGACCCTGTTGTTGCTGAAGCAACACTCGAATTTCTAAGCTCAAACAAAGCTATACTTCTAAAGTCTTTCCCTACATTACTTCCACAGGTATATGGTTGAGATAGATTTTCAAGCTTCTACTGATGTAATTAAGGTGGATGTGATTATACCCTACATGAAAATTTTGCTAAAGGAATGTTTACATATCTCCATTGTTAAATTTCTGCATAACTTCAAGATAAATGTGAACCTTTTAATTGGAATATATGTTTACTTACCAATCGTTGATTGTCCCATTAGCTTTTTCTCCTGCAAGATTCTCTTTAAATATGTCGTCACATTTACTTTGAATTTGCAGTTTTTCCCTTTATTGCTGAAACTTATTGCATGGAATGGAGAAAAGTAAGTTCTATGTTGTCTTATAGCTATTTTGATATTCTTTAATTTGTTCATGGAAACTGCCATACTGTTTTTTTCTTCTGTTTCGGCTTGAAGTTTGGCTGCTATGATTACTTTCTTGTCCATCAACCCCTCTATTTTTATTTTTTGTTGTTTGTTTTTATGCAGATTGGAAAAGGTATTCCTGAGAGTATTCTCAGGATTCATGTCTCCAGGATCCTTCATTCCCCTTTTCCCTTCCCTGGTGGACTTACCTGGTAGGTTAATCTATCCTGCATTATATATCTAATAATCCAGCCTTTTTAGTCTTGATTTGGCATTCTGGTCTGTAGTGGAGTGTAAGATGGTTTTGGATAAAGGAGGAGTTCAGGCTCTATAGATCTGATTTACTTTCAAACCATAATTCTGCTAGCCAAAATAATGATAACAATAATAATGATTGGAACACCACTGCTGCAAGTGCTTATAAGAAAACTACTTTTTCTCTATCTCTTGGTTATGTTTCTATATTTTGACATTATATTCAATTTTTTGACTAGTATTGGTTGTGGCGTTGGAAAAGGTAGAGAAGAGTTCAGGGTCACTTGTAGGGAGCAGCATAGCTTCAATTCAGAAAAGTGCTGCACCTGAGGTCTTTGTGAAATCTTTATCCACTTTCTTTAATGGAAACATTTACGTTTAATAACTGATGTGAACCTCATGTTGTGATACAGATGCTGCTAGCTCTCATGGATGAGGCATATACTGGTTCAACCATAGGAGATGGTGGTGTAGATTCTGAATCTGAAGATAACAATCCTATTGCCGTAGCTGACCCTCTCTTTCTTGATATTCTCAAGGATGAGAATGATGGTCTTGCTGTATGGTCCTTGCTATGCCTTAGGTGGCATTAAAACAAAATCTTGACAAAATTTTTGTGCCATAATAGAGGGTTGAGTCTTACGGCTCTTCTCTGTTTTTGCTTTGTTGAAATTGTTTGCGCATATCATTTAGTACCCTTGTTAAATATTTTTTATTATTTGGCCCAACACACATGCTTCAGCAAGTATTTATTAAGTAAATTCTCTGTATTGCATCAGTAATGCATCTAAAGTCAGTGGTGGAAAGTTGATGATTTCATACATTTACTTTTATGTCTTGATGTAATTTTAATAAAATAATTTTTGTATTTAGGAAATACATCTTCATCAGGTCACTTCTGAGAGTAGAATTAGAGCAAACCAATGTATTGAGCATCCATTTTTCATGAGTGTATCCTATGATCGACCACTATCTGCAAATATGTGAAATTTCCCTTATAGGCCACGTTAGTTGTTTTAGCATTACTCATGAATTAGCTATGGTCTAGGACTCTAGATGAAGCATCACTGAATATTATTAATATACTACTCCCTCCGTCCCAAACAAGGTGCAACATTTATTTTTAGCACGGGTTTTTAGGTGGGTAGTATTAAGAAGGATAATTTAGAAATTAAGTGATGTGATGGAGAGAGAAATGTATATTTTATTTTTTTATTTGGATGATGTAATGAGATAAAGTGTGGGATAGAGATTAAGTATGATTAATTATTTCCTATTTTGGAAATGTTGCAGGGTGTTTGGGACGGAGGGAGTATTATTTATGTAGGTTACAGTGGTGATAAAGGTTTGATATATATTATGTAGGCTAATTAGTTATGGTCTAGGACTCTAGATGAAGCATCACTGAATATTATTAATATACTATTATTTATGGTTAGTATTGCTAGGTAGGTTAAAGTAGCGATAAAGCTTTGACATATATTATGTAGGCTAATTCAGTATGGCTCACTTTCTCTGATGTTTTAGAACTACTGTTGGTTATTATATATGGTGCACTATTAAATAACTATTGTTGATCTAATTTTATATGCTAAAGTACTTTCAGGAGGTTTGATGTGGTTATCCTGATGGTGATGATATGATATTTTAATTTTTTAAAATGGCTCACTGCATCTGTGATTTTCAGGAACGGCATTGGACCTCTCCTGCCATGGCTGCAGCTTTGCAGGCAGTTGTCAATAGCCCTCTGTCTACTAGATTGAAAGAAGCAGTTAAAATAGCACCACGACTTCTTGATGCCTATTTCGCTTTAGTAGTTTATGATGCCAATGATTGTAAGCTACAATGCATTTCAGTTTTGTTTCTGTTTAATGATTGAAGTGTAGTGCGAAATTGCTTTGATCGGGAAAGACTGAATTTGGTGGGCTCTGTATTGATTCTTATATATCTGTGGCAGCTTTAACATGTGCTTTGATTCCACTGGTTATGAAGAGATATTCCACATTATTTCCAGACAAAAATTTCTCATATGAGGTAAGACGCTTTCTTTAATCTGTCTAAGTTATTTGAGGAAACTGTTGTGCCATTCTGCACTATCTGTTCTTTATAAGTATATGTATGCTACTGCTAGGATCATTTTTTTTTTTGGTATACATATCTTTGCCTGTGTGTTACACTGGAGTTGATTTTCTCATAATGGGTTTCTTCTTGTTTATCTATTGGTTTGCCTCCTCCTTGGCCCTCCCTCTTTGGATCCTCTCTTACATTGAACATACACACACAGCATGTATGCTGCATGGTTGCCAGTTATAAGTTGCATTTGTATTAACAAGCCACCAATCCTCATATTGTATGACTGAATTGCAAATGTAATTGTTGAGCAAATGCAGGTTCAGAAGAGGCTCTTGGAGTTCATTCTGGTAGCCTTCCATCGATCTCCTCAGTTCATTGCTGTTCTTAAGGTAAGTTATGTCCAAATCTCACTTAATGTTCCATCCACTATGTGGAGTTTAGCATTAACAGTTCTAGATACAAGCCAACTTCTTGTATCTAACAGCTACTCTGAAGATCATTCAATCTGTAAAATTGGATAGTTCTGTAGTATGAGTGGGCATTGAATCTCTGATGCTTTATGAATTCTCTTCTCATTTATGCACCTCAACTCTCAACAACATTTATGGTGAGAAGTTAAAGGCAGATGACTTGCATATAATAGCATTACAACTTTATTTGTTACTTGTATAACAAGCTGAATGCTTGTAGTGGTTTGGTTTGATTTTCTTAATTCTTTTAACAAGATATATTAAAATTTCCAAATTTACTGGCAATACTGCAGAAGCCAATAGTGAATGGGCTTGGGGAAGCTTACGACAGCCCAGCGAAGGTGCAAACCAGTCTTCTGCTAGCTAAAAATGGTTAGATTTAACTCTTCCGGTATCAATATTGTATCCTTGTGCAGACTGAGTTGGCGTTGCAACTGTGTTGGGCCATTGGAGAGTATGGAGGGGGTGGTGAATCACATAAAGACGCAGCTCGTGAGCTTTTTGAGAGTTTAGAATTACTTCTCTATGAAAACCTTTCTTCAAGGTGTGTAACAAAGTTTCCTAAAATGTATATTTTGTTATGGAATGAACTTTGATGTTGTATCCGAGACTGAAATCTTTGTTAATTTGTTTTGAAGTCGCTTGGGGTTAGGTGAAGCATCCCGTGGTTCTGGCAATTCCAGTTTCAGAAAATTTTCTCAATCAAGGCTCCTATGCTTTGTTGTCACAGCAATAGCAAAACTTGCCACCTATCATCGTGAATTACTGCCAAGAGCACGTGTGTCCCTGGCAAAGGTTTGAAACTGATTACTGCTGTCAAATGCCCATTGTTTTTGAGTTATTGCTTTGCCAGCCATCTGGACTAGTGTTTGTTAGACAACTTCACCAACTACACCCACAAACACGAGTGTGCTTGCACAGTGTTAGGTACATGCACCTTCGTTTAGACTTGCCCTTCCCTTTGGCCTTGATATGCGAGCTGTTTGGCACATTTATTGCAGGTGGCTCGTTCTCGAATTTCGGATCCAAGGGTGTGGAAACGTGCTCAGGATTATTTGGGTTTAATGAGTCAACCAGCAATATGTTTGTCTGTCTTGGGATCTTCTAGCCCTTCAAGCGAAACCTCGCAATATCCCGGCGTGATCAAATGGGATGAAGGCCATAAGAAGATGATTGCCAACATTCCTTTCTATCTTTTACATGAGCAAGAAGGTAAACATATGTTATTTCTAACTAATAATCTCTGCCTATACATTATTGGGCATAATCTTGATTTGAATTGTGTTGTTTGTGTGTGTCAAAACTGTTTCCATTCTCCAATACTCCAATTTCCCGTAAGTTTTGTAATCTTTGTTTATAAACACAGTTTCTTCTTATCCTTGATTGCAGAAATTTATACACTTTCCCTGTTGCAGGTCCTCCCTTGCATGACTTTTCATTTTTGGATATTCTTCCTAGGGAGTAGTATATATCGAAGATTTGGTGTGTGTTGCAGCCACTTAACCCACCATTCAGGTTCAATTAAGGACAAATCTGCCATGCAAATACTGGAGCAACTACTTAGTCTATCATGTGGAAGCATATTTTTCAGAATCAGAATCTATAGTTGCTGTAGTGCATATGCTTCCAAACTCAAGTCTACAGTTGCTGAAGTTTATTTGCTCATGCAGCACTTCAGAAACTCTACGAGAAAGTTTGTGTCATTTGTAAATTATAGAAATTGTTCATGATCTTATTTTATTTTTTTTATTTATGTGAAGGGTGACCAAGTATTTTATATGAACATTTACTCTCAATTAGCATATATACACAACTAATCTGATTTTGCTATAATTATTATTTCCTCCATTCATTAAGTCTTGAGCATCATACTATGTTAGAGTTCATTTCTCCAAACATTTTTAGAGTTTTGGGATAAGGGCAGCCCTAATCAGGGAAACGGTTTCTTTCATGAGATGGTATGCTGCTAACACAGATTGTGGTGGCAGTGCTTCTGGTGATTGTAGCTGTTCATCCATGATCTGAAATCCAATGGTCAGGATACAACTCTGAGTTGGCAATCCACCGGGTAGAACTGCAAATCCTGAAGGCAATATTGCTACTTCATCTGTTCTCCCACCTTGCAATATATGCTGCATTGTTGGAACGTCGATTGGTGCATATATCAGGTAATCAGCAACGGAATCACTGAAGCTCTCTTGCAGGTATGTGATAGGTGTTTTTGTTGAGGAAGACTGCAATTTAATGTGACATGTTTATAGGAACTAATCTACTTGGACACATTTGATATCTTTTATGTGAAGATTGTTGAAACAGTTACCTCTACTGATTCTACTGTAACAGAGTCTAGAGTATTCCGAGTCGCGACAATGTGTATGACATTTTGAATTTGCCGTCCATACGAAAGAATGTCCCACTGCATAAAAGCAGGTTAATCTACATGCATAACATATATGTCTGCATTTGCATCCATGGTAGGGCTTATGCAATCCCTACTCTCATGATGAAGTGGCAAATAATATAACTTACGAACCTTGTTTCTATTATGCCCCATTCGAAGGAAATTGAATACATCATTCTGGTTTGCAGGAAGGCGTACTGAAGTGGCAACAGTCACTGCTATGCCACGAGGGATTTGTGGATCATCCCAGTTAGAGCTGGTCTTGACCAGGATACCTTCTGCTCCAGCTCCAGCTCCAAGTATCCACAACGGTCGCCATTCACTTGGTATGGTTGAGAAAATGTTTATATTAAAATGTTTCTCCATTCTGTCGGCCAACTTTAAGAGCCCTTTCTTTGCAGCTCCGATCCCTGAAAATCATTCAATATAATTGATAGTTCAAGAACCCTGAAAAATGTCCCTAAGTTTTGAGCAAAAAGTAGTCACCTTCTTGATTTGTTGACAAGTAGTTGAGGCTGTCATTTTGCCCCTCTAGTGTTGCGATTCGATCATATCGCCTCTCCAAAGCTGATATCCACCGTTTGGCAGTGAGCTTAGAACCAGATCCGAGCAGCACCCTCCCTGGTATGCCCTCGCCATTACCGTCTATATTATGTTCCACCCAAGTGACCTGAGGATCATATGACATTCAAAACTTCAGTTAGTTATATCATACCAATAGAATCTTGTTTAGTTTCGTGTTTATAGAAATGGCAGGAACACTTTACGACAGATAGTCCAGGTTGAAGGGCTTGAATTAGACACCCCGACGGCTTTCTCTGAAATGTCGCCACTGGACTAGGTAAAATAGTCTCCAACGAAACATCGGCCACCACCCAAGTGTTGATGTCTATCTGCCTCGAATATCTTGCGAAGTAAATCTCCCGAGCCTTGGTAAGAGGCGAAGAACCATGGAATTCTGCCATCATCTGCATTTATACTCATTCAATCATAACTATCGAATTCATAACAGCTTTGTCTTTTTACGTACCACTTGCAGGGCCCCGTCTGCGCCTCGATACACCTCGGCCAGAGTCGTGGCCTTCGACACTATATTCTGGAACATTCCCGACCATTCATGCTGCTCCAAGAAGAAACAAATACTTTAGTTGCAGCACTCGCCATTTTACCAGGCAAAGAAATGAGACGAAGACAAGACAACCCCACAACCCCACCGCATCCATTAACATATTCACTAGGCTCTCGGGATTTCTGAAGACAATCCCGATCGACCTGGAAGCCGACAGCTGTCCACAGTCGTCAGGCTGGGGGCTCCTCTGCTCCGAACCTTTCCCTGCAATCTCTCTGATCACCTCCTCCAGTGTCGGATCGAGTGTTGCGAATCTTCGGTTGTATTCCGCCGCATTGAGGACCTCGACGCCCCTGTTAAAGTTGTAGAGCCACAGCGGTTCTCCGTCTTGGGCCATAGCTCTTAGCTCTTCACCAGCTGCGACACCGAGGCTGCGGATCGCTGCCTTGTTTGCACCCGTGCCGGCTGCAATGGACACTAGAAGATCAGTCGCTCGTTGTCGCCCGCTATTTGTCGTCGTCGTCGAGTAATAATTATTATAAGGATTAGGAGGAGCAGCTGCAGCAGCATCGGGAGATGATGAGGCCATAGCTGCTGATCGTAAGTTATTGTGTAGAAAGTGATTTAAGTGTCGAAGAGATAGAATTGCATTTTGGACGTGTGATAATATATATAATAGGGAGAGAAGAGTATTGCAGAATGAGCGGGGTGGTTTGTTAAGTAGAGTAGGATTCGACTCTAATCTGTTATATGATGAACAAGTCATCAGAGTCACAATTGTTAGCATTGTCATTCCTTATGCACTTTTTTCACTTATTATAAAATAAATTTATATTTCTTTCGTATATATATTGTATTTATCGTTTTAAAAAATAGGGTTTGTTGCGTTGTATTTTAGGAATATCAAAAAAATTAATTATAATATTTATTTGATGCATATGTAAGTATTTAATACTAATATTTTTAAATGGAAAAAAAAGTTTTCATAAAGTATTCATTTTGTTATAATTATTTTTTTTTTAAATAAATATTTCACATTATTATTTCCAAAATTACATTTATTTATATTATATTAATTATATTAGTAATATACTATTTATTAAAGAATAAATGAGTATATTATGAGCGGAGAGAAAATAATAGTACTCCCTCCGTCCCAGATACCATGTCCATGTGCCGTATCTGTCCGTCCTACATATCACTTTCTGTTTTTTTTAAAAATGATTACACACTTTAATCCCATTTTAAATTTTATTTTTTTAGATTTTATTTTTTTAAATTTTAATTAAACTAATTAGTTATCTTAATTTTAATTTATAATTATTTATATTACACAATAATTATTTTCACTGATACATTCTTAATTATCTTTTATAAGAAAATAATATTTTTAAAAAATAAATAATATCTAAATCTCCAAAATCAGTATGTAAACAAATTTTTTTAAGATTTTCAAAATATTTCAAAATATAAACTTCCTAAAATAATTATCTAAACAAAACTTAAAGATCAATATTGATTTTTTTTCTAATTATATGTATTAAAAAAGAATTTAATCAATATTCAGGGGGAAATAGTCTGGATCATATATATAATTTTCAACCCATTAAGAAGTGGGTGGGTACAACAAATATACTGAGGCCCGCTTCAATCTTTTTTTTTTTTTGATCCAAACCTAATTCACTTCCAATAACCAATTCTTGACTAGACAGGCATCCTCCTCCTCCTCCTCCGCCCCCTTCACTTCCCGCTGCTTCCGCTGGCTTCGTCTTCATCTTTTCCGACGAGTTCTGTGGTAAGTTCATTATTTCGATTACCTTTCAAGAATATGCTGTAATTTTGATTGTTGTTTTCCTAATCCAATGAAAAATATATTTCGATGAATATTTGTTCTATTTTTTTTTTTTTTTAATTTTTTTGCAATTTATACCGATTTACACCCAAAATTGATTTGATTAGTTTGTTTGTAATTATTTCTCGTTCCCCCTGTTCTACTGAATCCGAAGGTTGTATATTAGTAACTGAATTTGGTACTGGATAGGTTTCTTATACAAGCAGCAGCAGCACGACTTGAAATAGCCAGTGAAGCATGGCAGGAGCCAAGGTTCAGTTGAACAAGGCGCACAAAACGAGATTTGCTTCCAAGTCTTCACGCAATGTTCACAAAGTTTCTTCTAAAGGTTTGTTACGTCCTTTGATATCTTATTATACAGTAAGGTTTGAATGTGATTGACCATACTTATATCTTCATTGTATCTGTGACGCAACGTTTCTATCAGATAAAATCAGGAAAACAAAATCTGAATGCAATGCAACCAAAGGGGCCAAGGCCATTCGGCTTCAACGCAACAAAATGGTGTCTTTCTTTTTTTAGCTTACGAACTTAATTATTTGTTACATTCTTTTATCTTGATTTAGTGGTTGTGCGATTCTTCTCGATCCAAACGTATACTGATTTGGATTTGGTACTCAACTTTATAGCTGAGAGAACAAAAGAAAGCTGCACTTTTAAAAGACAAGAGAGCATTATCAGGGCCATCTAGCCCTCCACGTGTTATTGTAAGTTCTTTCTTTTTTCAGGGGAAAATAAACAGATATATATATATATGCTGCATGTTATGTGTCAAAGCTCACACATTAGATGTCCGTAATCCAAATTCGTTGCACACATGTATTCATCCGATAACCATTTAACATGTCGATTATAAATATAAGATGGTTATTGCATATATACACAGGGTACAAAAAATTGGGGTACAATGAATTTGATATGGTTTAACTTACATTATTTGCATTCCGTAGGTACTTTTCGGCCTTTCTTCATCCGTGAACTTAAACTCTCTCGAAGAGGACATCTTGTCATTGTTGTCCGGAGGGGGAAACAGTTCTTGTTTTCCAGCTATTGCATCATCAGAGTTCAAGCTTAGAGCCACGGTAAATTCTCTTGGAATCTAGATGTTTCTATCTCACATGGTTTTGAAACACTAGTTTTTATGTACTATATTAGTACCATTATTAATTTTGGTTACTTGAAAGCATCAGATGTGGTAAATCATGAGCTTTCTGTTTAATTTCATTATAAACCAGATGAAAGGTCAATTTTGACAATTCTGAAACTTGATATTATCTATAACAGGTACTGAAAGCACCTCATGGTGATTTATTGACATGCATGGAGATGGCAAAGGTACATTTAGTTCTTTTTTGGGGTGAACTGCTCTTTGTAATGCTTTTGTTTAGTCTACTGATACAATCTCCATTTGGTGCTATGAAAAATGCTCCTTATAGGTTGCTGATTTGATTGCATTCGTAGCATCTCCGAATTCCTTAAATGAAGTGGAAGATGGTGGTGATTTTATTGATTCTTTTGGAGCACAATGTCTTTCTGTATTTAGAACTTTGGGCCTTCCAAGCACCACAGTTCTAATTCGTGTAAGTAATCTTTCACATGCATCTTTTGTTTGCATGTTTGCAACTTTCTCGTAGAAGTTGGATAATTTATGTTGATAATCTGGGATATTCCTTCAGGATCTACCTGATGACACGAAAAGAAGGCATGAACTAAAGAAGATGTGCACCTCTGTGCTTGCTTCTGAATTTCCAGAAGATTGTAAATTTTATCCCGCTGATAAAAAGGAGGAACTGCACAAGGTGAATTCATATCCTGGGATTGGTCATACCTTTGTCAACTCAAAATGTCATCACACTATTTATTGTCCATCATAATCCATTTTTATCTGTTATCATCTGACAATTTAAGATATTTTGTTTTCATCTTTTTTGAACACAGTTCATGTGGCTTTTCAAGGAACAAAGGCTTGCAATTCCTCATTGGCGCAGCCAACGATCTTACATGATGTCCCAAAAGGTATAACACAGAATTTGAGGTTTCTTTTTGACATTTTATGTATTTTCTAATTCTAAGTAGCATACAAAATTTTGTTTGAGGTGATGCAATTGTTCTCACTCAGAAACTAGCAGTGACGATGTTATTTTAACCTTATAAATGCACTACCCACAAATATGAAGGAATGAGAGGGCAAATCATGCCTATCACTTGATATAATTTTCTGCATTTCCTAGTTAACATTTACATGTTATTTTCTCTACATGCTTGTTGTAATGACTCTTGCATCTTAGTTGCTGTACTTCCACATCCAATACCAAACACATTTATTGCATGATATTGGTGCAAATTGTTAAATTAACTCTCCAAATCTAGATGTATGTGTTTGAATTGCTTGTTGCTCTCTTCCAGTGTTGATAAGTTGAAATAAGAGTACTCATTTTGTTGATGTTAGGATAAGGCCATATGATTTGCATTGTTCTTGGTGGACAACCTCAATTAGATTAGAATGTCACACGTGTCTAAATTTTGTCTAGTGCTGCATGTGTGGTTCTTTGATGATCATTGCTGGAGATATCACATCAAATCACTCGATAGCATTGATGATTCATCTGAAATTATACATCAAACTATGCATGAAAAGTCTGATAAATGTGGGAATTTTTATTCTCATGTATTAACCTTCAACATGATACAGGTTGATGTGGTTGCTGACAGTTGTAGTCCTGAAAGATGCACTCTTGTTCTTACTGGTTATGTACGCACACACGGACTCTCCGTAAATCAGCTGGTGAAGACTTCTGCCTTTGTAATGAATGTACCAATGAATCTGTTCTATATCTGAATGCTTCTCCATCAGGTACATGTTTCTGGGGCAGGGGATTTCCAGTTGTCCAAAATTGAACTTCTCAAGGATCCATGTGCCCTAAATGTAAGAAAAGGGGAAGAGTCCATGGACTCTGAGGATGAAATACAGGTATTATAACACCCTATTCCATGAGGTATTTTGTCAATTGGGGTTTAGGGAGCATGCTACTACTTAGCCTTCTATTTGTAGCCAATTTGCCTTTGCATTTTGGCTGGCAGTTTCCAATCATTGTAGTCAAGGCCTGATAAATTAGCTGAAATCTCTTTTGGTGGAGTTGGTTCATTGTTAGTCTATTTTATCATTTTATATGACAAGCCTTAGATGATTCTTTCATGCTTCATCTAGCTATGACTTACTATTATCTTCTATTCATTCTTCAATCCTTTTTTTCACATGTCGCAGGTTCTGAGGTGCATTATCCCCGATCCAATGAAGCAAGAGCTTTTAGTTGCTGAAAATATTCCAGATCCTTTGGCAGGAGAACAGGTTGTTTATTGGATTCTGTGTTATATTTGGATTTTCAGCTCTTATAAGATACTTGGTTCCTATATTTTTCCATTATGTACAACTTTTCAGCTCTCCAATACATTTTGTGCTATAGATATAGTTGCTCAAAGGTAGCACCCCCGCAACCCCCCCCCCCCCCCCCCACACACACACGCACTAATTATTGTCTCACTACTTGATTCAGACATGGCCTACAGAGGCAGAAATGGCTGAAGCTGAAAAAAATCGTGAGGAAAAGGTGAAGAACAAAAGGCTTCCTAAAGATGTATCCGAATACCAGGTTGGACATTTTTCCCAGTCTTTAAGTTGCTTGTTTTCCTTCTGAGATTTTTCACCTCTGATTGTTGAATGTTTTGCAGGCTGCATGGATTTTGGATGATTCTGATGTCGATGATTCTGATAGCGATGGAATTGAAGATGATGGTATGGCTATGGATGTTGGGCAGAGCGACAATCTAGACCAAAAGCTCCGGAATGGCTTTGGCTTTGATGATGATCAGGCTTCCCTAAATCTTCGAGATTCAGATGAAGAAACCGAAGCTGATTCTGTAATGATGGTAGGTAATTCTAATGGTAAATGATAATATTGTCAATCCGCTCAAGCAATATATATATATACTATATAGTATTCCACATTGAAAAACAGATCGTATTTCTGCATTGGTGAACCAAGAAGTCGCTTGGATCCAAGCATGATCGTTCTTAGATATGCTATATTCCCTGGATCATTCTAGTGGCTTTCATCTATATGTTCAATAGTCCCGGAATGCTTTGGGTCCCATTTTGTTAAATGCTTCTATGCATTTTGGATATATTTTGGACGCCATATCATTTTCTCAAAGACAATTTCCTATTTAGGAATGAAGGCTAGGCTACAATAAAACTAATTGAAATTGACCTTTCTTCCTGAAATAAGGGGATTGTGGTGTTAGAATTATAGAAATGTATTGATTTTTTCCAATTTTCTACACAAGGTCCCTTTATACATTGAGTGTCAACAAGTAAGTTTTGTGTACAGGAAGGCGACAACCTAACCAATGAGCAGATAGCAGACCAGATTAGAAAAATCAAAGAAGCACATGCTGAAGATGAGGGTAAGTATCTTGGTGTTGATATTCCTTCTTTCCAATTGAAGTTTTAACTTACGTCTGGTACAATTCAGAATTTCCCGATGAAGTGGATACACCTTTGGACGTCCCTGCTCGAAAGCGATTTGCAAAGTATAGAGGTCTTAAGTCTTTCCGAACTTCATCTTGGGACCCCAAAGTATGTTATTATCTTAGATCGAAGGAACTGCCCTGCTTGTGAATCCTGTTTGACTAATTTATGATTTTGTAGGAATCTTTGCCTCCTGAATATTCTAGGATTTTTGCCTTCGAAAATTATACAAGAACACAAAAGCATGTTCTTACAAAAGCTTGTGATATGGAGCAAGAGCTAGAGCACGGCATACCAGCTGGCTCATATGCAAGGCTTTATATCAAGGACATAAGGCATGAGCTTGCATCCAAGCTATGCATGTTGGCGAACAGGATGCCAGTAGTGGCCTCTGGTCTTTTACAGCATGAGTCTAAAGTATCTGTTCTCCATTTTAGGTAACTTTTTTTGCACCCACTTTCTTGTTTGATTGACTTCTTCAATACTCAAGTTGATATATATATACATATTTAATAATGTCCAACTTATATGGGTCTGTAGCATTAAGAAGCATGATTCGTATGATGCTCCTATAAAAGCTAAGGAAGAGTTCATATTTCATGTTGGCTTCCGGCAGTTTATATCAAGGTAACTTTCTTCTTATCTTATCTTTCAGAAAAAAATAGGAAAAGAAAATATATGTATATATATGAAGAGAGGGAGAGAGAGAGAAAGAAAGAAGAAAGCTATGCACTTAACCATCTGAACTTTGCTTGACTACACAGGCCAATTTTTTCTTCTGATAGTATCGATTCAAACAAGCACAAAATGGAGAGATTTCTTCACGCAGGCCGTTTTTCTATTGCTTCAATTTTTGCTCCAATATCTTTTACTTCCCTTCCATTAATTGCCTTGAAGAGCCAAGAAGGTGCTTCTCCTGCTGTTGCTGCTGTTGGTTCATTAAGAAGTGTAGATGCTGATAGGATTATTCTCAAGAAAATTATCTTAACTGGGTAAGAATAATCAAAGTTTATCAATATCTCATGATGTGTTCTAATGATGGCTGTGTCCCTGTGAAATATATCTTTCATGTTGTTGATAGGTTTTATCTCTCTCTCAATTCGTTCCACAATAAATTCTTTTACAGATGTGTTTTCTTTTATTTTTTTTAATGTTTTTTTCATAAATGACGAAAAAAATCTATTTCCAAGACATTCTTTTTTCTAACTTGATATGTTTTACCTTTTCTTTTTAACAAGGCATACCCAGAGTAGTTATTGTTGGACGAAACCTCACTTAGTTTCCTACTGAAATTGCTTCACTTTCTACCTATTCAATGCAATTATTTAACTTTTTGTATATCCCAGTATATACTTTGAGCTTATCTTTAAACATTAAGTCAGAGGATCATCATATATTGAGATTAGTTTTACATGCTATAAGTTGGGTTATGTGCACAAAATATACTCTAGTCTGAGTTAGGGTTAGGGTGCTCTTAAGCCCTGCCTATTTGGAAATTTTGTTGATAATTATTGCGACGTTATTCTGTTATTGTTCTATATGTGCTAAAGCATGCAACAATGCATACAAAGAGCCTTCACTTTATTGTGTGCTGTGTGCTATTTATGTATATGCTTCATGTACATGATTTTGAATTTGCTGGTTTCTGTACTTTCTTTTGAGTTAAGCATGCTTCTTCCATTTCTGGGATGCAACATACTCTTATTAATGTCTGGAAAATCCATATTAATTCCTTTTGCCATTATCATTTGTTTTTAGTTACTGCAATTGATGGTTGAAATATAGCCATAGAATGAAATTTTTCTACTGAACTTGGTATATCAACTCACTAAATATGACATGTCTATTGCAGTTATCCACAGCGTGTGTCCAAATCAAAGTCTACTGTGAGGTACATGTTTCATAATCCAGAGGATGTGAAATGGTTCAAGGTAGGATTGCACCTTAATGGATGAATTGAACTTATTACTTGCCAATCCATCTCTTTCAATTCCCCTTATTGTTATTTTGTGTTATCAATTGCAGCCTGCCGAACTCTGGACAAAATGCGGTCGTCGTGGTCGCATCAAAGAGCCTGTAGGAACACATGGTATGTCAAATCCCCTGATTAACTTTTTGGCTAGATTTATCATTTATTCCATGGGGCATGGACTACAAAAGTCCCCCTGTTTTATGTTTTGTTTATGTAGTCTGTACTTGACAATTTTTACCTGTTCTAGTTTTTACATAATTCCCTTTTAACAATTTCTACTATGTGTTCTAGAGCTTAGAACTACATATTCATCACCACTGTCCAAACAAACATTGAGTAAACTTGTGTTGTCATTGTGTGCCAGGTGCTATGAAGTGCATATTTAATGGTGTTCTCCAGCAACACGACACTGTATGCATGAGCTTGTACAAGCGCGCATATCCAAAGTGGCCCGAGGAATGGTTTCCACTAGAGCAAGAAGCTTAATTTTCTTGAATAGTGGACACGAATTTGCAGCATACAGAAGAAGGCAGTTCAATGTGAAATGGGAATGAATTGTTGGTAATCCTACTATAAATTTTGTTAGTGACAAGAGTTGAAGGATCAGTAAAAGTTATTATCGTTAGGCAGGCGGATCATAAGTTAGTTTTGTTGTATATTAGATGCATATACTTCTAATTTGTTATATGAAAAAAAATGCATTATTTCTTACATTTGCTTCCTCGGAGCAATCCATTGATTTTTGTTATGAAAGGACCAGAGAGTTGTGCAAAAACATTTGCTTTTTGTTATATTTTATACCTGAATTTGGATTGCAAACACTTGGGTAGTTTTACTTTTATATGGTGAAAATACTAATCTTATTGCATGGTGAAGAAATGTAGGCTTATTATTTGATTACACGGTGCCATTACTTGTTTCAAATTTGGCAGGCAGCAATGCACAAGTTTGTGATTGACATTGAAAATAAAAGACCATAATAAAATGTTAAAACAGGACATAAATCTCATCTCAACTGGGATTCCATGACTAAACAGTGTTAACTTTGTCTGCCAGTGTTCTTAATATACACCCTAAACCAGCTCTCTCTGTCAGCTTCTCATGGATTCTTAAACACTGATCACATGTGGGACGATCTCCGGTCGATAGCCCTCTATACAAGTACCTACCAAAATTGTCACAATAGAATAAAAAAATGTCGATAGAAACTTAAAAAATAAACCGTCTTCGAGAAATAAGAACTTTATGGCCTACACTACACTACACTACATTTGGTATGTTAAATTTATGATCAAGCTATATGGATTGATCTGATCTGATCTTACCCTTATGCCTCAGGTTGGTCAAAAAATGACAACCAAAGAAAAATTCAAACAGAATTTAGTTTTGCAAGATATTATATCTCTTGTAACCACAATAAAATCCATCAAACCCCAACTACAAGGCAATCAAGAATCAAACAAAGACTGCATTTGTTTTTGGATCAAGACATCATCTATTCCAATGCTTTTCTTGAAAGTTCTAAACCAAAATGTAACCAAAAATCAATAATAATGATAATAGTAATGGCAATAATACAGTAACACTTACTTCATTAGGACATCATAGTACTCGGAATCAAGGGACGACATCAAACTATCCACATCTTTAATAGCCATTATCGCTCTGTGCACCACAATCCAGTTTGCAGACTGTCTCCCAAAACATATTACAAAAACATAAAACTCAATCAATGCCTAATTCATAAAAACCCTAGAATCGCCAAAAACAAAAAATGACAATAATTACACACAAACCTTACAGCGCTCGTCTTCAGTGCGAGGTGGGGAACCTTCCAGAGCCGTCTTGAGAGCCTCCACTGGTTTGTGCCTGAAATCCAAAGCAAAGCAGAGCAGAGCGATCAATCGAGGGAGGGGATGATGACGAAATGGTGTGGATCGACCGGCCATCATTTTACTTACTGTTTGAGCAGACTCTCGATCTTGCGGGATTTGTGCTCGATTCTGGTAAATATCGCTTCTGCATTCTCGGCCTCCACGAAATCTGCCATTTCCGATTCGATTTCGGTGGTTCTTTCTTCTCGCTGATTTTGGGGACGTTCGAAATGGCCGGGGAATGAAATGTTTCAATCTTTGCGAACGTCCCCTTTGGGTTTTTTTGGTTTTTTTTTTAAAGTATTAAATTAAAATACAGAAAACAAATTTACAAAATATATTTAAAACTTACAATCATAATACAACTTATAATAAAATTTATAAGGTAAAATTTTTTTAATTGTGTTGCCTATGTATTTATTTATTTTTTAAAAATATTAAACTAAAATACAGCAAAAATTTTTACAAAATAGTATAAATTAAAAATTACAATCATAATACAATTTATAATAAAATTTATAAGGTAAAAATTTTTAAATTGTGTTGCCTATGTATATACTTCAAATAATTAATTATCACTTTCGGTCGTACTTTGAACTTCATCGCTTGAGTTTGTGTTAATTGGTTCGTGTTGTGTTCGGTCTTTGGCCTTCACCCAATCGGCAAACAAGTAATGATTTTCTAATTGTTCAGCGGTCAATTTAGAATATTTTGTATTCGATATATTTTCATACATACTAAATGTTTCGTCGATTGAAATATTTGACACAGGACATGCAAATATATCTCTTGCAATTAAGAATATGATAGGATAAGTGGATGCTTTCTTCGACCACCATTTTATAATATCAAACTTATCTAATTCAAAGTCGTCATATTCAAACGAAGATGTTAGATAATTTTCAAGTTCTTGATATGGATTTAAATTTGTTCGATTTTTTAATTTGACATCATAAAAATTACAATAACGTAAAAGTTGGGATGGTAAACGCAAACTGCCCCAAATAATATAACCATGTTTACTATTAGTATCTTGGCTTCCGGTACTACTATAACTTATATCACGGTCATATTGAATTTTATACTCTTTAAAAATATGCATTAAAACTTGTTTAATTTTAAATATAATTAAATTAGATTGAGGAATGTCGTCATCTTTTTCGGAAAATAATGAATATTGTTAATAATTCTTCTAAGCCATCTAGTTTTACTCTAGGATCAAATACTTTAGCAAGTAAAAATATATTAGGAATATGTAAAAAATATTTTAACCATTTAATTTTTATTAAAACAATTGCATTTTGTAACAAAGAATATGAAGTATGTCCATTTAAAATCAGTGCAATTTTAACACAATGATCTACGGCTATACTAGAAGTAGGATAATAAATATAAGATAATTCATTAACAACATCATTAAATACTTGTAAAATATCGCATAAATTTGAATATAAATCCCATCGTGGATTCAGTGTAAAACCACATTCTTTTGCTTCTTGTGAATAAAAATCACACAATGCATTTTTATATTTATAAGATTTACGCAACATTTTATAAATTGAAATCCATTAAATTGAGCTATTAAATGAAAATTTTTCTAGCATAATGTTATTTTTTTTACAATATTTTTTCCACCGTTTGCATGTCTTATTAAATAAGAAATAACTTGTTTATAGGATAAATATAATTTTGTAAACAAGAAATACCATCTTCAGCACATAGAGTTAAAATACTACAAATATATCTAATATAAAAAATTTTACCACTAATTGATGGTCGACAAATTTGAATTAAGGATTCTAAACTAGTCGTGTTAGTACTTACATTACCAAATGAAATAGAAAATTTTTTTTGTAACTAAATTATATTCTTTCAAAATCGAATTTATTCCGTGCAAAATATTATATGTTGAATGTTCTACATCAAACTCTCTAAATGCAATTAATCGTCTTTGTAAAATCCAAGAATCATCGATCCAATTACATGCAATGCTTATATAACAATGTTCTCGACAAGGATCTCTCCAAATATCCGAACATATTGAAACCTTATTCTTCAAATTAGAAAATATATTAATCAGTTCAACTTTCCATTCAACAACCATTTTATCAATATCCCGAATACGTGTAGAACGCCAAATTCTTTTGGCCGAAGGATGGTAAGAATTAGTAATCCATTTTTCAAAACACAAATCATTTGCACATACAAATTTAGCGAATTCTTTCCTAGCAATCATATCATTATATATATTTAAATAAAATTGTAGAATTATTTACCTTGTAATCAGAAGAATTATTTTGTGGAGCCATACCTAAAGAAACAGTCTTCACTTTTACACTGGAGCTAGAAGATGAGCCCTGTGACATATTTTTTTATTTTTAAATAAGAAATAAATAAATTTATATGAGAAAGCAAATTTATAAAAATAAAAAAAAAAAGAAATGCCAAGAGAGAAATGAGAGCAGCTTTGAGAATTTAGAGAGCAAATTTCAGAGTTTGGTGTGAAAATTACATCAAATGAGCCCAGGTATTTGTAGAAAATTAAATATAACGGTCACTAAACCGCCGGTTTGGTTCAAACCGCCGGTTTAAAGGCGTAATTAAATCTTGTCCATCCAGTTTTAACGGCTACTAAATCCTATCCATTCATTTTAATCATTATAATAATTATAAAACCGGCGGTTCGCAACCGGCGGTTTAAAACCTTTTCTGCAAGTCTATAGACAGGCCATATTTTAAATTCTTAGAATAATGTGTTTATTTGCTAGATTTTAGTTATTAATCTTATTTTGTAGAATAAAATTTTGTATTGAAATAATTATAAAATTTAATATAAATATATATTGATTTAGTAGATTTATATCTAAATTTATCTTATTCATGGATTAGATTACTTAAATTTAATTCTATCGAATCTGTTTTGTATTGCCTCTCTTTATTTTGATAATCAATAATATAATCTCATTGTTTTCTCCCAACATTTCTAAAATTTTAATAATATAATAAATTAAACATAAATGTATTTGATAATATTTTTGAAAAAGTTAAAATTGAAATAGTACAACTATGATAAAAATTTCAAAGTAAATATAAATAGATAAATAAAATATGTACTTTATAGCTAATGAACTTTAGTTTAATGATAGTATATTATAATATTATTTTTTTACTATTTTTGTCCGTTACATATAATTTATCATTCTTTTTTTGAAATATAATGATATATTTTAATTATATTTTAAAGTTTATAATTTATAATTTTTTTTAATTTTAATTAAATTATTTAGTTATTTTAATTTCAATTTATAATTATTTTTATTATACAATAATTATTTTTATTAATAAATTTTTTAATTATTTATTAATTATATTTTCTAGTGTCTACCTATACACTTTTCCTAGGACCGATGAAGTAATACCTAAAACTTCATATCCCACCTAAAGTGGACAAATTAGCTGAAAATGAGCTAGTACCAATAATATTTTATTAAATTAAAACTTATTTATTTATCTTTTTCTTCAATTAATAAATATTTTTATTTATTTTTAAAAATTTTTATATAAAATTAATTTGTGGTAATAATAAATAAATAAATATATATTTTTATTTACTTATATTATATAAAATTTTTTAAATAGCAATAACATGCTTAAAAAAATAATAAAATATTACTACCTCCGTGTCTGGTTGGAGTTTTGATCACTGTAGAATGTATTAAGATAACTAATTAGTTTAACTAAAATTAAAAAAATTAAATTAAAAAATTTAAAAGAAAATTAAAATGGATAATCATTTTAAAGAAAAAAGGAAAGTAACGTGGGACGGACATAATAAGTGGAATATAATTTATTATGAATAACTTAATTGCATACTTTATTTATAATTAATATGAATTAATTTATAAACAATATTTAAATATTTATTTATAGAGTAAAAAAAATGGTTAATTAAATTGATTAATACTATAAATGTCTTAAACATTTTTGCAGTATTTTCCGAAAATTACATCCAACAAAAGTCTGAAACTATTATTTTATTATATCTGCTGCAGCTTCAGCTTCAGGAACGAAGATTGTTCAGTGGCTGGCTGAGATGGTTTCCTCAACATTTTTGAGCCCGGCGACTTGCTTGGCCTCCATTCCGCGACTGCCCTCCACCGCCACTTTCTCCGCATCTCTCCCTTCGCTATGTCCTGGTCGAACATCACACTTGGGTCTCATCTCCACTTCAAGGATGCGCGCCAAGTTCGAGAAATTCCAGGGCCCTGAAAATCCGGAAGAAGACAACACACAACAAGCTTCAATTGAGCAAGTCGAGCAAGCTCAAGAGGATGACAGGTGTTGCTGCAGCTGTGTTTATTTTGAGGATTGTTATTACTTTTGTTCGCCTAAATTGTCCGTCTGTCTGTTGCTGTGATTGTGAATTTTGTTCTTAGAACCAAATATGGTTAAATTCGTGGCTTAGATACATTGAAAAACAATCAATAGGATTATAGCTTCGTTTTGCTTTCAGAAATTTATCATGAAAATTTGTGAATTCTGCATAGCTTTTTTGGCGATATGATCAGTCTCAATGTTCCCAATCTTAACTTGATTACATGCGGCAGATTATCAATTGATTGGAATTTCATCTTGTCGCCATGATCACTTAGCTTTTCTAGTTTCAGAATCAGAGCGGATTTCGTGGCTCAATTTTGGGGTCCGTACAGGAAACAGGCAAATTTTATTAGTTCATACGAGCTAATGACATAAACTTACTATGGCCTTTTTGGCTAGTCATAACTGTATCATCAATTTCCAAAATGCATTTCGGCGATGCTACTTTAGTTGAAATTAGTTGCCTTTTATTTTGATTCATTTCATGGCTTCATCCCTCTGCACCTGAGACCTATGCAAGTATTTCTTAATTTCATTCCTTTTATATTTCAGTTGCTTGCCTTCTGATTTGGAAGGTGCCGTTCGACAGTCGGGGCAAGCAAGTGCACAGTTTGTTTCCTCTGGAGGGATGAGAGCTATAGTATGTATATGTAAATCTGTACTTACTGTGCTGTTTAAGTGTGTTCCATTTGATTTATGAATTGTGAAACGATGACTTTGATGATAATAAACTTTCATAGGGGGAATAAAGAAGATAAAAGGAATAGAATAACTTTCTCATGATCATGAATGATTGCTGTTTGCTGGTTATAAATTTATGTGTTACTACGATAGTGTTTAAGTGGGAATTTCAGTGATGGTGCAATATTTATTATCATTTTAATCTTCTTTTCCTGTAGGTTGAGTTATTAATTCCTCAGCTGCAATTCCTTGATGACGAAGGAGCACAAGTGGAGCTCTGGGAGCTATCGAAGATATTCTTGGATACACTTATTGAAGAAACAGGAAGTCAGGTTGGTTTGTGGTATTTCTAGAATTATAACTATAGCCAATTCATATATTGCTATTCTTATATATATATTGTGGATATATTGAATTCATTTCATCTCTGCCAAAAATTTAATTGATGCACAAAACATATAGGTTGCAAAAAACATACTTTAGCCCAGCATAAATCTTTTATATTAGTTGGATGGATGCAGCTTTGGCCCTCGTTTATTTTCGGTTGATGAGATGTAAGACATTTTTTGGATATAGAGAGTTAAAGCCATATTTCCAGATGCTGGAGCTGCTGCACTACTAAAATATCAGTGGAAAGACGCCGCATTTGGATTCGCTAGGTAGATATTAAATCAGAAAAGTTCTATTTTTATTTTTTAATATCTGTAATTACTGTATATGCAACTCCTTTTGGCATTTGAATCCGTCTGTTTTATATTCCATGACTTCAAATGTATAGCAAAAGTACTTTGTATGAAGATCATACAATACGATCCATTATGTGAAAATACTTTCTTGTTATGGTTTTTTTTAACTCTTCACATTGAATGAAGAAAGCCATTGCTCTCATTATATAAACAAGTCTAGGAGTTTTCAATCCGAATATGAGGTGCAACATTAATTTACTATTCTTTTTTTTATGGTCTTTTATATCATACAATTGCCAGTTTATTTATGCAGTTTGGGGGACCGAAAGCCTGTAACTAATGAAGATGAGATTGTTGTGATGGTGGTTCCTGATTATCAGATGCTTGGGTTTGTCGAAAAGATTGCTTCTAGTCTCTCATACGATTCGGTATTGGCGTAATCTCTTTTATAACATATATTTTCAAATTGCAATAGAATCACCTAGTACATAGAACTACCAACACAGGTTCAAATGGTTTGGGTTTCAGAAGAAATGTATCATTTTGAAATGTAGGAATGAAATAAGAAAGTTTTGATTTATGTAATGCTGCGTTTTACCTTGTTCATAAATGAAATTTCGAGCCAAAGTCTTAATTTGTTAAATAATTCTTATCACTCTTTGATCTACCCTATCCATTATCATTGTGTTAAACTCGAATTTTTAGTATGAGATGTCTATCTTTTTACAAGTTATTTGGAATACAGGGTAGCTTAATGTAATTTGTTTGCATTGCACTCGATTCGTGGAATGCTTGTTCATTGGAAAATATTTGCTTTTGGTTCTAACTAAATTCCATAAATATAATTAGCCTAGGCCTCTTATCATGTGGAACCCACGGCTAATTAGCGAGGATGTTGGAGTTGGCATCAATGTCCGTAGACTACGGCGTGATTTCTTAAGGTACTTTTCTGAAGGTTCCATTGTTCCAGATTAGAAATAATTACATGACACTTCAAGCTTGATTCATTCCATCTCTATTGTTCAAAGAATTCTAGGAACTAAAGCCTCGATTTTTTCATGAATCTGTGAGCATTAAATATATATACCATGAAACGAGCTGCTTTGAGTCTTAACTATTTTCTGACACGATTGTTTTTAACTCACAGCACATTCACAGTTGTCTACTCAATGAAACCTCTTCCCACCGGCGCCGTGTTCAGATGTTACCCTGGGTAAGTAAAGTTCATCTAGCTAGTTTTTACACTAAAATAATTACGATTTCCTTGTTTGCTTTTGACGAATTTTCCAAGTGTGTAATGTAAGCCTTGGGAATATATTCTCACATCAGATTATGGAAGGTCTTTTACGACGACAGCGAGCGACCCAACAGGTATCTGCTTGCCAGGGAACTCATACGTCGTCCTGACATTGAAGACCTCGAGGTCAGTGTAAGAAACAGCATCTAGATTGTTTGTGTTAGAAAGGTTGATTATTGTTGTTCTTGGTTTGTTAGATAATTTTTGGTGATCAAGACAAGATGTCGCCGGAGAAGGGGCCGTCTTTGTTTGATCAAGCAGCCGGCATCTTCTCGTCCATAAATCGCTTCATGAAAGTGATTTCCAGATAAGTCTCCTCACCATTTTGTCACTCTCTTGCTATCATTTTAATTTGGTTTGAACACAAACAATCTTTGTTGAATCAAATACCTGTTTGATCATATAGCTGATTTTGACGAGGTTGTCTTTATTATTGGTATTATCCTCTGAATGTTGAGAGAGAGAGAGAGAGAGTAGAAATAATTGGTAGAATGTCAATTGCAAAGACAGTGTGGAAATTGGCAGTTTTGGTACTGTTAACCTCATGAGATGAGAACTACTTTTACCTAATAATTTATACAACTCTCTCTCTCTCTCTCTCTCTCTCTCTCTCTATATATATATATATATATAATATATGTATGTATATATTTGTGTGGTCGAGATCAATGACAAATCTTGTGAAGAAAAGATGGATGGGTGCATGGATGGATGTGGTGTTTGTCCCAATCGAAATGGTGAAAAATTCCTAAAATTAATTCATCCTCATCACAAAGATCCTACATACTTCTTAGTTCTTTAATCATCTATCCATTTTTTTTCATATTTGGTTTATTTCATAACAAAATATTCATTAACGTTACAAATACCCTTCAAATTTAAAATATATTATAGAAATATCATTATTTTTATTAATATACTTTTTATTTTTATTTTTACTGCATCTGAGTATAATACTATTATTTTTAAAATTTTGTGCAAAAAAGCAAATTGATTCAGGTAAGATGGAGTATTATGTTGGAGAATTTTAAATTGGTAGGGTAAAAAAAAATAATGGGTATCCGATTGTGTTTTAGATTCACTTTTATTTCAACCCTACATTTGGTATTACAAAAAACAACTTTGTAGGAATAATTTGTAATCTTTTTATTTTGACAGCAAAAATAAATATTTTTAATTGAATGTGATTTTTTACGAAATTGGTACAGTTCTTCGATGAGATGTGACTTTTCAAGAATTGACACAATTCATTTGGTTATTTTTCTTAGACGAGAAATTAATTTATGCAGAAAATTGATATTTGTTCATAAGTAGGTATAGAATTCATCACGATTAAATTTCACTAAAATTATTAACATATTGTACATAATTATAATTAAGTTTATTTGTAATTCTTAAAAATATTACTAAAAAAAATGCAACGTATGTCTATAATAATAAAAATCAATCAAAATATCCAAAATTATAGATAAATAAATATTAAACAAGCACATTTTAAATTGTGACCATCCATTAATTTATGCATACCCTTTTACTTTTCGCAATATAGACTTTCTCAATATAATAAATGAAAAACATTTTGAATAAACCTCAAATTACAAGTTTGGTTGTTGATCAAATTGAGTGGTAATTTTTTATTTTTATTTTTTTTACATCAATAGAATTATGTTTTGTTTTAATTCAGAGTTTCTAAACTTTGAAAATTTAGAAAAAAATAAAATAATAATAATAATAATAAAGGACTTGAATCTTTATTAGAGAGAGATTGATTTGATTGGTTGAAATAATAGAGAATAGAAACAATTTCAAATAAATGATTGGATGAATTCAAATATCCCACACGTGTTTTTGATAACTACGTTTCTCCAACTGCTAAAATAAATATGTTGTGTATCATTAAATTCTTTGAAGTTTGGCTAAAAATTCATTTATTTTTTTTTTTTTTTTCGCTATCCCGGCCGAACTTAACAGCCTGCAAACTAGGCCCGACGGAAAAATCAAGTGACATGAGGCATCGAGGGTTTGAACCCATAACTTCATAATCACAAGTCCTGCACAAAAAAAAGAAAAAAAAAATCTTTTCTTTTTAAAACAAAAATAAATTCATTCAATTTTAATTAAACTACATCTAGCTATGACATTTTCTTTTCTTTTTAAAACAAAAATAAATTTATGCATTCTTTCATTTTCATTTTCACATCATTACCACGACTATTCTAATCTTTTAAAAAATGGTAAAAATTTTCGTTTAAAATACTATTATATTCAATGTATTCAAAGCACATTTTCACTTAAATAATTTGAAATCCAAAATACTAAAACAACCTAAAGTAAAAAAAAAAAAAAAAAAAAAAAAAAAAAAAAAAACTACAAGCCTTCCATTATCCTTGTTAATTCATTGAGGCAATTTTCTCGTATTTAGCTTCTTTTTAATTTTTATAATGTTATGCTTTTTGAATTTAGATATATAATTTTGTACTTATAATTTATTTAATTTCTTCGTTAACAAATGTTATGAAATCTCGGGCTCTGCTATGTATGACGATTTAAAAAAAAAAATTATAATGTAACATTACATTCCTTGTAAAAATGTACAATTTTTCTATACAAACTTCTAACAATTATTGAAATTTATAGAAATGTGCAGTTTATAACCAATTTAGAATTATGTGACCCTAATTAATTCAATTCATCTAAAAAAAGTTAGTAAATCTTATAGAATTATACATTTGATTTAAATATTAGACCTGAATTTTTTGTGAATTGAACTTTAATAATATATATATATATATATAATTTGTCAAAAATGGTCATTCCACATATTAAAAAGATTGACATATGTTAGTGATTTAACATTTACAATAAAGATAGTCAAAAAAAACAAAAAAAGGACAGAAGAATACTGTAGGCTAAACAAATTTAATATTTTAATATATATATATATATATATACATTTCTTTTTTTTTTTTTTTTAAGATATATTTCATTTTTTATCAATATATATATTGAGTGGAGTTGATGAGCTCTAGCTTGTTCCAATCAATTTGGGAAAAAGTTCAATAAATATCTTACTTGACATTCAAATTTATTGTGAGCTGAATTTAGATTTGATTTAGTAAATAACCATTAACATAACAATATTTAAAAAAAACAACAATGCAAAATTACTTTATATTTTGTGTGGTTTATATTTATATTATAAAAATTGAATATAAATTTTAAAAAATCTAATATTTTAAAGATGAAAAATAAATAAATAAAAAAAAAATACTATGATAAGTAATTTTATATTATATTTGTGTTGCCTCTTCGATGTGTTTCTGTCCATATTTATTATAAGTTCACAAAATTTGAATATGTACTGCCTCATGTTGTCTCCTTTTAAATAAGCTAACAGTAATAATAATTCATGCAGATGCAGATTTCAATTTGTGGGAGTCACACACAATGTTTGTCTTTTTGTCTCTTCCAAATTTAATATATTAATTTTTATTGGTGGGTTTGGTGCAGTTTATTTTATTTTATTTTATTCTACCATATAAATATATATATATATATAATTATAACAATAAGTAAACAAATATAGATAATGAGTACCAATTTATTCATTAGTTAATAATTAATTTTGTAATTAAGTCAAATGCCCAAACCATGTCTTGGTTCCTTTATTAACAATTTTTAAAAACCTGAAGCTGTACGAATTAAGAACTAATTATTAATTATGTTTAATTTATCTAATATTTATTCATGTATAGATTTAAAATTCATATCATATTATTACATTGTTTTTAAAAGGAGGGAGAAGGTAAAAACACTGATCAGGTAATAAAAAGAGAAAGTTACTGTATTTAGTTAGCTTCGGGTATCAAAAGATTGTCTGTCCCAAAAATACAAGATAATTATTGACAGTACAAACACATCCTTATTGCATTGCCAATAATGAAAATAGGAACTTTCCCACTCAAATTTCATCATCTAAAATATAAATAAACAAAATTAAATTATTAAAAAAACTTCACCTTTGTTTAAAATTTGTATAAATATATATATATATATAGGATAATATTCATAATTTCATCAAGCATTAAAAACTTCTATTAAAATGGCCGGCAAATTCATAAAATAATTAGCTATAGAATCTCAAAAACAAGCCTTATACATTAACCAAAAGAAAAAAAAAAAAAAAAATGATATAAGGGAAATAATCAATGATTAGAGAAATCAGGACAATAAGTATAATATATATATCAAGAGAGAGAGAGAAAGAGAGAGAGAGAGAGAGAGCAGTACATGTAACAGGTGTGGCCGATGACACCAGCAGCAACCTCAGCTCTTCAACGTTATTCTGAATATTAATTTATATAACCCAAAAAAAAATTTGTCAGAAGCCATTGAAGGGCAACAAAGATTTAGCAAATCTGTGGTGTTGATATTCTAATATAATTATCGAAAGGTCAAACCTTTATTCTTCTCTTCTGTTAATTAGCAGTTAGTCAGCACAGCACACCACAACTCACCAACCAGGCCTCATCATCACTTGCCCCCACATCATACATCCTCCACACTGCATATATATATCTATATACTTCTCTTCCTGTAAACAATCTTGCTTTCTGCCTGTGTGTGTGTGTGAGAGAAAATATATATATGTATGTATATATACACAATACCCCATATCTTGTTCTTCACACATAGCTTTTTCAGCTAGCTTCAGTCAACTGATCATCTCTGTGTATTCCCTGATCATTATTTGTGTTTAAGTTCTTGTGCAGGTGTGGTGGAATAGTGATATATATATATATATATATATAGATATGGAGAATGATGGTGCAGAGTGTGGTCCTGAAGAGAGCAGCTGGACTTTTTACATTGAGGGTTTCATGTGTGAGAACAATGGTGGTTGTTTGTCTTCTGAATTGGAGGAGAGCCCTTCTCTTGTGTCTGATGCAGCTTCTTCTGCAGTCAAGATTAATTATAAGAACAATCACTTGATCACTACTGCTGCCAATGATTGCTGTAATTATAATCAGGTAGGGTTTTCAGCCGCCAAGAAATTAGATGATCATCATCACTTCACTGCTTATAATAATAAGAAGCATAAGAACAAAGTCATACCTCCAGTGGACTATGATTTGGAGGACACTGCAAGTTCTCCTGTAAACAGTCCAAAGGTAATTAATTCATCAGACTCACACCTCCAATCATTACAGTTACTATTGTTGTTATCAATTTATATATATGCATAGATATATAATTTTCCATTTTTCTTTGATCTTTTGCAGGTTTCATACATGACTAATCAGTTCATGAGACAGAAACAGAAGACTAACAAGGAGTATCCTGCAGATCATCATCATCATCATCTTAATCAGGTGAAGAAGAAGCTAATAAGAATAATTTCTAAGCAAAAAATTATTAATTCCGAGGTTGTAATAATTAATGTTGATCAGGTGAAGAGGAATATTTTTGGCAAGGAAGGAGGGCTATATGGTGGTGAAAGGAATTCCTAATCACTACAATTACACTACACAGACATGAAGAAATTAAAAGGGCCAGCTCATGTGCTTATGAATTAGGGCTGCTCAACATCACTTTCTTGAGTCTTCTCATTCCATAATCATGCTTATCTATGTATCTAATTTACCTGCTCTTCTGGTAAAACTCCATGCTCATCATATTCTTACACCATCACAAAGAAAGTAAAAAAAATAAAAATAAACTTTCTTGATGTCAGTCAGCATTGTTCATTCTTGCAGATATCTGCAATGACAGACAGAAATGTAATAAGTATGTTAAGTTTCCTCAATTCAATGTGTGTGTTAATGAATAAAAAGGGGAACTAAGTAGACTACATTCTTGAAGAATTTTCAGTTTAGAAATTTGCCTAATTATTGCCAAGATAGCAAAGAAGTGTGTGGATAGTTTAGCTACTGTTTTAGATAGATGGTAGGCTAGTTAGTATATGTAGATTCCTTTGTCTTCCTATCCTATCCTGTCATGTCCTGACCACCAGAATGATATATTAACATCTGTCTGTCCTGACAGCAGAATGATATATCAGCATTTTGGGAGTGGATGCATGATGCAATTGCACAACAGCTATCTATCTTTCTATCTATTTATCTACTATCTATGTTGATGACTGTGATGTGAGATATGAGAGTGATCTTGATTAAATTATTACAAAGCTAATGGTGATAGGGACAAATTGTGACTGAGGGAGTGAGCATATATGAATGTGCCCACCCATTAACTCTGTTGAAACTAGACCCACCCTTATTCTTCTTTTCTCTTATAAATAATAAAAGAATAATAATAAATAAAAAAAAAAACCTGTTTGACCTTGATCATTTGCTGATCAGATCAAAGTTGACATACAAAGCTTCTTCCTGGCTGACTTTATTATAATTTTGTATATACTTGCAGCCATTGCTTTTCAGTTTTTCCACAGATACACACACATATATATACCTTCTGTATATACATATGTGTGTGTGTGTGTTATGGTGTCTCTGGACATGAAAATAGGTTCTGTTGCAGCACATTGTTCCACCTAATTCTTCACTTAAATATTGGTTTTCTTTGCTCATTAAGTAGTCTAGTCCTACTCCAACAACTACAAACAGCTGCATAGGCATTTTTATTAGCAGGTAATTGTTTATTTAGTTGGATTAACATGAATATCAATTAATTAAGTAATTCTAAAGAATTATAATAAGGTGGTCACCTTATTCTTAAGTTCAATGAATTTGGATCCTCTAATCCATCCTAAAATGTTATTCAACACTTGTTTTATAGGGAGAAATACTAAATCATTATTTATATCTCAATACATACAAGAACACCTTGACCACATAAAATTGTAGAAAAAGGCAGTTGACAACCTTATGGATCATAGTCATACACTTGGTGAATCCATATATTTGAATAAATTGGCCATCATCATGAGTCACATTTGTAGACACATCAATTAAGCGAGGTCAACTATGAAAGAATATTGGTTATAATGACTTATTTGCAGTAATTAAATTATTTAACTTTAATGTTCCCAGAATTTCGAGTAATAGAAAAGAAACCATCCATCTACTTCTTATCAGGGAGTTTCTGTAACAGTTCTGGTATGATCTCAAAAAGGTCTCCCACAAGCCCATAGTCAGCAACCTGCAGCAATTCAAGCATAGTGTTATATATGAACAGCACGGCTCAACTATGTTAGATCAAATATGTTTGTCATTGAGCAGGCATAAAAATCATTAAAATAAAACGAACAAGCTAGTTCGACTTCAGAAAGCCCAGGGATGCACATGGAGGAGTCCAAAATTGATAAGGTTCATCTTTAATACAATGTCGTAGCACTGTAGTTTTTACTGTATGTCCATATCAGGGTCATTTTTAACCTTTTTTCCTTTTTATTTGCAAATAATGAATTCATGGCTGGAAATTTCACCCCCATTGCAAACATTCCCATTTCCCAAGTAATGCATTTAACAAGTGATGAAGCAGAGACAGATAACAGGGATTTTAATATTTTATTTTACAATTATATGAACAGATAAAAATGAATCAATTTTCTCTTTTGGTTTCCAGATAAAAGTTTTGCGGCTATTTACCACTAAATTCTTGTATCCAATTCAAACAATCCCAAGCAAAAGTTGTTCTGGGAAAATTTATTGCTGTATAGATTAGTGAATATATACACCACAGCAATATCACCTTTTTTATGCTATTGATTGTGCCCTTTGGATTAGAAACAGCAGCAGAAGCAGAATAAAAGGGAGAATTTGATCAGTACCTGAAAAATTGGTGCGTCTGCATCTTTATTTACAGCAACAATGACCTTAGAATCTCTTATTCCTGCTAGGTGTTGAATAGCGCCAGAAACACCAAATGCCATGTATAGTTCAGGGGCAACAATTTTTCCAGTTTGGCCAACCTGGTAGTATAACAGAGCCGGATCAACCAGACATGCCAACTTAAAAATTATAACTAAACAATCATCTGCACCTCTGTGTCAGTTAGGAATCATGGGTGTACATGATTTATTGGGATTTAACTCATAGTTTCAAATCTTAAATAATATAAATTTCCTTGATAATGTCCAGAATCAATTCTCCATATAAACATCTTTCCATAAAAACACCATGTGTATTGTTCTCTAAGCAATGTGTATCAGAATACATTATATGAGAAAAACCATTTTAAATTATTCAATGCTTTACCTGTAGGTCATTTGGTACATATCCAGCATCAACAGCAGCCCGAGTGGCTCCAACTACAAGAAATAAGAAACACTTCCCTAAGCTAAAATGCAAAATAAAACAATGATCTTGAAAGAGAGCTTAGCAACACAAAAGGGGGATGTTTAAAATGTATTTCAGCATTAAATTGATATGCAACTGATTTTGGAAGAAAAACCTGCGGCGCCAAGTTTCTCAGCAAGCTTCTCTATCATCTTGAAATTTTCTGCACTTTTTAATGCTCGTCCTCCAGTAACCACAACACGTGCGCTTCCAAGATCTGGGCGTTCTGTGTCTTGGGAAGACTGAGTTATGTACTTCGATTTACCCAATGCATTGTCTGGAAAATATTAAAGTCACAGGTCAAATCCTAATAATGATGAATTACATTTAACATCTGCCAAATCCATAGTAGAGCCAAGGGCAAAGTCAGTTAATAGGGATTTACATAATTTCTCATTTATTAATATTTTCAACTTGACAATTTCATTATTGGGTGAAACCTCTAGCAGATGGTTTGAAATTGATTCTAAGTTGTGTAGTACTAATGCGAAGTAGGATTGCAGCAGCTCAGTAACTATCGTAGGTAGAGTCAGAGAAGACCACCGGGGCTAGAATCCGGTGTTGGCTGGAATTGGAACACAGGAACTCATCTCTCTGATACCATATTATGACCAACTCACCTAAAAGATTAAGTTGATAGGGATACATTATGTTGTTTTTATTAAATTTCATCAACAAACAATATGTATGAAAGGCATCAGTCAAACCTTCACCAAAATTTGAAACATCAACCATATCAATCGATGCAGCAGTAGGCTTCAGTTGAGTTGTTGCTTGCCCCAACGGAAATGAGGTAGACCTAATGGTCAACATGCAAGGGTATGAACCAGTGTAACGGACTGTACTAAGAGCATTACCAGCATATATTGGCCTGCCAGGTTTATGTAGGAAGAAAGCAAATTAAGTATTTTTCCATAATGTGAGAAACTAATTTTCCATGTTTTCTACAAGAACTACTTCCTGAGTACCTACTTACTGTACCTGATAAAAAGATTAGATCCAGTGATCTCAATGACATCAGTTATAGGAGAAACATCTAAAAGGGCAGCTGCACGAGGGAGAATGTTTTTCCCAAAGGAACCTGATCCGGAAATTATGTGCGAGTAGCTGCCATTTTGTTGCACCATGTGCACTAGTTTGGCCCATGCTTCAGCCAGAGGATGTGTAAATTTATCTGAATCAGCAAGAAGCACCTGCACAACAACTAACCAAGAGAATTAGATACTACACTGAGTGAAGCTAACTGCACCTTATATAATTGCTAAAGAGTTACCATGATGAACATCACTGTTGGTTCCAAATCTGGTACACAACTACCCAGTTGAAGAAAAAAAATTACACTATCATTCAAATTTTTGGTGATTTGATATTTATTCTCTCCTCAATTATCCATCAACATCTATTTTAAATTCAAGACACTGTATACATAAACATTGCATATAATATTTATTTTACAATCTACAACATTGTATCAATAGCTTGTTTTCTCATTTGAAACATTACATCCAAAAACCTAATTTATATTAAAATTTTCAATTCAAAGCCCTGTAAAAAAATAATAACAACTGAACAACAAAACAAACACTCCCTCATTATTCTTTTTATTAAGCATTCGTGCCTAATATATCTATTACATAGAGCCACAATGTAAAAACGCGAATCGATACTAAAAGCAGCAAAATACATCGAAACACATATAAAAATTACCCGAGAAATTGAAGGATGACAAGAAGCAGCGTGATTAGCAGCTTCTTGTACGGAAGGGCCTGATCCCGCGAGCAACAAAGATACAGAATTATCCTCGCCCAAATATTTTGCAGCCTCCACCGCACTCAACGATGAAGCCTTAACACAGCCTGCTTCATGCTCGGCCAAAACCAATGTGCTGAGCTGTACAAACAACAAAGGAAGTCATCCCTTAGACGTCTTTCCAAATCCATTCACCGCAACGCCGCATCCAATTCTTAGTCTCTAACACAAAAATTATAGAAACGAAACACGGCCAAGAGCCGCCTCGAGTCTAGCGCGCGCCCAGACCCAGCGCTTCCATGGATTACCAAAATGATTGATCTGTCACCAAACCCCACATAGTTCAAAATTTTGTAAATGAAGCAAAAAGAATACTAGCTTACAGATCGAGATCGAGAGCAGGAAGCAAGGATTAATCGATTACGTAGAGCTCCGAGCAGTGAACGAATTGCCATGTTTTGATTTTCCGCCCTTTTTCAGAATCCCGTTCATTCCCTCTTATTATATTGGCCCTACTGCCTACACTACACTGCACAGCCTACTCTATAACCAATGACTCGCAAAAACGGCGTCGTGTCGTCTTTAATGTCTATCTATTTTTATTTATTTATTTTCTTAATGTCTATCTAACTTTTGCTTACTTGCCTTGCCACGTCTTCAAAGATGAGACTAACCCTATTATCAGATAATCCGATCAACTTTCCTTACTTATTTTTATTATTTTTGATAATATATGGACGTATTACTTTTATATTTTTTCGTGCTAGTAAAGATGAATATATTGTGTCTCTTGGAATTATTAATTTATTTTTATTTTTATTTTTTTAACTTTAAAGTATAACTGAGAAAAATAAATAGCAAGACACCAACATTTAAATATGGACCCGAAAAATTTATTGGGCCGGTCAGGTACAATTCAATTGAAAACCCATACCGAGTTTGGGCCCATGAAATTGGGGCTGTATTAATTTAGCCCGATTTATTAAAATATATAAAAAAATATATTGTTAAAATATATTAATAAATTATACTATAATACGATTAAAATTAATTATATATATTTAATGTAAAAACTCAACGGCCCTACATATGTTTAGTGGAGAGGAAATTATTAATAAGAATTTTCTTTACTTTTAATTATCATTATACAAGTTCTCTAATGAAGTGAGATGTTGGTCAATCAAATGCTACTTCAAACAACTTGACTATCTTTAAAAAATAAAAAATAAAAATAAAAAATAAAAATCTGAGTGATGTTAACATGACTATTGCTTATCAGAGTCATCGAATATTATATATAGTTTTTTTTTTTTTTCACAAGTTAAAAGGCTATCTGAAGTTTACCTAAGATATTTTATTTATTCATTTTTTATTTTTGCACGATATTTGTTCTGATCCAAACTAAAATTAATTTATTTGTTTTATTCCAAAATATCTAATTTTTTATTTTTAGTAAAATAATTTTATACTTAACTGCACTGTACTCCATGAATATATATTTTATAGATTGAGAACACATCGTGTGCTGAGACGACACACGTATTACTATAATATATACTCCATCCATTTCACATACCGCGTATATTACACTGTAGATATGTATTTTAGACACATATTTTAGGAGAGATGTAATTAGTCGATAATTAAGAATGTATCAGTAAAAATAATTATTCGATAATATAAATAATTATAAATTAAAATTAAGATAACTAATTAGTTTAATTAAAATTTAAAAAAAAATAAAATTAAAAAGTTTAAAATGAGATTAAATGTGTAATCATTTTCCAAAAAAGAAAATTAATAGACGGACTGAAACGCAATGTGGACATGATATGTGGGACGGAGAGAGTAATATAAATACAACAAATGAATTAACAACTCATGTTATAATTTAGTACAACACATACAACTGTTATTTTTAATTGTTATAGAATACATTTGTAATTATAAATAAAATATAATATATTTTTATTTTATATATGCTATGTATAATAAGATTATGTATTATTTTGTATATAACAATGTAATCGTTCTTATATTTTATGTTATTATCAATATATTGTTAGTGTTACATTTGTATGTTTATTTTTAGGATTTTTTTTCGTAGTTTTAAAAATATTAGTATTATATTAAGATATAAGTAGAAATAAAATAAAATTTTTTAAAATAACATAATAATATTTATTCACGTAGTTTTAAAAATATTAGTATTATATTGAGTAGAGTAGAAATAAAATAAAAATTTCTAAAATAACATAATAATATTTATGTAATATATTGTAAATTGTAAGCTACAGATATTAAAAAAATAATAAATATTTTATTATGGGACTAAAGGATTAGTATCTCATAAATATTCAACTAATTAATTACTATAATTTCCTAAATCTGCTTAGCATTTTATTAAGATGTAGTGATTAATTACAATATTAGACTGCTAATATTAATCCCGCTTAAACCACCACCGTCACGCTCTGCACGCAACTATCAAGACGAAAGCCATCGCGATTGCTTTCGTCCCTACCATCGTCTGCTAGAAAGAAGGCAGCTGCTGTATCCACTCCTCACCGATCTCTTGATTCCCACCATATCTGCGGATTCCGGGGCCACGATTCATTAGCCATGGTGTCGGCAACGAAGATCAAATCTGTCGATTTTTACAGGTTGGTTGGTTTCTGATTTTGGTTTAGGGTATTTGGAGTTGATTTTTGCCGCAACTGGACGAGCAGCTTTACATTCGGATTTCATTGCCCATTTGACAATAGGAATTACCAATCCAATGAGACAAGTTCCTAATTTGAACCTTTTGGTTGCCAGCGGATTGCATTCGTAGTTTTCACTCTTTTTGGTGTCAGGTCAAACTACGAATTCTTGCACGTAGCGCATAGGATTGATTAATATGTCGTAATCTATGTTAAAATCTTAGTGGGGATAAAGCAAAGTATGAAGGCAAGGCGTTCAATCTCCATATGATGAGATTTTCTTTGTCCGTTTTTGTTCTTTTAAATTCATTATGTTTGATAGTATTTTGAGTAAACAAGGTAGACAATTAAAGAAGTGGAATGAAATTTAGCCGTTTCAAACTCGTTGGATTCTAGTAAGATTTGAGAGAAATGTAATTTGAGCTTACTTCAGAATAAAGTACACCATAAATTGTTGTTCTAGAATTTGTTTGGTGTTTAGGTATAAAATGCCATGTATTATGTTGTGCAGGAAAATTCCCAGAGACCTGACCGAGGCATCACTGTCAGGTGCCGGATTGTCAATTATAGCTGCTTTGTCCATGATGTTTTTATTTGGAATGGTAATAACTTACTCCTCATTGTTCAAGGCCTAATAAATTCACGCACGATCAAATATTCAACCAGAAAACTTTCCTATGTTTTTGTGTTTTCTATTTTAATAGCTGCTGTATAATTCTGGTGTAAATGTAGGAGCTGAGTAGTTACCTGGCAGTGAGCACTACTACATCAGTTGTCGTTGACAAGAGTTCTGATGGTGACTTTTTACGAATTGTGTTCAATGTCAGGTAGAGTTTCAAACTGAAAAGTGTCTTGTTAGTTGTTTTTGGCACTCCTCTGAACTGCAATCTATTTATCGTTGCACAAGAACTCATGTAAGACTAGTCTATAATCTCAAGGCAGCATTCATTTTCAGCAGGTGGATGAACATATTTATTGGCCAATTGATATTTTCTCTCCTTAGTTACTGTTTTCTCAACTATCATTACACATGTATGGAACTTACCTGGCAAAGTTCAGGTTCTACTTGGATATAAGAATTTTCATTTCTTTTTTGGTTTCCTTTCCCACACTTTTAATGTCACATGAACTTTAAGACTCTGAGATCCATGTAGATGCTTCAACAGCACTATTTGGTCACTTTAGATGTGCTTGATACTTGTAATTCCAAGTCTGGCATCATGACTGCATATACAATGATGTTCCAGAATACATTATTTATGAATTATTGATGCCAATTGCATACAGAGCTTTTAGATGGCCAAGTAAACTTCCTTTATCTGCATCGTTTAATATCTTTATAATAGACTTCATCTTTCTGAATTGTATAGACCCCTTTCTTAATATCTACAACTGATGAAAACTTTTCTTGTAGCTTTCCAGCATTGTCTTGTGAATTTGCATCTGTTGACGTCAGTGATGTCCTGGGAACGGTGAGCTCCATTCATTGACTCATATTGTATATGAATATCTACAAGTCCAGCAATGCTTTTGTGCACTCTTTTTCATTTATTCATTTAACTAGGTTTTCCAGTTATTAAGATTGTATTAGGGTAATCGATTGGTTTGGGCATCATACGAGCAATTCCCAATTCCTCTCAATATATTGAGGAGATCCTATATACTAGGATTATCAAACTATTGAAGAAACATGTATTTTATCTCTTCCACAAGCAGCATTGAATATCTATGTGATATGTTGCTCAAGATATGGATTCAAAATATGTAATTTAAATGGGTTGTGGTTTAAATTGGTCTCCAATAGAAGAGTGGGTAAGGCAGGTGCACTGATAGGGGTTCAAAAGGTGTGCCTTATACTTTTACTCTAGTTCTTCAATATATGGGTTATGGTATGCTAATGAAAGGGGATACTAAAACTTGTTCAGGCATTCCATAAGTTTGTTAATCTAAGACAGTAAGACACCTAATAATTATATGAGAATGAATGGTGAGTTCTATTTTCTGTTTTCGTTGGAAAACTACCAATGCATGGATTAATTGGATTTATCTATGTAATATCTTCTTATGACTCATTTTATAATAATATTTATTAGAAAGTGACTTTGCAGCTCAGATTTCCAAAGAATTCAATGATTATGTATTTATTTTCCTTTCCATGGATTCAGCCCCATTACTAAAATGCCATCCTCTTCTCTTCAGAGTAGGTTGAATATTACTAAGACTGTCCGAAAGTACTCAATTGACTCAAGATTAAATCCTACTGGTTCTGAGTTTCGGTCAGGACCTCTTGCGAAATCAGTTAAGCATGATGATGATAATGATGAAGAGTACGAAGAGGGTTCTGTTTCTCTGAACGGACTGGAATTTGATAGAATTTCGCATCAGTCAGTATAGTATAATTAATTTTCAAAATGCTGCTTTGGCATTTAGTTATTCTCCACTGTTTCAAAACTGGCTAATGTATTTCAAACTATTATTTTGATAGGTATTCAATTTTGGTGGTAAACTTTTATGCGCCATGGTGTCCTTGGAGCAATCTCTTGGTATACTAATTTATATTTCAACTGTCTTATTTCCATGGATATCCATTATAATCCCATCATTTTCTAACGTCCACTCTGGAAATTAAGAACAATTGGATCAATGTTGATGGCATAACATATCTATCACCCGTTGCTTGTTGCAGAAACCTTCATGGGAGAAAGCAGCTAAAATTATAAGAGAAAGGTCTGGTATCTATTCCAAACATATTATATTGTTTAACACCGAAATCAAATGAGTAGCATTACGATGATTATTATCCACGGATAAGCTAATCAATTACATATTCCAGGCATGACCCTGAAATGGATGGACGCATACTTTTGGCAAAGGTTGATTGCACTGTGGAGGTTGGCTTGTGTAAAAGGTATTTTCTAGATATAGTTTTTGTCCATTAGCCTCATAATTGTTTTATTTGTTAACAGGCCTATTGATGCTGTTGTAAATTTTCTCATATGCTTTACTGCAATTACACATGTAGTCATGTACTATACTTAATTACAGGAGATATAGATGCAACCTCAATCATAGATGTTAGTTATTAAATACTGTACCGAGATGAGTAGAGACTTGAATCAATTTCCTGATGACCAAGAAATATATGTAACTACTATGACATAGTCAATTTCACTTTTATTGAAGGCCCTAAAATACAGTGGTACTGGTTTGGGAGATTTTGTGCTTGATTATCATAAAATCCATGCCTGAGGCTATGAATGACCTGAACGAATTTTCATATTCTTTTATGAAGGGGTTATATTTGTAATAGTTTTTCCTACTTGCTCGTCTTTTATTTCTACACATTACATCATATAGAGGCGTACAATCATCTTATTTATATTGTTACATGAAATGCTTGACCTCCAGAAGTAAGGTTGAATCTGGTATTTGTCATGTTCATTATGCTTTCAAGTTTCATAGTTCACTTTATATGGGATTTTCATATAATCTCTGAGTCAATCTTTCTTCCACTAGTTGAATTTGTTAGTCCCCTCTGCTTCTCTTTTCTTGTTTTTGTGTTTTCTCTTTTATTTAACTTGATGAAATATGTCCAGGAATCACATACAAGGATTCCCATCTATTCGTATCTTCCGTAAGGGAAGTGATGTAAGGTATACAATCGATTCTTTAGCTCCCATATCTTGGCACTTTCCATAAATTCTTCCTGTATAATGTTTGCTGGTAAAACTGCAATGATACCTGAACTTACCTTCTAGCCTGTGTGCTAACCTGAATTTGCAAGAGCATATTCTATCTTCCTCAGAACCAGATCTTTCTATCATTGAAATATTTTCTTAAAGTTATTATCTGATATACTTGCTGTTTTCGTCCTTTTTTGGGCATCAGAGAGGATCATGGGCACCATGAGCATGAATCATATTATGGTGATCGAGATACGGATAGTCTGGTCAAGGTAAGAGTTGTTACAGTTAGGTGGGAAAGGTTATTTGGATGGGAAATTTCAAAGCCATGTTTCCTGTATAGTGTGATATAGGTTGGAACTTCACCTTGATTAATTCTGAGAATGCTGCTAGACCATTATTTTATTTTATTTTATTTATTTTTACCTTAGGTATTAATGGTGATCTACAATGTGCTGATAGATGTTGATCGTTGGGTACTTGTAGGCAATGGAGGATTTGGTGGCACCTATTTCTTTGCAGATTCAGAATGAGTCGGATAGTCTGAACACAAGTATGAAACATGAAATTAAAAGGCCTGCACCTTTAGCGGGAGGGTGTAGACTTGAGGGTTTTGTGCGTGTAAAGAGGGTATGAATGATGCTTTTCCGTATGTATATGTACAAACAACGATATGTTTGTATGTACTAATATATAATCGTTTGCTCTATTGTGCAGGTTCCAGGAAATCTTATAATATCTGCTCATTCAGCTTCCCATTCATTTGATGCTTCTCAGATGAACATGTCACATTATATTTCCCATTTTTCATTTGGTAAAAAGATCACTCCACGTGTAATGAGTGATATAAAGCGGCTTCAGCCACATCTTGGGAGTAGCCATGATCGCCTGAGTGGCTCATCATATATGAGCAACCCAAGTGATTCCAATGCAAATGTAACTGTAAGTTTTCCTTTTGACTTGCTTACTATTTATCGCCTTGTGCACTATTTTTGTTAGTCATACTGTTATGGCATGGTACTATGATGCCTGCAAGCTATCAAAATTTGCAATCATCTCACATCCTTTCATACTAAGATAAGCACATTTTGAACCATCGACAGTATTTGCAACAATTTGCTCGTCAGCTACTTGCTAATCTACCTTTGTGTTTGCCACTGAAAAATTAGAGGGTTACTACTGAGTGTCTATTAAATCCTAATCTTCTGTGCACCATCAGTTTTGCCGAGTGGCAACATAGTTTGTTCATTTAATTACTTGTAGAAAAATCTGAACTGTACTATTCATTATTCATCAATATTGAGCCCCATACGGACCCACTAAGGCTTGCAAATGGATTTTTTTGAACAGTTGCCTATCATTGTGGATGACGTCGCAGTAAATGTATTTTTTATCTTCTGCATTTTCAGATTGAGCATTATCTTCAAGTTGTGAAGACTGAGGTGATGACAAGATCATATACACTAGTCGAGGAGCATGAGTACACTGCCCATAGTAGTTTGGTTCACAGTCTTGACATCCCTGTTGCCAAGTTTCATTTTGAGCCATCTCCGATGCAGGTAGGTGTCGATCCTAAGCATGTCTAGTGCCTTTTTGTTCCCATAGCAAGCATTTTTTCTTAATTGATTTTTCATCTCAGGTCTTAATAACTGAAAATCCCAAGTCATTTTCTCACTTCATAACCAACGTTTGCGCCATCATCGGAGGTGTTTTCACGGTACGTAATCCACAATTTTTTTCTGCATCTAGCAGTAAACCCCTTTTCTGCCGTCAGCTTACACCAACATTTGGCCTGTGTTGGCTTTCAGGTTGCTGGGATCTTGGACTCAATTTTGCACAACACTCTTAGGATTATGAAAAAAGTCGAGCTCGGGAAGAACTTTTAACCACAGGTTGGAAACAAAATAGTGGACTCAATTAGAGGAAAACATTTTCTCCACACTGGTCTCTGTTGAAACTCTCGGATAAATTAAACCTACCCCATTTGTAGTTACCAAAAATTCTATTGAAGATTGATATGTAGTCTGTGTTCTTCTGTTTGTTTGTTTGTTTTTGTTTTTTTTTTTTTTTTTTTTTTTAATCTAGTTTCACTGACTTGCTAATTACTGAAATTTACAGACCCTATTGCAGCCTGGCAAATTAAAGATACCGTAACTCTGTGAAGAAGACATGATTCTAATTCTTGGGCAGAAAAAATAATGTCTGTGTTGTAAGTGTTTGTTTATTTTCTTGTAGCCTGAAATGTACAGTGAACCAAATCATCCTCACACAACAATTTATTTCCACTTACATGTTCATCAAATAGATCAATACACACACAAATCTCTACAGAAGCACACTTCTCAGAAACCAAAAGAGAAGAAAAAAAGACATAGTATTTCCCAACTCAAAGGGCCAAAACAATCGTCGATCCGATGAAGCCTGCGATGATCCCGACACCATCGACGACACTCGACGCAGCTGTGTTCGTTGGAGGCGAAGACTCCTGTGAAGGAGCCGGAGTTGTCTCCGATGGCGGAGCCTCCCCGAAAGGCGCAGGGGCCGGAGGAGGAGGTACGGCACCAGTGGTGGCAGGAGACGGCGGCGGAATTTCCAGGGATGGAGGTACGGCACCGGTGGTGGCAGGAGACGGCGGCGGAATTTCCAGGGATGGCGCCGGAGGAGGGGGGAAGACAACTTCATCGGATTTATGCTTGCCTCTGTCAGCCATGACCACCACCACCAGCTTCTGGTTCTTGCGGCAGTTGTCGCCGTTCCCGCTTATGAAGTAGAATGGCCCCGACTGGTTGAGCTTGAACACGGTGTGGCCATCGATGAACTTCTCGAGCGGAGCTGCCTTGTTGCAGCTTGCGTAGTCGTCGTTGGTGACATGCAGGACGGAGTCGTGCCCGGCGTCGTACACGAACACTGCCCAAAAAGATAAGTAACTAAACTCAAAGGTGATCATACCATAAAAAAAGGACAAAAAAAAAAAAAAAACTGTTTGTGTTGCTTATTCATGTATACGTAAGGTGTCGTCGATTTGGAACCGGTTCTTCTCTGCCCACTGATTATACACTGCGGCCTTCGGATCCGACGGGACAGCCCAGCTACCGGCGCCGCCACCGACCTTGAACTCAAATGCGGTGCCGCGGCGGATTGCTGATAAAGCACATAAGATACACAAAAAGGACAATGCTTTTGAGTTTAGCTGCAAAAAAGAAAAATGATCCATTGATGATTGATGATATTGAAGTGAAGACAAATTGAGATATCTGAATGTAGTGTTAAGAAGGAGGTATTTGTAGATGTGCAATATGTGTGTTTTGATTTGATTTGATTCTTTTCCCAAGTTGTTGGATTTCTTACCATGAAGACCAAAGCATAAAGATTAAAGGGCAGATAGAAACACAGACTTAAGTGTAATACTTGAAGAATTCATTACACAACTAACTGGCTGGCTTCTTCTCCATGGATGGATGGATTTGTGCTTTACTTCAAGAATTCTTTAATTTTCATGTCGTGTTCTATGGGAATGGAATCAATCTTAAGTTATGGACTGAGACTTGAATTGATCATTTAATTATTTCAATAATCTATTCTTTTTTATGTCTTTCTTCTAAATAGTTTGTTTGTATGAATATTTTCTTTGAATTTATATATTTTTAAAGAGAATTGAATGTTAACTAACTTTAATTTAAATTAAAATATATTCTCACAATATACTTACATACTCCTATAATAGTTTTAATTTGATTTATTGTTGTTGTACTCTTACTTAATCTTAATTAATCTAATTTGGGCTCCGAACTTAACTCAAAACTATTGGATTTTTCTTTTCCTTTTAATTCTCTATTTTAACTCTTAAAAGAAAAACACTAAAATATTAGAAAAGATAATGAATTTACTAGTTGAATTTGGTTTAAGATTTTGTTGGTTGAATTTATATTGAATAGAGTATATATTATGTGTTTGTTTTGTATCTTGAATTTGAGTTTAAGGTATAAAAAAGTTATGCTCGTAACATTTAAAAAATAATAATAATAGTAGTAAAATTATATTGTATTATTAATTTTTTATAATATTATTCAAAAATTATTTGGAAGAAGATATATATAATGCACAGATTCAACTGAGGGTCGTCTTGGTTGGATAACCTTTCCGCTTGAAACTGAGCTGTCTTATTACCCAATTATGGGCATTGACCCACTCAAAACCGGATCTTGAATTGGATTATGACCCGAAGAATGGCGGTGGAACTATGGAAGTCGAAAAGAGGAAACACCGATGAATCGGCCCACAGGACAAGACAGGACGGACCCTAAATTCGGGGTAGCTGTACGGTACCAGCCCTTCAACTGGGCTTCTTCCCTAATCCTTCTCCGCCATTGCTAATCCACCGCGAATCAAGGCTGCTCTAAACAACTCCCTAGATCCCGCAGAAGTCGCGCTACTGTATGCCACCAGCACTAATCGTCCCGCCATGAATAGATCCTCAAGAACCGCAGAGCCGGCAGCGTCTGCAAATGGCGACGGGCCGGGTCGAGAAAGCCGCCAAGTATCCCCTTCTTCACCGTCCTCTTGGACTTGACTGAATTAAATAAAATTAAAGCAATAATAATAATGATGGGAAGAGATTATTAATGCCGTGTGTAATAATTTCTGGGTTTGAATGGGTCCCCGGGATGATTTTTTTCTTCTTTATTTTTTTAAAGGGCAGGCCAGCTATGATGATGTTGTTCTGTTGAATTGATCTGGGTTGATGTTGTTGCGAGCAACAGCTCAATTTGTCCTGGTTTTCTTGGATTCTAATTTGTGTTTGTTTGAGGAATTGAAGTTTGAGTATATGTGTTTCTTTCATCTTCCTTTTGCAAAGGGAAAGATTGCTTGCTGTTCGAGGGGATCGGGTGGGAAAATGTGGAGGGACCTCGGAACCCCTGCCGATTCATATTATCAGGTTCGCCCTGAATGCAGCACTGATGTTCCCGAAAGCAAGTTCAGGATCAAGGTAGTGTTTACTTTCCTTGAGAATTTTTTAGCTTACTTGTGTTTTAATGATTGAGAAATTTGTTCATACTTGAATTGCCTAATTAAGCATTTGATTTCTTTTAAATAGCTTATGATTCACACCTATGGTAGTTTGAGTTGCAACTCTTGAGGTTGTAGGCATGATCACTGTCTGTATTGTGTGAACTATGAAGTTTCATGTGGGCTTTAATCTCTATTCATATTTTGTTTTTGATCTGGTTGAATAACTTGTCTGCAGTTTGTGATTAGTTGAGTTAGTTGAGTAACTGAATTATTAGATGCTTTTGGTTCTCAAGCTACTTCTTCTTCATACTAGGCTGGAAAAACCTTAAGTCCCCGGAAATGGAAGTCTTCTTTCTCACCTGAAGGTTATCTTGATATTGGCAAAACACTCAGCCGGATATGTCGTGGTGTAAGTCTCTGGTTCTTTTGCTAATCTTAATGTTTATTTGCCTAGCCGGTATACAATTTTGAATTAGCTAATAGTTATTTTGTTTTTAATTCTTTGCAATATTCTTTGATGCAACACAGGGAATTCACCCTTCAATTAGAGGTGAAGTTTGGGAGTTTTTATTGGGTTGTTTTGATCCAAATAGCACTTTTGAGGAACGAGATCAAATACGTCAGCATCGAAGGTGCATTTTTTTGCAATGCACCCTTCTTACTTTAGCCATTTCTTCTCCTGTGCAATGAAAACTTATCCCATCAAAACATGAGTTAATAATGCAATTGTTGGAATCCGACTCTAGTTCTTTGCCCATACTTCATAGACTCATTAGTAGCATGTAGTGCCATCTCAATGTTGTGATACAGGCATTCTTTGGTCTGAGGATTTTAGAGCATGGAAAAATACATCGATTGTACACTATACAGCATACCAATAAGTGATATTTGATGAACAAATTCATGGGCATAGTAAAGTCATGTTTAAAACTTGTAATGTAACATTGATTTATGTACCATTGTATGGAAAGATCATGTTTTAACACCCTACCAGAAACCCTTTTTCATGCAGACATATGTATCAAATGGCTTTGACGAAAAATTGTGGTTAGGAAAACTTTCATTTACAAAGAATTATGATATGATTTTGGTTAGGATTCATATATCCGTATTGCAGCATTTTATAACTTAAAAAATTCTAGGCATAGCATTATTTGGTGTTTTTAAATGCTGCATAACTTAGTTTTCCATTTGAGCTGTGTCCGCTGCTTGACTAACATGTATCTTATTACACTTACCATAATTTTTTTTTTTTCAAATCGGTTTAGTAATTTTCACAAATGTTGCGTGGTTCCTCTGTTCGTCGTCTCAGAGTGAAGTATAGAATGTTGAAAGAAGAGTGTCGTCAAATGTTTTCCTTGGTTGGAAGTGGGAGATTTGTTACGGCTCCAATAATTACAGACGATGGCCAACCTATTCAAGATCCTATTGTGCTCCAGCAAATTAATCTTGAAGAGAATCCTGAATCTCGTACTCAGGAAAATGGTAATGATGGAAACTTATTGTGTTTTGAAAGCAAGAAATGATTAACAAATAAAGACTGAGCTTTTATGTTTAATTGTGTCTGGCAATTGCAGGGTTTATCAATGGCTCCCATGTGGAAAAACATCCAAATGGTCACAGTACACTGTCCAAAAAGGAAATCCAATGGAAACTTACATTACATCAAATAGGTTGATATCGATTAACACAACATGAATCCTTATTCTTATTTGGCTTCAAAGTTTCTCTAATAGCCTGCAGCTTGGCATTACAAGCCAACTTTTTCTTGTGCATCTAAGAGCTTCTTGTTAATGTTTCATGATTTATGGTTTGATGTTATTTCAGGCCTTGATGTAGTCCGTACAGATAGGACATTAGTGTTTTATGAGAAGCAAGAAAATTTGTCAAAACTCTGGGATATTCTGGCTGTCTATGCCTTGTTTGATTTAGATGTGGGCTACTGCCAAGGTGCACAACTAAATTTACATGTTTTACCGGATGCTCTTTCATGCTTCTACATATATATAATTATATATTATATGCATATATTATTCTTCAGCTGTGTATGCTGCCTTACTGGTGTACTTGCTTTCATTTGAGACCACAAAGCAAAGTAATAAAAACGCATTACATAATTAGGCTTGAAAGATTGTATGTATGATTGAAGTCAATTACATGTTTAGTTTAATAGATGATAACCCATCATTGGTTAAGGCTAGGGATACAAGAACTATATAGTAGATAGGATAAGATCACCCTTCTAAATAATCCTTTAAGACCTTGTTAACCTTGCTTGATTTGGTAATAAATCTTAATTTATTATTTCAACTTTTACTTAATGTATACTAGGGATACAAGAACTATATAGTAAAATAGGATAAGATCACCCTTCTAAATAATAGTTGGATGAAAACCTGTGACAAATTAGTTCTTTTTTGTCAAATTGAATCAAGAGTTGTTTGAGAGTAATTGCTTCTTGTCTCTGTTCTTGCTTGTTGTACCAACCATTCTCTTAGTCCTGATATCACTATTATTACCTTAAAACAATATCTCATAGGTAGATTTTAACTTGAAAACAAAATACAGATTTATGCACCAACATTTCCTTACCCTTTCAGTCTTTCACAATCTATCATGATGGAGTGATGCTCTATGTAATCTCAAAGGAATGGAGAACATAATTGAAATTGGTATTTGCATCAGTAGGCTGATTTTAAGCTTTGGTTGTTGAGCAGGTATGAGTGATCTTTGCTCACCAATGATTATTGTCCTCGAGGATGAGGCGGATGCATTTTGGTGCTTTGTCCACTTGATGCGCAGATTGGTACCATTTCAATATCCCTTTTATTTCCATAAATGATGATTTCTTATGTTTTGTTGAGCCTTATTTCAGTTATATGTACATACACATTACATATGAAATGCAGTTGTTAAAGGAGTTGTAACTGTTATCTGTAGATATATTTTTCTCAATAGCTTACCTTGCAGTATTGGCATATACGATTGCATTTTTTGTGTTGCACAATATTATGAAAATGCTCCTCCATTTAACAAAACAAAGTATCAAATATTAAGCTAACTAGTGGGCCTTAGGAACTTAAACTTTTAGATGGCCTCATTATACATAAATCTAGCGGAATGCAGTAACTTCTAAGTGTGTTATGTCAGAGGAGAATTTGCACGTTTCAGAAAAGGTGTGATTGTTGGTAAATACAAGAAGTCGCTTCAGGCGTTGTAATCTTAATTTTTTCTATTATAATGTAAAAGTATAGGCTCCCCTGAAACTTATCCTTCTTGGTTCTCTATTTTGTTCTCTATTGTACTCTGCTTATAGTTGTTATTTATTTTTTGGTTGAACTTTTTTTGAAGCGAGGAAATTTCAGGGGCACCGAACGCTCTGTTGGAGTGGAGGCGCAGCTTGGTAAACTAGCTTCAGTTACACAAGTGATCGATCCCAAACTTCATCAGCACTTAGGTATAGGCGCTATCATATGCTTTTGTACATGAGCCTTCTTTTCCCAATCTTGCTATTAACGAACTATAAGCTTATAATTTGTTGTTGCTTTTTAAATGAGAAGGCATTGATGTTGATGCTGTTCTTGCCAAGCTTCTCTGTAACTTTTTGGCATAAATGTTGTCAATGCTTTTGTTTGCTAATTTATGTCCTTTTGAATAGAAACTCTGGGAGCAGGAAATTATCTGTTTGCTATTCGGATGCTTATGGTAATGTTTCGCCGAGAATTTTCTTTTGCCGATGCATTATACCTTTGGGAGGTAATGTTTTTCATATTTTATACATTTCTTCCTAAGTTTTTTGTTGGAGGCTAAATCGAAAATAGCATGGTAATATAAGCTTTGTTTCTTCTTCTGTTAATCCTCTTTTGTTTCCATGCTGACCTTTGTAACAGATGATGTGGGCATTAGAATATGATCCTGAGTTATACTCCGTGTACGAGGATAGTGAATCCGCAGCAGCTAATGAAAGATCAGGAGGAGAGTCAAGAGTAAGGACCAGACCAAAACGGCATTGTGGAAAATTTGAAAGAGAATACCAGAAGAATCGAGGGAAAAATACTGCTGCTGCACCTCTTCCCATTTCTGTTTTCCTTGTTGCCAGTGTCCTAAAGGAGAAGAGTTCTAAGTTAACCGAAGCGCGAGGATTAGATGACGTTGTGCAGGTTCGCTTGATAAGCTTCTAAGCCACTATCTCTGCAATTGATTAAATACACAATTACACACATAACTATGTAATATATCTATATGTATATATGTTGGATGTATTTATTTGATTCTGAGGTAACATGGAGTCTGTTTCAGATATTGAATGAAGTCACCGGTAACATTGATGCCAAAAAAGCATGCACCGGCGCAATGAAGCTTCACAAGAAATATCTGAAAAAGGTATTCAGCTCCACCCCCTAATTCCCACACATTACATTGTTTTATCTTTCATCTGTTGCTGAATTGTTTAGATTTCATGTTTAATCTGAAATATTTACATTTACGCCAACCAAGAACATCACACTATATTTTCGCAGCAAAGCTAGGAATGATCTATCTTTGGATCATCTAAAATTAGTTTATACAAAATGTCCGGCACAATGTGTATACTTCAACTTCTCCCATGTCCTTGCAGGCGAAAAATACATGATATGAACGAACATCGAAAGCCAAGGAAACAGCTTGTTTTTCTTCCCGGCGACGGCTCCCAAAAAGGTGTCTACACTTGCCCTGAGGCTGATTTTAAAGTTCAGCTTCTTTGTATACTGTTATTGTATTTGTATTTGTGTTGTTACAGGTATCAATTGATACCTTGTGCTGCTTTGTAATATGGTTTCGATGCACAGTGTTGATTCTTGTTGTTGTTATTGTACAACTATACATATGATGTACTTCTTATTCAAAGAAAAAGATTCTACTTTTGGTTCGAAAATGGCAATCTTACACTGTTTGGTTCCTAGTAGGGTGGGCACGGATGGTCAATGTTAAGTCCATTGACTTAGAAAATTATAATAAGAATTTTAAATACAATATCAAGATTACCATTCATTTTGAATATTGTTTAGGTGTTTGGTATTAAAAAAAAGAAATAGACACGAAAAATGAATTTTATTCAATAAATTTTTTTTAAAAATATATATATTACTTCAATTTTACAAAATATTACATTCAAATTATTATTTAAAAAAAAAAACCCATCAATTATTCTTTTTTTGGTATTTTTTTTATGGTTGTGATTAAATTTATAAGCAATTCATTTATATAAACAATTTTATCCACTACAATTTTATTCTTTTTATTTTAGAAAAATAATAAATAATTTGTCACTATTTTTTTACTTACTCCACTTTTTTTAGGATTTATTTAGTAAATTTCTCATAATACTATTTTTTTTTACCTATGATACTATAACATTCAAAATATTACTATTATTTTAACATTTATGTACTAAACAAAGCTATATAATTTTATCAGAGTAATATATTTTTATTAGAAACAACAAGAGTGTTTTTTTTTAGTTTAATTTGAAAATTTTTGATTTAAATTTTGTATTTAAATAACATTTAATTAATTGTTATGAAAGAAGAAAAACTATTTTCAAAAGAAATAAAATAAAATTCAAAAGAGTAAAGTTTTAAAAAATTTGACTAAAGAAACACATGTAGGGTGTTTGGGAAACAATTTTGAAGAGCGTTTAATTTATTGAACAGCTTGACCTAAAAAGCTAATTTGTGAAAAGTTGCATTTTAAAATAGCTTAATTTTGATTATTCCTTATTTACACTTAAAATTTAATTATTTATTTTATACATAAAAATATTTTTTTATAAGAATATTTAATAATTATTTTTAATATATTTATTTTTGTAAATTTAAAATAATTACTATTATTAATTATTACATATAAATTATTTTATTTGTAAAATATATAAATTTTTAAAATTAAATCAAATAAAAAAATAAAAGTTATTAATTTATTTATATATTAAAATAATAATTAACATAATAAAAATATATATACGAAATATTTATTATTTTATATTTTACATAATTTCAATAAAAAATTATTAATTTTTTGTAAAAATTTTTTTCAAATTTAAATAATAAAAATAAAAATAAATATTTGATAATATTAATTTTCAATAATTAATAACAAAATATTTTATAAATTTCAAATCAAAATAAACAAAATTAAATATTTTAAAAAATAATATATCAATATCTTAATAGTCATTTTATTTATAAACCGTTTTAACAACTATCAACGAATTGGTAATGCATCGTAATACACATCCCAACTTTCTAAGCAAAAGGACTTTAGTCCCATAATTAATTTAATAATTAAAATTTTAAAATGATCCCAAGAAAACCCGGCGGCAAATTCATTCACAAGCCTTCGGTGTAAGCCACTCCGGTGGAGTCCAACCACGCGCCGCCTTGGATCAGCTCCCCCACCGTAAACTTCATCGCCTCCGCCGGGTCGGTAATCACGTGATACCCCTCCCACTTCACCCTCCCTGCCGTTCCCGCTCCGGGACCTCCGTTCAAATACTCCCCATAGTACAACGTCTTCAGCGCAAAGTCCCCATCCCACTCCGACCACCCCGCCGGATCCACGTGATCTCCGACGTACGACTCCATCACCACCGTCCTCGAGAAATTCTTCCATGGCCTCCCCAGGTACGTCCTGAACTCCCTCTTCGCCGCCTCCAAATCCTCGCTCGCCACGATTTTGCAGCCTTGGATCGAAATCCCTGTGTTCTGGTTCGGATCTGTCCTCCCCTGCGCCGTCACCATGTTCTTCTGCCCCTTCATCGGCCGCCGCGCCACCACCGCGCATTTCTGGAACACCGCCGCCGCGTCGCCGAAGATGTAGTCGACGGTGCCAGTGATGTTGCATTCTCTGTAAAATTGCCGCAGGGAGTGCGCATAGAGCGTGTCCTGGAAAGCCTCGATCCGGCACCGGTTTATCACCGATTTATCAGCTCCGACGCGCAGCGCCACCGCCTGGTGCTTTTCCGGCCCCGCCGTGTTCTGCACTGTTATGTCTTGCAGTATGAATCCTTCCCCGACGGCGGCTGCAGTGCGCATTTGAAGAAAAATTGAGAATTTTTGGATTTGATTTGTAATTAATTAATCGATTAATTGATTTATTGATTTACAGAGAGTGGCTGATCGGAAAGTTGTGGACCCGTCGGCGACGTTGAGGTCGCCGGTGATGACCGTCGACTCCGCGCCGTCGCCGATGATCATCAAATTCTGTTTCTTCTTCCCAATCTCGACTTGCTCTTTGTACGTCCCCTTCTTCACACGAATTACGTACCGCTGAGTTCTCTTCTCCGGCGCGGCGGCGACTGCTTCCGCCACCGTCTTGTACTTCCCCGACCCGTCTTTTGCTACTGTGACATCAGCTTTCACTTCGCCGGCGGCGCTCTGCAGAAGCTTCCTGTCCGCCGGCGAGATCCACGGCAGCGGCTCCCCCGTCGGAAGCCGAATCATTTCGTCGTCCGGCGGCGAAGTTGCTGCAAGGACAGCTAACGCTGCGCGATTCCTTGAAATCACCTCTTCAAGAACCGGCCGGAGAATTTGCCGGCGGGAATTGCGAAGCCCGTCGAAGCAGGTGACATGGTTGGCTAGCGCGGCGCTGAGCCAAGCTCGAGCATCGGCGCGCGACGCGGCGGATTGATCCTCGAGGGCGTGGAAGGAATTCAAGACAAGATCATTCGACAGGTCGAATAACTCGAGGCAATCGGAGAGGTCGCCTGACCGGCGCCGGCGGCCGTTGATCTGGTTTTTGAGTTTTTGTGTCTGAGAAGCGGCGGAGTTGATGTAACGGAGATGGTTGATGAGCATCTTCTTCAGCAGGGCGGTCGGCGTCGGCGGAGCGCCGGAGGCCGCCGCTTCGTAGACGAAACTCCGGCAGGTGTCCGGGTTCAGAGCGCCATGGCAGAGACTTGAGAGGTAATGGCGGTCGGTGGTTGTCGTGGCGGCGACGAGAAGAATGGCGGCGGCGGCAGATACTACGAAGAAGAGGATTCTGGTATTGGGTATCATTATGTTTTTTATTTTAGTATGATGTATGAATACCATGACCATTTATTTATAAGAAAGTTTATACTAATAATAATAATAATTTTAAAAAAAATGAAAGGCTTTGTTTGGAATCACTCATTTGATACTATATATTTTTCAAAAAATATCATATTAAATATTAATTTTTATTTTTTAAAATTTTAAAAAACTTCTATTTAAACAAAGCCGTAGATTGGAAGAGGTGGTGGCGATGGGACTCATGTTAGTGAGCGGAGTAAAAGTCTATGGATTAGGTGATTTTTCAGCATCTTTTTTATATTAATTTATATCATTTAAATATAATTAAGATAATAATAATCAACTAAACAAACACAAGTGTTGAGATTAATGAATCAGCACATGATCTGTGCAGGGAGTAAAATGGCCGATGACTTTAGTGTGTTGACCATTTAAAAGCAAAAGTGCTTTTTGTCGACTAGCAACCTTTAGTTCCTTTTGCTTGTATTTTTTGTGAGATTGTTAAATTAATATATATATATATATATATTTTTAATACGAGGTATATGAAATTGTGAAAAAAAATATAATAATAATAATGAATGTGTAGAGTGTATTAATTTTTGAAAAAAAATAAAATTGAAGAACAAACCTATTATAATTGTTAGATGAATAGATAATACTTTTTTGTTCAATTGTATCTTAATAAATTATTTATTTTTTTATTTTGATCTGTCTTGTAACAAAATATCAATTTTTTTTTAGTGATTGTACTATCTATTAAACATTACAAATATTCTTCCGATTTACAATATAGTATTACACAAATATCATTACATTTATATTATATAATACTAATAAGATTTACATTTATTTCTACTATATTTCAATATAATACTAATATTTCTAAAATAACATGTAAAAAGCAAACACAGATAAATATGAGACATATAGAGTATAATGTTTATTTTACCTTTAACATTAAAGTAAAAATAATATGAAAAATATAAAAAAAAATTGAAGTTTTTGATATCTAGTTAAAAGTTATTTATACTAAAAGAAAAATGAAAAATTTACTAATAGCCGAATAGAATATAAATAATCATATCATCTAAAAAATTTAAGTATGTATGAATATGCATAATTTATTTATTTATATTTTCACGAAAATCAACCAACAATAAATTTTGGCTTTGTATAGTTAAATTTTTCATTTGACCGGACACGAGTTTTAATAAAAATGAATAATAATTGTTATTTTTTTTTATAGTTAAAAAAAGATACAAAAATATAATGATTTTTTACTTTAAAATAAAATGATAATATTTTTTTATGACAACCAAAAGAGAAGAAAAAAAAAAGAATAAATTTGAATAACGAATAGAGTATTAGTTAGTGATAAGGATTGATCGACCTTGGTCGAATCAAGTTGTTTTTCAAATAAAAGTTGTTTCCAAATCTAAAAGAAATGAAATTTTTTAAATGAACAATTTTAATGCTACAAAGAATATATATATTTATATATTTATATAGTTATATGTATATAATATTTTTATGTTATAGGAATAGTAATCCAAGTAATGATAGAGATTTATATTTTATTTTTTAAAATTTGAATGTATTAAGATCAATAACAATATAACTAATGTGTACATATGTGCTTAGTTTGTAATTAGAAAAATAATTTTAAATTTAAACAATAAAGAAAATATAAAATATCAACGAAATATTGAAGTGGAAACATATTCATTATAGTTTTTTTTTAAAAAAAATTCTCAAGAAAAAATTTAGAAAATGATACTAGTGAAATCTTCATTACTAATATATTACACATATTCATTATTTTTATATCTGCACAATTCTCTATAACTCACGTAAAAATATATATATATATATATTTATAAAATTATTTACAAAACAAAATAAGAATTATTTTTTTATTTTATTTTAATTCTAATTTGAATGTGTGGTTGGTGCAATGTGGTTTTATGAATGGTGGTAGGTGATGATTAAAGACTATCTAATTGTCTATTGGAAGCACATATCTAAGCACATTGTTTTGCTAATTTATACTACTATTATATTACATCGTGCTAATTAAATTAAATTAAATTAAATTAAATTATAGTCATTCCATTAGACAAGTGGTCATATAAAATCAAAAAATGTGGAAATGATATATTACTCTTGCACTTGTATGTATGTTTCTTCCGAATTTATTTCAGAAGATTTTATTTAAATTTTGTATTTAGATAACATTATTTTTCAAAAAATATAAAATTCTAGTAAATTATTTTTAAGATTTTTTTTTACTATTTTTAATCAAAATCAACATTATTTGTCTTGTATAATTTTTAATTAAAATATACCTCATCCATTTTTCTTTATGTATTCATTTATATCTTTTGGGTTGTTATATTTGATATTAAAAAATATATTTATATTTATATAATGTTTTATAAAAATGTCATTATCTCTATAGTATAACACTAATAAATATATATATATTTTTTTGTCTTAATTTGTACTATATGTATAAATATAATATTAATATTTACAATTCTACACTTAAAAAATAAATAGATATTTAGTTACGTTGCGGAAGTAATACTATTATTTTTTTTCATAACAAAAATTCATATGAATACAACATTTCAAACTAATTTTAAATTACAAAAAGTAAAAAATAAATAAATTTAAAATAAACAAAATTTTTGAAAGATAAAATAGCTGCTATTAATAAAAAAGGAAATATTTTGTAAGATCACGTCATGATTGTGTCTAGACTTTCGTTAAATAAATAAATGACTTTTGTAGATATTCTATTTAGCCACTATTGTCGTAATAATGATTCAGAACGTACACATTAACAAAAAGGAAGAATGTAATCATAGAGCTATAATCATATTTTAATTCTAGTGATTTTTATTTTTTTTTCAAAAATATCTAATATATATATTTTTAAAATTAATATATTAAACAGATTCATTTATTTTTATATTACTTACATAATTTTATATGTCACATAAAAAATTTTCTCTTTAATTCAAAAATAAAAAATAAAAGATAAAAAAAACAAATCCTTAGTATCTTCAAGGAAATATACATATATTCATTTTTTTTCCATATCCAAATTTAGTACTTTCTGCATCAGCTTTGATAGTTTACATTTACCTTGTGCGTCATTATATTTAACATTAAAAATATCATTGTATTTGTATAAGTTTGTATACAAATATCATTATACTTGTATTATAAGACATTAATAAAAATATTTTTATCTTGTTTACTTAATTTATAATATATTTTGATATAATAATTAATATTCAAAGAGTAAGAGGCAAAAAGTAAATGTAAACCTTTAAGGTGGACGGAGGAATTATTTTTTTTATTGGCATAATAAAAATGTTTTTTTTTTTTTTTTTTATATTTTTAGTAAAAATAGTACTTTTTTTTTTTGGAATGGGCATAAGCTACGATGATGAGAGTAATATAAGATTTAATCATTAAACCAGTAGACTCAACAATTAAGACTATGTTTACATGCACGATCAAATATTAAAACTATGCATTAATATCTCAACCTCTAATATACTACAATAGTTTCAATATATATATATATATATATTAAATATATTTACTAAAGAAAGACATGAAAAAAAAAATTATAAGTGAATTATTTCATTTTTTTTAATATTATACTTAAAAATATAAAATATAGTGCAACTAGTTAATGAACTTGAAAATGTAAAAAATAAGTGATTAATAAGAAACAATGAGATTAACTCAATATTTTTTATATTTAAAATATTATATGATCCAATCTTCTTTTTCAACCTCCATTATATTACAATAGTTTCAATAAAATATATCAAAAGAAATAAAAAATGATAAGTAAGTTTCATTTAAAAAAAAAAAAATAGTGCAAATAATGACCCAAATCTGACAAAATCAAAAAAGTTTGCTCAATGGGATTCATTGAGTTAAACAATGAGATTAATTTAATGTATTTTTATTTAAAATATTATCTGACCAGATCTTCTTTTTCACTTGATATTTGAAATACAAATACTTTTATTTGTTTGTCCCTCTATTATTGCTTCACTAATCTTGCAAGTTTAATTGCTCCATATTGCAATAAATTTAATTAAAAATAAATATAAAATATATATATTAATAATTATACCAAATAAATATATATTAGGGATTTGAACCAATGACTACAATTCACAACATTCTTTTATTTTTATTTATTTATTTATTTTTTAAGTAGAAAGTGCTTCCGTCGCAAATTGCAATACGCGCATTTGGACAAAGTTTGTTGCAATATATTATGTCATTTTCCATGAAACGTAACTATTTTGAGATTATTATGACTATTATTATTTTAAATTAAATTGACGTAACAACAAGTCAGCAGAAGTGTTTATATGTAATTAAAATTTTTAAATAAAAATAAAATACAAAACAAAAGCTTAAATAAGAGTCCATTAACCAACAGGGATCTTCTTTCATACAAAATAAAAAAACCACAAAGGCTATAGCATATTCCACGTAATAATATCACCATTACCATTACCATTACCATTTTATTACCACACACAAACTTAACCATTACCATTCTCAAACATAACTTATGCATCCACAACAGTTCCAGCGCCGCCGTCCTCCGCCGCCAAGACCATCTCCGGCTCGACGCTCACCGCATTCGGCAGCCCCAACGACCTCAACGCCAAGTGCGCCGCCTTCTGCCCCGACACCATCATCGCTCCGAACGTCGGACCCTACAGAAACATTAATTCACATATACAATGAATCACCATTAATTATACCATTTTCCAACGATCGGAAAATTTGTACCATTCTCGGAGCTCCATCGATCTCGGCGACCTCCATCCCGGTCACGATCATCCCCGGAACGACCTCCCTCGTCATCCGTACAATGGCGTCCTCCGCCTGGTTCATATCCAGCGCCTTCATCCCCGGCACGGCGGCGATCATTCCGATGGTCTTCAGCCGCTTGACTCCGGTGGCTCCGAACGGGCCGTCGTGGCCGCACGAGCTGACCACGACCTTCGCCTCCATGATATTGGGGTCCATGCACGACTGCGTGTCGTGGTTCATCGACACCAGCGCCCAATTGGTCACGACGCCGGCAACGCGGCCGCCTTTGACGATCAGATCCTCCGCCGCCACGGCGTTGAAGAGCTTCACGTTGGGCCGGGCCAGCAGGCGGCTCATGATCGTGGAGGTGAATAAAGCTGCGTGCTTGACGACGACGTAGTTGTCTTGTTCGTCGTATTCGATGCCTAATTCGTTGAGGAAATGGTGGGCCGGCTTGCGCACCACCATAGCTGAGAATAGCTGCCCGCCTAGCCACGCGCCGCCGCCGGGGCTGACCGATTGCTCGATTATAGCAACCTGCTTGGATAAAATTAATTAATTATATGAAACGATTTATTTGTTGAATTTAAACGACGACGACGACGGACCCGAACAGAGGGGTTTTTGCTGAGCTCGTAGGCGCAGGCGAGGCCGGCGGAGCCGGCGCCGACGACGACGACGTCGGTGTCTGCGTAGGTGATCATGTCGGTCATGTACCTCCGGGTCATCTCTCTGGAGACGATGGATTCTTTGATGGGTGAGAAGGTGAAAGATTTGAGATCGTAGGGAGGAGGAGGAGGAGAGGCGGCGGAGAGAGAGTTGCTGATTTGAATTGGGCGGCGGCGGACATTGGAGAGGGGTTTGTGAGTGGCGGCGGCGGCGGCGTTAAGGAATGAGGCGGTGGTGGCTAAGGTTGAAGCCATGGTTGCTAGCTGCTACTGCGGACAAGACAAGCTAGGTGGTTCAGACCAGATGGGATGAGAACAAGCCTGTGATTTATATAGATGAGGATGAGCCGACCATGGCATGGATATATATAAATAATAATTATTTGGTCTGTTTACACGATTTATTTTCGCTCATTGATCCTCCCTCCGTCCCAAACAAGATGTACAATTTGGGCACGAATTTTTAGATAAATAGTATTAAAGGATAATATAAAAATTAAGTGAAGAAATAAAAAAAAAATATATATATATTTTATTTTTTTATTTGAATGATGTGAGGGATAAAATGTAGAGTAGAAATGAAATATAATTAATTATTTTCTATTTTGGTGCAATGTATTTGAAACATACAAAAAAAAATATATTGCAGGATATTTGAATTGGAAGGAGTATTATTTATTTTTAAAAAAATTATTACTATCAAATATTTTTTAAAAAACATCAAATTAAATACTAATTTTTTATTTTTTTCAAACTTCCAAAATTTTAAAAACATCCAAAAACATCTATCTAAACAAATCTTGATATTTGTATAAATAAAGTTTTATTGGCATTAATTGATATTGTTGTGAGTATTCATTTCCTATGTAAAGAGAGAGAGAGAATTGGTGGCGGTGGCGATGGGTTGGGGATCACGGGTCGCCCAATTAGCCGGTGGTCTAGACGCATTAAATGAAGAAGGGTGACACGTGAGCGCCATGCATTGCACTCATCACCTTCTGCTGCTGCTGCGGGCTTTTTTGATCCTATTAACTGCTGACTCAGCAATAATTGCAGGAGAGGAGAGTATTTATTAGAGTAATTTATTAGGGCATTTAACGCTCTAATTCTTCCTGCTTAGTTTAGTAAGTGCGGAGTCTTTATCAGCAGCTTTAAATAACATCATATTTTCAGTGGAGAATTTAATTATAATACTATACTAATAATGGGGTGCGTTTTGGTTTGGTTATCCCATTGAAATTTTGATTGGAAATTTAATTTAATTAGTATTTAATTTATGATATTTACTTAATATGTATTTAATAATTTTAATAACTATATTTAATAAAATATATAATAAAAAATAAAATTTTATATAATATAAATAGATAAACAACATAAATTTTTATTATAATTAACAATAATTAATTTTACAGATAAATAAAATATTCCTTGAAAAAATAAAAATATTTAAATAATTTTGAGTAAGTCCCGTATAATGTGGAGTAATATTTTATTTTTTTTAAAAAAAGAATATAATTCCAACTTAAGTTACAAAGGTTACCAATCAAACACACCCTGGAATTAAAGCAATGAAGATAACCAATAATGAAGTCTCCAAACAATTTAGGTTCAATAGCCATTATCATGTCCATTAAAGATGAGATATGTTGGAGCAACATCACATCACGCATAAGACGGGGTGAAACTAGAGATTCTGCAACTACATAGAAGACAGACAATCAAACCAATACTCTTATTTTACATCAGCTTCAAACATCAAGTTCAAGAACACACCCACACCCACACAATAGAGGCGATTGCAGCAGCAGCAGCTCAGAAACCATGAATCTTGATATGCTCCTTCTTTACGATCCCAGCCTGTTAGCAAAATTAAACATGACAAGGTAAAGTAAAGAAACGCCTAAGAGCCTCTACAATATTAAATATGTTCTATACATTCTTAAATATGTTTTCCATTCTCATGCAAGCATGTCAGTTTCTCATTAATTCAGTTTTGCTGTCTGTATCAACTTCTTCTTCTTAATCATATTTTCACTACAAAAGAGGAATTAGAATTACCCCAACAAGAAATGATGAGACGTTCTTCCGTTGATCGCCTTGTAGTTGAATAACCTTCACCAAAAATATTACAGGTTAATATGAATAAAATAAAATGTATAAAGCATTCACCCACAACAAGGGACATGTTGCACAAACCTGCCCTAGTTCTGGGTCCTGAACAACAGTTCCATTGCAGCAAAATTCCTTCTTAAGATCCTTGAGAATTTTGTTATAGCTGAACTCTTTCTTCAATCCCTGCACTGTCGTCAGGCTTTTGCGACCATTGCGTTGTTGTATCCGGATATGAACGTAGTCCTTTGATCCGGCACCAGAATTATCAGCATTTGCATCAGCAAAAGGATCTAATAATCATGACAAAACAAAACAAAATATTACAAGGGATCCCACGAGGAAGAAGAAAGATGTGAAAGCAATTTTGCATCTAATAAACCTCAGCCGTATGGATATCACTCTGTTTTTATTTACTCAACCTAAAATATATCCACTTTATTTCACGTTCTTATTCGTTCCAATCAGCAAATATTGCAGCCATAACAATTATTTGCCAGGAAACTGACAACTTCATGTTAACAGCATACCAAAAGTGGAGGGGACCTGGATGTCAAGTTCAGACATGAAACTTGGTTGATGTAGCAAACGCAAACCACCGGACAACGTTCTTCAAAGAAGAACTGAACTGTCAGACCTGATTTAAAAAATAAAAAAATAAAAAACATTCAATACCAAGAGTAAGTTGGTGAAGTATAAATAACATAGCACTGTCTAGGGCAGGTTCAGTGCAGAGATACCAAAGGCAATTCATTGCAAACAGCAGAAAGACAGAGTAGCGAAAAAAATAAATACGTCGGCTTAAAGTTTGGCAAACATAAATCAACTCAGTTAATCGTACACAACAAAATAAATAAATATAAAAATGGCAGATAAACTTGACACGACAGGCCCCCACATCACGAATCCAAAGAAACAATAAATTCGAGTAGAAATCAAGAAAACGGCGAACTTCAATTCCATATAGCCGCGAACAACCGCCTGATCATAAAAACTCATAAATTTGAAGGGAAAACCCAAAATTCAATCAGATCCTCCAAAATTACAACATCAAGAAAAGATTAAAAGAAAGATCAGCCTAATCGAGGGAAAATATGGGACATACCGGATCCGAAACTTAGGGTTTGATTGAAGTTGGGGATGACAATTTAAGAACGAAACCCTAGTTCGGATAAGTCTGAGCAGAGAGTCCAGCCGATGCTGATGATTGATTATTGATATCCCCACCGAAGTCGGTTATTTATATTAAAAATATAAATATAAAAAGTGGGTTCTGATTTGCTGCTCCGCGGTGTAGCTTGTACCTGGTTTCTATTCTTAGCGGACTACGTGGCAGCATCGTAGTGGCTCACGATGCATACGATCTCGCAGCATGTAGGAAGCAAAAAAAATTAAAATAACAATTTTTTATTCAAATTAATACTCCCTCATGCAACGTTAAACAATCTGCAATATTTTCAAAATAAAAAATAATTAATTATACTTAATATCTATATCATATTTTATTTCATTTCATCATACAAATAAAAAAAATTAAAATATATATTTTTCTCTCCATCACATCACTTAATATCTAAATTATCCTATTTAATATTATCCACTTAAAAACTCATGTCCAAAATAAATGTTGCATCTTGTTTGGGACCGAGGAGTACTATTTTGATTGAATATTGATCTAAATAATATTTTAATATAATATTTTACCAGTTAATTTAATATATTAATTTCTCCGTCTCACATTAGATATCTTGATTACCGTAGAGACGAGAATTTAGGATAAGTATAATCAGTAGATAATTAAAAATATATTAGTAAAAATAAATAATTTATATAATATAAGTTATTATAGATTAATATTAAGATAATTAATTAGTTTAATTAAAATTAAAAATATTAAATTTAAAAATTTAAAATGAAATTAAAATGCGTAATCATTTTTTTAAAAAAAAAAGATGACTGAAATGTGAGACGAATAGAAACTATGGACATGTTAGGTGAGACGGAGAGAGTATAAAATAAACATCTAACACATTTATTAGTTTATCAAGATAAAATTTAAATAAAGAGATTATTTATCCAATAATTTTTTTTATTCCATATTAATATTACTCTATATACAAACTTATTCAATATGCATGATATATATAATCTATTTATTCAATAATTTATATAAAATATTATTTTTATATTAATAATATATAAAATAAACACATCCTTGTGAACAAAATAAAACTAATGTTAACTAATTAAAAAAGAAATTTTTTATTGAATTCAATTAAAATCATATTACACATTTATACTGTAAAATTAATTAAATTAGAATATTGAGATGTTTTCAACCAAAAAAAAAAGAAGAAATAGTTAAAATTAAGAGCAATATTTGACAATAAATGTTACTCCCTCGGTTCCACATTGGATGTCTGGGTTATTGTAGATACTACGATTAAAGATAAGTATAATTAATAGATAATTAAGAATATATTAGTGAAAATAATTATCATATAATATAAATAATTATTTATTAAGGTTAAGATAACTAATTAGTTTAATTAAATTTAAAATAATAAATTAAAAATTTTAAATGAGATTTTAATCATTTTTTTAAGAAAAAAAAAGTGACATGGCATATGAGACGGTGAGAAACTCCAATATGGACATGGTAGGTGGAACGAAGGGAGTAGATATTAACAGTTGATGATTCAATTAGGAATAGTTTATTCAATCAACTAGTTTAATCAGTTATATATATTATTTACTTAGAGTAAAATATATAATTATTTGATTATAATTTGAGACGTTTTATATTTTTATTTTTAAAATATTTATTTATATCATGTTTATAATTTTGAAATTTTTTATTACTTTTTAATTATTGAAAATTATAAAAATATTAGTATAAGATTTATTTAGGTTAGTTTTAGATCTAAGAAAAATAATGAGTATAAAAAATACATATATAAATACTTTTTTTTATTGAAAATATGTGGTTTTTTTAGTTAAAAAAAAAACCTCTATATATTTTTGTAAAAAAAAAAATATATTAGACATTTTCATTATTTTTATATTATTTATATAATTTCAAAAAAAAAACACCCCTTCAAACCATACTTTTATTATGTTAATTTCATTATTTCATTATATTTATAATTTTTAATAAATTTATTTTATTTTATTTGGTATTAATATAAAATTAATGTAGATAAATAAATTAATAATATTTACATTTATTTTTTATTTTAATTTAAATAAATCTTTATATTTTATAAATTAATAATTCACAATATTAATAACTTCAATTGCTTTCGATTTGTTAAAAATAAAATTATTTAAATTAATTACAAAATATTTGAAGAAAAAATATATTGTTATATGGAAAAATAAAGATTATTTTTTAGAGACTATATTAAAACAATGGATTATATAGCTCTGTAGAAATGAGTTTTTGGACTCCAACAAATTCTTTAAAAACATAAACACTTTAATTAAACAACAATTCAAGAAGCTAATTGTTAAACATCTTCTAAAATAAATAATTTATATATCCATTTTATATTTCATTGTTCGAAATTTAAATATAATTATTAGTCTATAGTAAAGTGTGACAAGAACATTTTAAAGCAAAATTATATGATTGGTTATAACTAAAGCAGAATAAACAAACTACCCACCCCTCCCTGAAAAGACACCACAATTACAAATGAAGCAAGACATTGACGTTAATAAAATATCCATAATCACAATATATATTTAATTAATATCACATTTTTTACATTAAAAAAAAATTATATATATATATATATATAGTAACAATATATTTTCTTCGTCAAATTATATTAAAATCTGTTACCTTTTTGGACAAAAAGTCGAATCAGATGAATGTCAATACCTGACTGGACTTTTGCATGAAGATGGCCAAAGATTTAAGTGCCACGTAGCATCTTCAGATGCCCAATCGATCGTACACGTGGCGCAATCCAAGCAGCTCACATTTTCTTTTTCTTCTCGTTTCTTAAAAAACTTCAAACCCTATCCATTCTGATTTTTGCAGACGTTTTCAGCTTTCTCATTTCCCGCAGAAGATGCGCCGCCGCAGCCACTTCCTTTACCTACGCAACTCCGCATCGCCACCGCCGGCGCCGGCGCCGGCGATCATCAAACGCCTCGCAGTCTCCACCTCCGTAAGGGTACGCACGCACACCCGCAGATCCCGAAATCAATCGATCGATCGATCGATCGATCACAATATTATATCTATACATATATATATAATTGGTTTCAATTTCTGATGATTGAAGTGTGTGTATGTATATATATGTATATGTATATACAGAGGTACAGCGGAAGTCACGAAAAGGAAGACAGCCACGGGATGATCGATCAGGAGAGGGCGCCGTCAACGGCCGATGAGTTCAGAAGGGTTGCGGAAGAGAAGGCCGCCGCCGGGCAGACGGCGGCGGAAGACTCTGCGCAGGAATCTACGGCGGACGACGGTGATTTTGGATCTGTGAAGGAAGATTACAAGCAAACTCAGGGCAAAGCCGCCGGCGAGTTCAGTACAGCTGCACCAAACCCTAATCGGCCATAGGAAGGACCAGTGATCGAATTAATACTGCTGTTGCTGTTGTTGTTGTTGTTGTTGTTGTTTTGCTTTGAGTTGCTTTCATCCATTGCATTCCATCCTCATGTGAAGATTAAATAAAAGGCCAGATGATCAATTAATTATTTAATTCTAATTTATTTTATTTTTTTTAAAATTAATTGTAATGAATTGTCTATCATATCAATAAAATCGTTACTCGATTGTCAAAACGACATCACATCACATCACGGAGAATCACGAAATTGAAAAAGCGCGTTTTTTATGAGCAAGCGGAATCAGCGATTTTTACAATCAGCTATAGCGTTTTTAAGAAGCGTGGTTAACGATTAGATCTGTTGTCACTACGACGCTGTAATTGGGCTGTGCTACTACCGAGTGGTTTCCTGCGTTTAAACCTCGCAATTCCAGGTTCTGAATCCCTCGAATCTCATGGCTCCCGTCGCACCCAAATCTGGGGATGCAATTTTCGCCAGCGTCGATCGAGTGGCAAGTATACTCGGTCCTTGGTTATTCTTTTCGGTTGGGGACACGTTTGATCGAGCTATTAGAATTAGGGCAGTTGAGGCTGTCGGGGTTCCTGATTATTGTTGATTGTTCGCAGAATGCGGAGCTGTTTACCCTAACATATGGTGCCGTTGTTCGTCAGCTGCTCAGCGATCTGGAGGAGGTGGAGGAGGTCAACAAGCAGCTAGATCAAATGTGATTTATTTTAATTTTGGACTACTGTTGGATTTGGCAGTGAATTTCTGATAATCTCTACCGTATTTTTCCGATGCCTGTCTGTGGTTTCCTTATTTTGTTTGTTTTTAAGAGTTTGTTCTATTTTGTTTCAGGGGTTACAATATTGGGGTTCGGCTGGTTGATGAATTTCTGGCTAAATCTAATATTTCTCGATGTGTAGATTTCAGAGAAACTGCTGAAGTTATAGCCAAGGTACTTTGATTGTCTCCATTTTCCTCTGTTTGTTAAATCGTGCATCAGATTTTCAGTGTTCCAATAATTTTCTCTATAATGACGTCTTAGGTAAACTGGAAAATTAATAGGAAACAATTCTATTGCGAAATAAGCATTATAAGTTTACATATCAATAGCTCTGTTGGGATTCATTGAGACATCACTGATGAGAGTGAATCTTTGAGCTTTTGTGGTTCTGAATTTTGGGCTTCTTGTAACATCTAATTTATAATATAATATGAACAGGTTGGATTCAAAATGTTTCTTGGTGTCACTGCATCTGTGTCTAACTGGGATGCAGAGGGGACAACCTGCAGCATTATTTTGGAGGATAATCCATTGGTTGATTTTGTTGAGCTTCCTGATACTTGTCAAGGACTGTACTATTGCAATATTTTAAGTGGAGTTATAAGAGGAGCTCTTGAAATGGTGAGTCTATTCCCCTTACACCATTGGCATATATTTCTCACCCATGCTCTCAGTAAATTTGTGGCCAATCTTTAAATATGAAAATTACCGGAAGGCGCTGCCGAGTTGTTTGACACATCGAATAGTAAACTGCTCTCACAACTCCCTCTTCTTTGTTTTCTTGTTTGACGCATTGAATATTTTAACTAACTAGAGATGCTCATGCACACTAACTTTTGTTTTTGATGTCTTTGGTTTATGATCATGTTAAACTCTATAAAACATGTAGCTTGACTTATTGCCTCTTTTTCTTCCATCAAGTGCAGGAAGTTATCATGGATTGCCAGTGAACTTATAATTTAATTTTCTTAGGACAGTACCCTAACAGTTAGTTAGATGCGCTTTCAATATATTTGGCAAGTTATGTTTGGCCTAATAACTTAACTAATACTCTATAAGATTGTATAACCTGCTTGTCTTTCTTCACATGTGTTTCACTCGGATCAGGGGTCTATTTATTAAGCACCACTCTAGCAAAGTTTACCGTAACAGATCTAATATTCAACGAATAAAATTGGAGCAAGTATACTTTCATTTCAAAGCAAGAGGGAGTCTTTACTTCTTTGTGTTATACTATTTTCACATTTATTGCATGCCTAAATCCACCCACACTTCCCGGTGTTTGTACGCAGTAGGCTATTGTATTTTCCTTCATTTATATATAACTGGAATTTGGCCTTTGTTTGTTACATTTCGATGGCAATAAACAAATTTGTGCTTTGTAACACAAATGGTGTATAATTTTTCTGAAATTGCAAATAATACTATTCATTTTTTCTCTCATCAGGTATCAATGAAAACTGAGGTTACATGGCTGCGCGATATGCTTCGAGGAGATGATGTGTTCGAATTGCAGGTTAAACTGTTGAAGCAAGTTCCTGAGGAGTACCCATACAAAGATGATGAGTAAAATTGGTTGGTTTTATTATATTGAGTGCACATAATATATATGGTGTTTCAGATTTATGTACTTGTCTTGCCTGGGGTAATTCCTTTTTGCCTATACCATGCATGATTTTAGTAGTTTGCAGATACTGATTTATTTAGCAGTTAGAATACTTCGCTGTTTTGTTTGTGTTGCAAGATCTGTTTCATATGGAAGCACCTGAACTGTTTAACTTGGAGATGCTATATTGCAATTTTACTTATTTTAAAATTAACATAAGGGTTTCAACCTGTTTATTTTACTTTTTGAACAAAAGCATGAAATTCTGTAAAGAATTCATCGTTAGTGTAGTATAGTTTTGACATATATTTATACATATTTCAACACATATTTATACATATATTATTATATTATAACTATTATGCTATCTTATAATACATTCTATTATTATTATTATTATTCCCTCAGATATATTGACGTCTCTTTTCATTAAATTAAAACTTATGAAAAAATTTACATATTCAATCATTCCCCAATTGATCTCTTAAAATTAAGTCTCTATCGGAGCTCTACATCAGATGGAATAATTCATACACGAAACACAAGTAAATTATGGTCTCGCACGCAAAAGCGTGTTGTCATTGCGCGTACGATTTTGGTTCATTTCACAGAAAGCGCTCCACCGTTTCTACCCATTTTCTCACTACTATTATACTTAAACACATAAATAGATCACAAGTCTTAACTGTAAGTAAACCACCAGATCCATTTTCCGGCGGAGCTATGGCGGAGTGCTGCCAACGCTGCTGCGGCTTCATAATCACCTCCGGCCTCGCCGCCCTCTTCCTCTGGCTCAGCCTCCGCACCTCCGCCCCGACTTGCTCCATCCAGGACTTCTACGTCCCTGCCCTAAACATTTCCGGCAACTTTTCCGGCAACCACAGCCTCTACTTCGATCTCAAGCTGGACAACCAGATGAAGGACAAAAGCGTCCACTACGCCAACATCACACTCACCTTCTTCTACAATAATGCCACGCCCCATCTTCCGATTGCCAATTTCACGGTGCCGGAATTCAAACAGGGCCACAAGAAGAATACCCGCCGGAAAGCTCTGGTCGAGGCCGCCGGCGTGCCGTGGTCGGCGGCCATCGGAGCCGTCTCGAACGGCTCGAGCTCGACGGTGAGCTTCAGCGTGCGGCTGGTGACGCGGGTGAAGTATAAGATCGTGTTCTGGTACACGAAGCGGCACAGCCTGGCGGTGGCCGGCGACGTCGAGGTCAACGGCTCCGGGAAGAAGGTCAAGAAGAAGGGGATTAAAATGAAGAAGTCCGGGGCCCCGGGTCCGAATGGCGATCGGGTCGGGGTAGTAGGACCCATGGTTGCTGCTTTCGCTTTATTGTTCTTCACGTTGTTTTAGTAATTTGATTTGAACCTTACCTGAGAGAAACATGTGTTGCTGTACATAATTTTACGTAGGCCAATCAGCACTTGTTTCTGTCTGCCACGTCGGATTCAGATTACATTGTTTTTTGCCGTAGCTCTTATTAGGGGTTTTGTTGGTTTTATTTCAAATCACTTTTTATATTATTTTTTAGAAAAAAAATAAAAGTCAATTTTTGATTCCATAATAATAATAATAAAAAAAATCATCATTTTTTATCTTATAATAAAAAAATTTACTTTTGATTCTATTGTTAAAATAAATTAATGAAAATATTGACATAAACATTACGAATGTCACATTCAATTAGAATCAATACATCCGTGTTAAAAAATATGTTCGTGTACATTAAAAAAAAAACCAAATAACTCCGAAACAAAAAATGTGTACCAAGATATTTTCTAATAGTGAAATTGTATGCATACACCCACTTAAACTAAAATGATAAAAGATGTATGGGAAAAAAAAATAATTTACCAAAATCTCAAACTTCAAAATTTTAATATTTGAACTCGACTGCTTTCGCAAAATATTTCTATTATACATTGTTGTAATATCAAACTCAAATTAAAAATTTTCAAATCAAATAAAAAAAAAAACACTTATCATTATAATTGCATACATATATGTGATTGGATAAAGTCAACACATAGTATATAAAACAAATATTATGAGTTATGGAGTGTAATTTTTATTACTTTGAAATCATAATATACTGTAATATATCAAAATAGTATTATATATTATGTGAATATGGAATGTCATATACATTTCGTTTTTTTATAAAGATATACTGATTTAACCTAATTAGTAGGGTAACCAAAACGATTATTCATAAATAAATTATATATAGACAGACAAACTATAGTTTAAATAAAGACGTCATTATATACCCCAGCCGACAGAATGAAACAAATCAATGTATATTAACAGTGTGTTCTTATATCTAACCTTCACCAAAATTTTACTACTATCGAATATTTTTTCCCAAAAATATCAAATCAAACACTTAATTTCTATTTTCTACATTATACAAAAAAAATTAATTTATACATTCAAAAAATGACATCAATACATATTTATATCACTATCATACAACTATTCAAATTTAAAACTTTTACTATTCAAATACCAAACCAAAACCAAAATCTAAATCCCCAAACAAACACATGGTAACTATAGTAACAGGGCATCACAGATTCAGAGTCTAAGCTAATCCCAGGAGGTCTTCAGTAGTTCACTTGAGAGTTTTTTCACTTTCACCTGCATAACACAGTCAACATATTCAAACATTATAATAAGGCTGCAGTTAGATTCCTATCAGCCTTAACCAGCATATCAATTGGCAGCACGTAAGTAATTATCTATACAACACATAATACGATTGATTTCAGGACAAAAATCCATGTAAGCATAACACACATAGTATAAATCTACACAGCACATGGCATAATCATCTCAATAATGCCATCATGGAAATGAGTTAGCTCACAGGTACGGAAAGGAATCAGTCAATAAGAAAACAGATTTATAATCTACACAAAAATCCTTTAAGGGATGTAAGGTGGTAGGGTAACATTTCAGTGCGAATCTTTTATGTCAAAAAATTTTTGCTATATCATATTCCAATATTTATAAAGCCTAAGGAAATCTTGTGATGAACTCAGGATGTTGGAAGGTACAATTTTGAAATGTCTATAACTTCATGATAAAAAATCAATGCATCCAATACTATATATCACGTAACCAACTTCATGGACAGCAGGAAAGCAAATGGCTTACCGAAAACACCTTTCATATCTTGTGATCAATGATCTCAAATTTTGAAGTGAAGCAGGTAGTGGCTTTTGTAGTTACAATTACGAACATGCTGGTGTTCTTGACTTGAAGCCAGGGGTATTCTGGATGTTACAATAGCAGAAACTAGCATGACCGCCCCCTATGAAATTTAGTGGTTAAGAAAAGTACAGTGCGAATTATAAGGAAATAAGCAATTACAGCAGATATCTTTCCAGTCATTAACAGTTATCTGAAATAGGGAAGTTTGTAATCTTATTTACAACAGTAAGCAATATAATCAGCAACCCTTATAATGAGAACTCCACAAAAACATATTCACATCACCTAGGATAACTGGTTGTGCCAAAAAGCCAGATTCTTAAGAGAAAATAATTTCATGTGGAAAATACAAAGTGGAGAAGTTGAAGGATTCAACGTCTTGTTACTCAAATTTGCAACTAGATTGTAGTGTAAATGATCACGACAGGCAGGACCCTTTCTTCTAAGTTGGTAATACAGAATGATAAAGATTATTTTCTTCTCTATACAGAGATTTAGTTTGGATGGACAGAAATTTGGGTGTCATGGAAATTTGGCCATTTAAGAATAGATTCATCTTAGTAACAAAGGTAACCCACCCAATGCTGAGGAGATTGCTTCACCATTTTGCTATCAATTATCATGTTCCGTATATTCGTAATATGCATTTGACAGACATATTATTAATAATGCAAATAACTGATTAGAAATGTCACAACTTGGAGAAACAGCATACCAGAGATGCATAGGACTGGACAACATTAGTCTGGTTCACATTCGTGATTATCCACCACAGCAGTTGAACGAACAAGTCTTTGAAACTTCATTGACAGCTTCTCATACAAATGGAAATCAGCTGGTCGTACATGCTCAAGTCCAACTTTCAGGTGTGCCATTGTGATCTCTGAGGCAGATAAGTTCTCCTGATGGGACCATCCCAACTAACTTAATAAAACTTGGAAGATAGTATAAATAGCATATGATATTTATTTAAGACTGAATGTAACATACTTCCATAGCTGCAAATGCTGCTTCACGACAAATAAGTGCGATATCAGCACCGGTACAGCCTTTGGTAAGAAGAGAAAGTTCACTGATGCAAACATCTGAACTATACGGCATCTGGCGTAAATGAACACGGAATATCTCTTCTCGATCCTTTTGATTTGGTGGTCCCACATAAAGTAGTCGGTCAAGACGTCCTAACAAATTTCAAAAGTTGTCACCGATGACGAGATTTTCAAAGATAAAATAAAAAAGAAACAATTTAAGTGCAAACAACCAAAAGTAATCACAGGCATGTCAGGGAAGTTACCAGGTCTGAGAAGAGCGCCGTCTATCTTATCTGGTCGATTTGTGGCAGCAATAACAGTGACACCATCCCTTTGTTGCAAACCTTTCATCAAAATACTGACAATATTATTCTTTATGGTACTAACATACACAATAATGCACTACACAGAAAAGGGGGATAATAGTATAAAGATGGATAAGAAACATGGTTATATATATATTGGAGTTGCTTACCGTCTAATTCAACAAGTAGTTGAGTTATAACACGATCACCAACTGAGACTCCATCACTTTCTTTTCCACGAGTTACAACAAGACCATCGATTTCATCAAAAAATATAATTGAAGGGGCATTAGCCCGGGCCTTTGCAAATAAACTGCGCACTGCCTTTTCAGATTCACCAACCCATTTGCTGAAAAGCTCAGGGCCCTTCACGGCAAGAAAATTCGATTCAGCTTCAGAAGCTACTGCTCGAGCCAAAAGTGTTTTACTGCATCCAGGAGGTCCAAACAACAATACTCCACCGGGGGGACGAGTTCCAATACGCTCAAGAGCATCCCTGTGCTTCTGAGGCCAAACTACAGCTTCCATTAACTGTGCTTTAACCTCCAATTGACCACCAACATCTTCCCAGCTAACTTTAGGAACTTCAAGAATTACCTGAATGTAGTATACAAATAAGCAACTTGAAAAATGAAAATATAACACTTGAGATGGGAGGAAAAAAACAGGACACACACACAGAACAATAAATAAATAAAAGACAATTATTTTTTGGTATCAAATAAACCATTTTGTGAAGTGCAACAGAGTCCAATAAGGCAGAAGGAAAAAACACATAATCTCATAGTTTCAAAATAAATTTTGCAAGGAAGAACAGAAATATTATGTTCAATGGCTCTATATCGGGTAAACCGTGACCAACTAACTCAAGGAATTGTTCATCATATCCTACTTATACCAGTGTGATGTGCTTCCAAGGTCTTGCATCAAAATCACAAAGACATTTAACAGGGGGCTAAACACATTAATTAATTGAGATAAAAAGAGCCTAAAAAATTGATAGTTCTTAAAACATACAGCAATTTGGATTAATATATACACAAGAACAGTGAATATATGGCTGTTACAAACATAAGTTGCATAGCTTATAATCGAGTAAATTTACCTCTCTCATGGCACTTGGCCTTATTCTTACTCTAGCCTTCTCAAAATCTTCTGGCGTTACAATTAGTTCTCTTTTTGTTCCTACCTCCTTTGACTTAGCATATTGCCGAAGGCATACCATTGCTGCCTCATTGCAGAGAGCAGCTAAATCAGCCCCAACAAAACCATGAGTGATCGATGCAAGGTCTTCTATATTCTTATCCAAAAGTGAATGGTGCATTTCACTAAGAAGAGCAAGTAATATTTCAGAACGCTGACTTGAAGACGGAACACCTGCATATATTCAAAAATATTATTGATCAGTTTACTCGTGATCACTTAGTATGATGATACCCAAATGCATATTGCAGAGTACTAAAGACCAGTAGGTGTCAATTTGCAAAAGTAGGACGAGCCCTTCTATTTGACACATCAGATTTGTTAACAGAAACAAAGTAAAATCTGATGAAGTATACTGCATGAATAATAATTAACAATGCTACCAGTCTACCATATGAAAATTATATATTAATTTATTTATCATTATTTTTTTAAGGCACAACTATGGCTGCACAGCTGTTTAATGTGAGATAGACCAATTGTATTTAAAGGTGTTTGCATTTGTTTTACAGGTACAACTAAAAACATCACTCCTTAAGGAGTCATAGTTGTTGCAATATGATGTTCTCCCGAAAACATTTATGACAACAATTTGCATATAAGCGTATAATGTGAGGAATCACTCCATCTAACATCAATAATCTACCAAAAACATGTTTAATCTAACCAAATCCTTCATGGCTTGTAAACTGTTCCAATACTGGAGTTGTCATTTTCATACAAGAAAGTGAGCTATTCATCCATAAAGAATATAAAAAGTCATGCGTTTTACAGGATGAGTAAGATCAGAACAAAAATTATTATACTCATTTTTTGCTGCATTTGCAGGCATCTGATGTGTGAAAAAAATACATATCCATAGTACCAAATTAAATAAGCCTCGATACTAAAACAGATAGAAACATCCTCATGATAAACAAAAGATGCTAATGAAATTATGTACCAATTTCAATTTCTCTGTCAAGCCTTCCAGACCGTCTAAGTGCAGGCTCAATACTGTCAGGCCGATTTGTTGCAGCAAGTATTACTGTCCCATCATTTCTATCAATTCCATCCATCAAATTCAGGAGAGTGCTAACAATTCTTTGAGATAGCTCGTCTCCACCATCTTTACGAGCAGGTGCAATAGAATCCAACTCGTCAATGAAAATCTGCGTAAAAGATTATTAAGCAGACATGCTCCACAATTCCAGAAAAACATGCATATCAGAGCACCATTTTCAGATATGATGCGACTCAGAATAATATGAAAATTCACCAATTAAGAATGATAACTACACAGTTTTTTAAAAAATTCACCAGATACAGAATATAAGTATGCAAATCTGTCACTAAACTTAGTCAATCACACGGGAAATAAACTACAGTTGAAGCAAAAAATAGCAGAGAACAGATTCAGAAGCCCCCTTATTTTTTAGAACAGATTCAGAAGGTTAAATAGTATCAACTCCCTGTGCGCTATAATAAAATATTTTAAATTTATTTAAAACATAACAAACATACAAATACATATCCCTGCATTTAAAACTCAATTGTGACAGCACATGCACCCAAACCAAATTGTTTGCCTGAATCCACCCATGCGCACATGCACATAAAGGAATACACTCAAGTCACTGACTATATCATCAATTTCTACTAATTTTATGCTCATGCTTCTATGAAAATTGATAAAACATTCAAACATCATTTAACACCTACTTTTTAAAGACACCCTGCACATTTTGCAAACTCGGAGCACCCTGATCTTGTAATTTGGCTTTGACCAGCTCCACTATCCCCTTATCGGGCCCTATGTCTTGTCTCTCTAAGATATAAAATTCTCTTTTCCTTCTAAATTGATGTTTTAAGAACATGAAACAAGCAAAAGTAATCCATCAATTTGTCCTTTTAGCACAATCAAGTAGTAAATCACTGACACACCCACTCTTCCTATCGTCAATCTCCCTGATTAGTTGGTCCCTTACCTAGGATTTTTGTGCCTTAGGTATGCCCAATGCAGTCAAATCAGAAAGTTGAAATTTCCCATATTATATATATAGAAACTGTGTATGAAATTGCAATCCAGTAGAACTACCATAAATAACATGAATTTAGTGATAGTTTCTTGGACCAGATCAATGTTTATGTTCTCATACATATCTCAACAGTTTAATAATGATTTAATCAGCTATATCCAACATTATTCAGAGGCAGAAAACCCTATATCCAACACCCTAAAGCTAACCATCAAACATATATACAATTAGTCCTTTTTATCAAATTAAATACATATACATCTTTGAAAAGTTAAAAATAAATAAATAAATAAAATCACTACTCAAAATCAACAAAAAACACACAATAGTTTTATTCTTAATATGAGACAAAGTGCTTACAACTGCGGGCGAAGCCTGGCTAGCTTTATTAAACACCTCATGCAAAGCTTGTTCGGTTTCCCCATGATATTGACTAATAATTTCAGGTCCATTCACTAAGAACATTTTAACACCAGCCTTATGTGCACATACTCGAGCCAAAGTAGTCTTTCCTGTTCCCGGTGGCCCATGAATAAGTACTCCTTTTGTAGGACGTAAACCATAGCTACAAGTATATACATGCATCACTTAGTTGAAAAGGAAAATACATAATATATTGTCCTTTTACATTTCAACATTAATGATTTTCTTTATTATTCAAAAATACCGAAGATCACCAGTAATTTTAAATACTAGATGAAAACAGTTATGCAATCAGCAGTAATAACAGTCTATTCCAGAATCAACACAAACGGCCATAGATGTCATCTATACCTTGAAAGTGCAACTCGCGCTGGTGAATCTATGATTTGCTTTAATGCTTCCAGCTCTTTGAAAAGGCCTCCTAACTTGGGGAAGCTTTTTCCTATATTATTTGTATCACTCTCATGTCCAAGGGTTGGATGCGCCAAAGGATCTTCTACAGAACTTCCATTTTTAAGGTTTCTTGGTGAAAGCAGGTGTATTTTCATTCCCCAATTTATAGATAAAGCACACACCATGTCTTTTGGAGAGTGTGGATCCTGAGAGGAGATAACATTCTTACCATTACAACTTTCACTATTTGAGAACATTCTTTTGGAGCCTACAACCTGGAGAACACATAGCCCTGACAATATTGGGACTACAACAAAATTTCCTGACAGTAAATTTCGCGAACTTAACCATGACATTGTGCAGGTTTCCAAAAGTTTCCTTGATGAATCATCCTCTAAAATTTGCTCCACATTTTTCATATCAACAGATGCAGGGAAAATATGAGGTGACTTTGATACAGATCTATCATAATTTGATGAATGAGATCGCATTGAAATTGGAGAGCTAAGCTGAGACTGTGGAAGTGATGGAGTTCTTGGGGATGAAATATTGCTAACTTGAACATGTCCATATTCATCTTCACCTTCTATTTCAACTTTATTCTTCAAACATACTGGGGAAAGATATAATTCCTTGGAGTTGTCTAATGATATACAATTCACCGCAAGACCACGTTGATTACCATTTCCATTCTCAGTTGAGAGTTGGTGCTCAATGGGATGAACAAAGACAGTTCTTCCGGAAGCAGGGCAACCCATAGTATATGAAAGATTCAAGGACAGGCGCACTCCATTTTTTAATACCTGTACGTATAGAATTCATTAGAGCAACAATAATAATGATGCTACAACCCTACAAGTGATTTCTTATTGAGCCAAATGCTTTATTTATTGCAGTTGATTTATATTCACCTCTTCAAAACATTTTTATAACATGGATTGAGTCTGCCCAAAACTCTCACACAATAATATTTGTACTTTGATGGTTAGTAATCAAAATTCTTATTTAAACTTAGTGCTAATTATCAATTTTTTATGATACTAAATCCTCCAATTATTATGTAGTTCATAAATAAAAAATAGCAAAACAATTCAACAAACATACAGATAAGAAACCATTTACAATAATTCATAATTTTAGCAATAAAAAAATACAAATTTTCCTGCATCAATAATTTCAAACAAACAAAGTGAATACTTCTCCCAATAACTGGTTTTCTACAACTTCCTCAAATAACTTGGCATCATGTGGTGTGATTTTATGTTTGCAAAGTTAGCTGAAGATTATTATTAACTCTACAACTTTCTATGTCAGCAATTCAGGGTTTATGAACTTAAGAATGCCAGTAAATAGAATGTTAGTTACTTAACTTATATTATTATCAAAAGGGTGAGGAAAACACAAATACCCAACTTATTAGTTTGTACATTGCTTTCTCGCATAGATTCCCATGCCGGTTAATTACTCCTTGAAAAATGAACTTGTGGACACAGCGCCATGATCTAATTTTCAGAACAATAAATAAATTTGCAATTCAAACAAGCGGTTCCCTGAAAAGTATCAGTACTAACTCGAATCTTCATTCCAGATAAGAGCGCATGACAAAGCAAGGATTACATGCATACAGAAAAATATAGCCATACCTTAGAAGATGGAAATACGACAGCCAAGGCAAAGAACTCCCCAACTTCATTAGCTATATTATCCGGCAATTCAAAACCAAAGTATCTTGCACATTCTTCTGGCAGGGCACTCAAAGGAAAGTGGCTTTGAACTTTATCCAAAGACAAAAGGGATACCTGTCAATTTAAATTGCACTACATATTATACATGAATACATACATACATACATATAGTTCATGGTTGTATAGCTAGCTGCAGAAAGTTGATGCGTGGATCATTATTTTATCTATCTGAAGCTATTTTTAGGTTCCTAAGTGAAACAGGAGAAACTACGGCAGTGCTCTTAATTCAGACCCAATAATTGCTCACAAACGAGTCACATAATTTGAATAAACCCAATGTGGGTATACGCCATTAATGTTAAATAAACAAACGTAGAGTTCAATGGGTAAAAACAGTAACTTGGAATTATGATCTCTTAAAAAAAAAAAAAAACTGACAAGAAGAGACTACCGAAACAATACAGCCAGGCTGAATGGAAGAAGAAACCATAGCAGATTCAGAAAGCCAGATTTTGCATCCTCTAGTGTCTGAAACCGGATCCTCCACAACTGTACCAACAAAGTCAGTTGGGGAAATCAGAGATGGGAACTTTGCCGAAGCTTCCCCAAGTGACAACAGCAATTGGTCCTCCCTCGGGTCGAAAGCCGACGATACAGATGCAGGAGATGAGATATTGCCGCTCCGATCGGGTTTAGAGGGTGTCTTGGAGCTCTTCTTCTTCGAAGGCATTCTGCAACCTTACTGCTCGAGTCAAACTGGCGCCAGTGCAATTGTTCTGAACTCAATACGACTAGAAATGCCTTCTATTTAGAGCTAAACCTATCTTCATCTGCTATTTCCGGCAATCAACTAGGGTTTCTTCAAAGTCTCGATCACCATTGTCGCTCCGATTCAAAACCCTGCGGAGGGTTTAGGCAATTGGGCGGCTCTTGACCCGGCCCAGTCCCGGCACGGTGCTTTCGGACGGTTTGGGTGGTTTGCTCATGTTTTGATATTCGGACATTTTCTTACAAAAGAAAATTAATACTTCCGTTCTTATATGATATTTGTGTGTTATAATATTATTATAACAATATTTGAGTAAAAAAATTATATAAATATAAATTAAAAATATTTTTAATATTAAAATTTTGAAATCGTAAAAAAAAGTAAATAATTATAAAATATTTTATCAAATATTATTTTAATATAGAAGAATAAAATTATAATTCAAGTGGGGAAGCTCTCACCGGCCAATAGCACCGAATTATATCTGTGTCAATACTATGGTTTGTTCTTTCAAATTATTTTTTTTTACAAAATGTTCAGTATATATTTTATCTTCTCACAAAAGTATCAATGAGCTGGGAATACAATATGATACTATACAAAAAAATTAAGATATTTTTTGTTACCCAACAGTATACCATAATTTCCAATATTATTTTTATCCTCCCACAAAAATTCAATATGATAGTGTACAAAAATTTAAAATAATTGTTGGTACCCTATGGTATACCACAATTTTGGTAATTTTTTCCAACTCTATTTAAAAGACTTAATAATAATAAAATGATCATGTTTCATAAATTTTTGCAATTTCTAGGGAATATTTAAGATTGCATGAGCTAAAGCATGGCGGCATTCCTTAATAACAACCTCCAAGTCATTATTTTATTATTTTGAACAGAAATATATATATAAAAGATGATTGAGGGAATAAGTGTTTTATATTATTAAGTCCCAATCAGAAAGTAAAGAAACCAAACTCGAGAAAGCAGAGGCTGCATCTAATTCTGGTTCTGGATCAGTCACAAACAAGACACTAAAACACTACCAACCATTAATTTCAACCTGCCTGCCTTTTCACAAGAAATGATAAGTCACTGTCCATCTAGAAAACCTGTCAGTCTGTTCTATCACATATACATACATACATACATTTCTAAGTATAACAAAAATACTTCATTTGAAGGCAAAGTAAACAAGGAAAGATGGATGCAGCACCAAACCATGGCTCTGCCCCTCTCCCTTCACCTCAAATACACATACAACAACACCAACACCAACAATAATAATAATAATAAAATTATTTCCCCTCTTTAAAAGCAAGTAAAAAAACATATGAGTCATTCTGATCAGTCCCCAGTCCTTGTCTTCCAAACAAACTTGCTCTTCTCTGTCAAGGCAATCTTCGCTCTCCACCCAAAAAAAAAAAAAACAAAAAATATTAGTGAAATTCTTTTATGCATCTGTGAACAATAGCCTGCACATTAAGCAAGGTTAGGTGGGTGAGAGCAACCTCAAACTCCCTCAGGAACTTCCTTTTGCAGCATTTCTTTTATTGCATTTGAGCCTCATTTTCTGAATGAATTGCTAGGTAGCTGTTTGTGGGCTTTTTCTGTTGTTGTTTTTTTGCGCCGGGATAGGTGTAGAAAATGCAGCTGCATATATCACCAAGCTTGAGGCATGTAACTGTGCTGCCTGCAAAAGGTTTCAGGGAGTTTATCAAAGTGAAGATTGGCTCCAGAAGATTGTCGTATCGCATGGTTTTTTACTCCGTCTTGTTCTTCACGTTCTTGCTCCGCTTTGTGTTTGTGTTGACTGCTGTTGATACTATTGATGGAGAAAGCAGATGTTCTTCTATAGGTGTGTATATATAATATATATATATGGATATAAATATTACGTATGCGCAAAAAATAGAATAGATACGCTTACCTGTAGTTATGCTTCGTCGCTGATAAATTTATCCTTTGTGGTTAACCAAATGCAGGCTGCCTGGGGAAAAGATTAGGACCGAAAATCTTGGGAAGACAACTTGACTCTGTGGTAAATTTGCTCGAATCGCTTTACAGTCTTTGTCTTCCTTGTATTTAATTTCTATGACATAAAACTTACACGATTTGTATCAGGTTCCAGAAGTGATGTATCAAGTACTCGGTGAACCTGTCAATCAAAGCCAAGTTCAGTTAGGACAAGAAATCCCTCAAACAATGGAAGAATTTATAGAAGAAATGAAGGATGAACGACCTGATGCCAAGACGTTTGCTATCAAGCTCAAAGCTATGGTATTAAGCATCCCTTCGTCTGTCATACATGTTCAATTACATTCATCACACTCTGCATAAAATCTTTGAGATCAATCCAGGCAAACACTAACCTTTCGTCATTCGTACAGGTCACATTTCTTGAACAGAGAACAAGAACTGCAAAAATCCAGGAATTCTTGTATCGACATGTGGCTTCCAGTAGCATACCAAAGCAGCTGCATTGCCTCACCCTAAAACTGGCAAACGAGCACTCTACTAATGCCAACGCCCGCCTCCAGCTTCCCCTGGCAGAGTTAGTTCCTGCCCTTGTTGACAACTCTTACTTTCACTTTGTCCTCGCATCCGACAATGTCCTTGCAGCCTCTGTCGTTGCAGCATCACTGGTCCGCAACTCTTTACATCCTGAGAGAGTTGTCCTGCACATAATAACCGAAAAAAAGACCTATTACCCAATGCAGGCATGGTTCTCGCTCCATCCTCTAACACCTGCAATAATTGAGGTCAAAGCACTGCACCACTTTGATTGGTTTACGAGGGGAAAAGTCCCGGTGTTGGAGGCTATGGAGAAGGACCAAAAGGTGCGATCACAATTTAGGGGAGGGTCATCGGCTATTGTGGAAAATAATGTCGAAAAACCATATGTTATTGCTGCAAAGTTGCAGGCATTGAGTCCCAAGTACAATTCGCTGATGAATCACATTCGCATATATTTGCCAGAGGTGAGTGTTGGTGTCCCATACCTTTGCCCTGACATTTGTGAAAATTTTGACGTCTCAGTTCTCACAATCGCGATTTGTTGCAGCTATTCCCAAGTCTTAACAAAATAGTGTTCCTGGATGACGACATTGTGGTTCAAACTGACCTTTCGCCTTTGTGGGACATTGATATGAATGGTAAAGTCAATGGAGCTGTGGAAACATGTCGAGGAGAGGACAAGTTTGTGATGTCTAAGCGGTTCAAAAGTTATCTGAACTTCTCTCATCCTCTAATAGCACAAAACTTTGATCCTAATGAATGTGCATGGGCATATGGTATGAACATATTCAACTTAGAAGCTTGGAGGAGAACAAATATAAGCAGGACGTACCATTTCTGGCTGGAACAGGTAACACTCAAATTGCAACAAGATCCCCGCCTGCGGTCAAAAAACCATCAGAAGCTCATTCTCGATGAGAGTTAGTTGAATGAGATTGAAATTAAAAACCATGGTTTTACTAATGATGCTCTCTTTACCTGCTGCAGAATCTGAAGTCGGATCTAAGTTTATGGCAACTAGGAACCTTGCCTCCTGGGCTAATTGCATTCCATCGTCATGTGCATGTAATCAATCCCTTCTGGCACATGCTAGGATTAGGGTACCAAGAAAACACAACCATTGCAGATGCTGAAAGTGCTGGTGTGATTCATTTCAATGGCCGAGCAAAGCCATGGCTGGACATAGCATTTCCACAGCTGCGTAGTCTATGGACAAAATATGTTGATTTCTCCGACAGATTCATAAAGAGCTGCAACATAAGAGCGTCATAGACCGAATGTGTTTATCCTACTTATACCTGTAAATGAAATAGCAGGAGAGATGTGAAAAGTTCCTGCACGAAGCAGAGGGATCTATCTCCACTGATGACAACAGCAGGCTGCAAATTTTGGGAACTCTCCGTTGTTTATGGGGTTCTACATACATACTCCACAATTTATTTGATTCTCATTTTGCACAATAATCAGAGTTTATGTTGCACAAAATGGTTATACACTGTGATGCAAATTGGACATGATCTGGTAATAATCAATTGTAATTAATGAAACACACAGCAGAATAATTCTCACTTCTAACCTAAATAAATACACAATCCAAACTACTACATCAGATCACATCTCTATTCAAAAAAACAGACAGGAAACTGAGCATGCAAACATTGGGTTGCTGTTGAAATAAACCTGGAAACATTACAAAATTATAGTTTTGTTACCTGGCAGATAACCAATGCATCTCTTATCTAGTCCACTTTGTCGGTAAAACTGCAACTGCAAGTACTCTATCCCATCCTTTCAGGTTACTGTTCATAGCATGCTGAAAGAAGAGGTTACAAATATGTGCAATATTTCACAATGAAGTACAAGGCAACATCACAGAACCGAAGCTAGAAATTTGTGTGTGTGGAAATTCAGGTTCCAACATAATCCCTACAGTTCAAGCTGAAGCACTAAGACATTATGAGATAAGCATCAAGAATCTACGAAACAATATAATTATAAAACAGTTAAACATTACATTGAAAAGCCAAAACAAACTAAATTGCACAGTTCACACCAATCACAATCGACAATATCCGAGTTAGGCACATTAACAAAAACTAATATAAAGTCAACAGCATAGGAAAATCATGTAAAAAGCAGACAGAAATGAATGAGCGAAAAATACAACCCCAGGATTTGTAGCTTCCAACTTAGGCAACTGGTGGGTGCAGTGCATGGTCCTGAGATGTATCAACAGCTGCAGGAGGCATGAACTGCCACATGGCAACGCCAGGGTAACCGATAATCGGCACCAGCTTGTTGTTTCGAGCTTGGCTTTGTGCAGAAAATGCAGCAGGCATGGCAGGAGGTGCGGGCAAAAAGCCAGGTTGGGGAACATTTAATGTCTTCAACTGCTGCTCAAGCTTCTCCTTCTCAACCTTTAACCTTTGCTTCTCATCACGAAGCTCATTTTTCTCAGCCTACAGGGTAAAGGGGAAGAGTAGCAGCAATTTAGCATATTTCTGAGCAAGGAATGCAACTTCTTTTAATAGGAACAGAATCCCTAAGTTTATTGGACAAGCAGAAGCCATATTCTACCTGAGGTATTGTTAGATGAAAGAACAAAAAGCAAAATATTAAGTCTCACCTTAAGCTCTTTAATTTTCTCCTGGAGATTCAAATTTGAGTCTTTGAGTTTCTGAGCTTCACCTCTTAGCTGCATTACCATACGAACAGCATCAACCAAAATAGCAGACTTATCTGTTTTGGGAGGCCTACTGGGTTCAAGAAGAGCACCCAGCTCCATAAACCTGAGAACATATGCCAAATCCGTCAGCAGAGCGTATGAGAAAAAAGGGCAAACAAATTAGATGAGGAGGGCAGCAAAAATTGTACCTGTCATTTAGCCTATCTCTTCGTTGTTTCTCTCTGCAGGCTTTAGAGCCTAACGGTGCACATGTTTCAGTTCTAGCACTGTGAAATTACAAAGGGAAAAAATGGCACATTATTGAGAATATTTAAGATTGATTGCAGAGACATTAAAGCATCAAAGCTAATCAATAAGACGCACTCATATTTAAGTGGATTCTCTCATCCATGTAAATTTAAAACTCCTTGACAAAAGAAGCATTCAAATAAGCGTTGTAATTATTACTCCAACAATCCAATTATAGATTGAAAAGTGCTCAACCTTATCATCAAAATTCTTAAAATCAATGCATGGTTAAAAAGGAAAAACAGAACCTCATTACCGTTTTTTCAAGCCTGTTTCCTTCGGCACTTGTGATTCATCTAATGCTCCATCCAATTCCACACTATCATTAGATACAAAATCGAAGAAAAAACCCAATGAATGGACTGTGATGAATGGATTCTGCATATGTAAAAATGAATAAATAAAAGCGGGACAGCTAATAACTATGGAAAATGGTTAGGAATGACTGCCTGCATAAAAATTGCAACTGAAATAAGTGTGATGCATCAAATACCAATCGAAACCTGTTTGGTAAATATGTAGCAGAAAAACAATAACCACCTCATCATGCGCTCAAATATCAATAGATAGAAGCAATCTTTCCAAACAGAATTCAATCAAAATATAAAAGCCTTAAAAGCTCCACCTGAATTTAATGAACAAGATAAAAGCTTTCAAAAACACCATCCACCTCAAATCCAGATTAGATTACATTTCACAAAAGCTAGAATTGTAGGCCTTGATTATTAATCAGCAGCATATACACCAAAGAAGACGTCATAAGCAAAGAAAAAACTATATATATATATATATATATTTGTGTGTGCGCTATAAAATACCATAAAAGTTAGGTCTAATATATTTACTCCGAACACACAAAAAATCATGCCAATTGTTTTAACAAAATCAAAATCCCAGAACAAGCAAGGGAAAATTGAAGTAAAGGAGAACTAGAATCACCACCTGACATTCGACGAGCCATTCAAGGCTTGAGAGGGCCAAGAAAATCCAGAACCCCCCGGAGCCGATAAGGCGCCGCCGGGAGCTGGGATGTCTTCAAACCCGTAATCGTACAGCCAATTTGTGTTCTCCGATGAACCCATTTATACCAGGCGCAGGAAAGGGGAACAAATCCACTGCCGGAGCAGGAAATTCAATGGAAAAAAACAAAAAAAGAAAAGCAGACCGTTTCTGGAAAATCTGGGCTTCACGTGAGCTGAAACAGCAGTAGGCGAATCTCAAGAAGCATCATAAATCTTCCAAATATTCCTTTGATTTCTGAACGACTCGTTGCCCCAACTCCCAAGTGCTCTATGCAATTGCGAATTGCAATTGCGAATATGATTGCTGACAAAACGAAAACAAGAATTAAAAAAATATATCGAAAAAGATTCCCCACATACACACGGGAAGGGAACACCACTGTTGCCAGCACTCACATCAACGGGGCTCGCTTTTTGAAAGTCAATCCAATCAGCTTTCAGCCCGTTTTTTAATTGGGCCGGGCCATGTCAAAGCCCACTCATGCCATTAAGATTAAAAAGTAAATTATCATAAATTTTATGATATAAGATTCAAGATTGTAATACATAAACAACAGAATAGAATGATGAGGTGAAAAGCTTCCATTGGTGGATGATGATGAGAAAGAAGGATTGGGGTGGAAGATGAGTGGTTTTAAAAAGTGTTGGCAAAAAAGTGTATACTTTTGCCCAACCCATCATACATATTAAAAACCATTCATCTTTATCAGGTAGAGATATCAAAACCTCAGTCATCTAATGTTGTTTTGTGACGTAATTAGACTTGTTCAAATTGTTTTCGATTATAATTTTTTTTTCCCCATATTGTGCCAGAAATTCAAACAAACAGTTTCAAGAAGTGATTCTTGAACTGAACAAAGGTTTCTTGCCATTTCATCATAGAATGCTTCTGAAGTTACTACTCCAGAAAAGATTTAACGGTCAGCAATCATTATCAACTGCAATATGAAATTACAAAGGTGCCCTTGTCTGTGGATATACCGTTGGTGGACAGCAGAGGTTGTCCATGCATCACTTCTCATCCTGAAGGGGATATTACAAGAAACTAACTACACTTAATTATCCTACACAATTTGCAGCTATGGCAACTACACCTAACTTGAATACCATATTTGAGTCCCTATGTCAAATCCCCAAGCTTCAAGGCACACCCATGACTGCAAGAAATTTCGGGATCGAAGCCCCCGACGTCACGGTGCAGGCTACAAGGCGACGTGCAATCGGGCTTGGTTCGATTGTGCTGTTTGGCAATGTTTGCATCGGAAATTCTTGGGCAGAAGACAATGGGTTTTGGATAACAGGGCCATTGCCGGTGCCGTATGCAATCAACGGTATGCTAATTAATTCGATGCGCCTAAGGTTTTGTTTGTCTCGAATGTCTTGTCTTGATTCCTATTTGGTTAGATCTTAATAACAAGGAGACGGGGACGCGAACTTTTCTCAAAAAAGGGATCTACATTGCGGACGTGGGGATTAAAGGGCGAAGGCGGAGGCTGAAACGATCCGCATTCGATCTTATAGCATTGGGAGATTTGATAGATCAAAAAGATGCATGGAACTATGTAAGAAGGTATTTGCACCTCAAGGGGACATTTATGTACTTTGATTTCGACGAGGTGATTTCAGCAGCAACGGAGGATGATAAGAAGCCTCTCACTGATCTCGCCAATAGATTGTTTGACAGCATCGAAAAGGTAAACAAATTCGATTCAATATGTTTGGCTGAGAATCGAATTTGTATTAATTCTTTCATATGTTTGGCAGCTTGAGGTTGCAGTGAGAAAGCAGGATTATCCACAAACCGAGACGTGCTATCAAGCTACGACGGCAGTTCTGGAAGAGGTTATGAGTCGAATGGGATAAACATCGATTACTGTCGATGTAGCTATGCATGTATGTTTGTCTTGTTATTACATTATATATTGTAAATTCGAAAGAAATGCTTGGAGGATGACAACCTTCGGAAATCAAATTACAACTTAGCAATGTGAAGTATTATAAGTACAAATTGACGAGTGGTCAGCTTGCTTTTCCCTACGATGTACAAACAAAAAAGCTTTATCGAACGGGATTAGTGAGTCTAGAATAATTATTACATCCTGAAAAGTCATCCAATGCTCATACGAGGGTCCGAAGATCTTATGTTGGTTTGGCGTCTTGGAACGCCTATCTCACAAGCGTTTACCCTGGCTGCAAAACGTAGTGAACAAAGTGATTCACCCACGGATGAAGGATCAGGGGATACGTTGACGAACATTAGAGTCTTCGAATCTCCACCCAAGCAAGGCTGAAAAATGAAGGAATGACACAATTTCGAGTTTAGAGAGCAATATGAACTTATATAAGTGCAGGAGTTTGGATATTATATCGATCATTTTATCGTAAATGTTTAACTTTTTGTTTACCTTTGAATGACAAAAATATGCAACAATTACCTGGAGAAGATAAGTTAACTTTGAGTTTCTGTAAGGCACATGCTCCTCTTTCTTCGCCAAAGCAAATATGACATCACTTAGTGATGATAAGCTCTTATTGATAGCCTATGAAATGCCAATGGAACAATTTGTAAGGTGGAATACGGGTAAGCATTCTTGATAAAGAACTAAATCTCATATGTTAATATACCTGAGTTTCTTTTAGTCTATCCCCGGTAGATCCACTTTTAGATAGGCGTTCACTGCCAGCAAGATCAATTAGATTGAGAACACCTCGTACTTGTTGATCGGTGCTCTAGTGACAGCAGAACAAAATAAATTATTGGCATACAGCAACAACTACATGAAAAGCTTGAATCAGAGCAAAATGTAAATTAAAACAAAAGAGAGTGAAATACCTCATTGTAACCAGCTATTCGAAGTGTGAAAACAAAGTGACTTCTTGAGGATTGCTCGTTCATTTGAGTTTTGCCCACAGACCTAAAATGAAGTGGTGAAAGAAAGTCATTCTATATCATTTTCAGCAACTACAAGAATTACTTTGAAGAGCAGGCAAACAATTATGTTAAAATTTAACTGAAGATATTTACATTACCTGCTTTGGGCAGCACGGTCTAAGAGATATGAAACCTCTTTGCTGCTATGAACATCAACAATTGTAAGATCAGAAACTTGAGTGTTGCCATTTGCATCATGTTTGATAGTGTACTGCTTTGCAGCACTTTCAGCTGATCTATTTGGCGCTAATAGATCACGGATCGTTTCATTATATATTTCAAGCATTGAAACCTGAACATTTGATAGCATGAATATAATATATTTTAAGAGAAAATTATTGAATTTAAACAAGAAATTAAACTCCTATATACCTGCATTTCATATTTCCATCCTTGGGCTTGAAGATTAAGTCTGGTCTCAAACACTTGTTCCAGTGATCTTGGAATCAAACCTTTCTGATCAGTCTGTCCTGGCTTCCCCATCATAGTATATGTCTTTCCAGAACCCGTTTGACCATAAGCAAATATACATACCTGACATGCAAGTGAAACTCTTTAAAATTGTTTGTTAAGTTACTCATGAAGATATCTGCTGTATAAATTTCTGAAAACCGTTCATACTGTGAGTAATAAATCATTTTAAACGTTCGCAGATATCAAAGTTTGAAATTGATCAACAAGGCAATGCAATTTTCTTGGGAATAAAATTGTATCCAAGAGATAACTTATCACCCTGTAACCATCCAGAGCACTTTGAACAAGCTGGGATATCTCTACAAATGTATCTTCTTGAGAGGCATCAGGCATTAAGACTTTGTCAAAACTAAAGGAATGTTTTTGACCTGGTGAAGAAAATTTATGATTTACAGAAGGAAATAGATATCAAAAACTGATGTCGGTGATGTGAACGTATAATTTTTTGAGACAAACAAATGACACCCACCATTATGAGTCAATTCAATGCCTCGACCTTCTGTTTCCATTGATGTTGGGAAGGAAACAACTTTTGTGTCTGTTACAACTCCATCACCTGACAAGAGTGGTCTAACTCTACAAAAGACACGGATATTCCCCTTCAACTCCTGTATCAACAAATAATGCGTCACTAAAACCCCACATAATAAAAATAATCAGCTCAATGATAACCATATAAAAATCCAAGCAAATACACATATGTATGTACCAGGATGGTGTTATGTAATTTCTTGCGAAGTTTCTCTCCTTCTACTATCTTTAACTCTGCATCAGCTAGACGATTTTGTAAATCAAGAATAACCGATTTTTGTTCTTCATGTTCAGACCTTGTCTCCATTGCAGACATATCAGACAGCTAAAAGAAACAGAAACAATTATTTCATGGTGATATTCAAGTTAGAATGAACATGTCAAAGAAAACTAAGTATCAAAGAGAACCAAGGCTCATAGAGAAAGACCTTTAATTTCTTCTGCGAAAAGCTCAACTGCTCTTTTAGATGCCTTATTTCCTCAGACTGGTGCAAGCATGTTGACTAAACATATATATATAATAAATAATAATAATAATAATAATAATAATAATAATAATCGAAGAATGCATGTTGAATCATCAGTGATACGAGAGATTAAAAAAATACCTCCAACTCCTTTGTTTTCACATTCAAGGTATCTACTTCAGCTGTAGATTTTCCATTATGTTCTTTATATTTTACCAGTTGACTAGAAAGCGTCTGAACTTGTTGCAATTGGTGGTCACGATCATCTCGTACTTGTTGCAGATCACCTCTCAAGCGTGTTACTTCACTACTTAGTGCTTTCTTTTGCTTCATAGCCTCATCTTGTAATTCCTTTAATGATAAGATTTTGTCAATGAACTTATAGACATTAAATTTTGTAAGCAAATGCCATCACAAAACTAGCATGCATCAAGCAAATAAATGCAGTGAATAAACTTAGAAAACAGAGTCAGGAGAAATAGTATCAATCAATATAAGTTGCAAACTTTATTGAAGTACAACTAATGTATGCTTGATTCGATAAAAAATAGTTCATCCAAAAATATTTGTTTCATAACTCTCAACTCATTGTATATAGAACTAATTTAGAATAAAATACAAAGACTTAAGTTTGAAAGAGATCAAGTTTTAGCATTAAGAAAAGGGAATAAACATTCTTAGACGTCCATTAACAAAGGAAAATGAAATGGAGAAAGGAAAAACAATAATATATAACTCACTCTTGAAGATGTAAGCTGATCTTGAAGAGATGTATAGTGGCCTCTAAGAGCACTGAGATTTTCAACAACTACTGATTTCTCTTTCTCAACACGCCTGAGAGTCTCATTACTTGTATGAAGTTCTGACTGAAGTCTAGTATTGTACTGCTGTAAGCTTGTGTTATACTCTTGTAACCTCTTGTACATATCATTAAGTGATTGTATCTGAAGAAGGCAAAGATATCTCAGAAGGAACCAATATAGGATAAGAATTTTGGAACATATAACTAAATGGAAGCATTCTATATATAACCACTACAAACCTTTTGGACACTAATAGCATTATCTTGTTGGGTTCGCGTCAGCTCTTCTGCAATGGAAGCTTGCAGTCTCTCTGCAGCTAGTCTTGAGTCCTTCTCTTGAGCCAAAGAAGCCAATGTTTCCTGTTTTTGCAGTTGGCTAAAGCACAAGATGTGGCAAGTATCACAACAATATATCATGCATGCAATGGGACTCATACCAATTTGTCTGATTCTTCCTTATCAAGCTTTTGTTGCAGTGACTCCAAATTTTTCCTCAGCTCCATAATAATTGAGTTCAACTCATCTTCTTTTGCCTTCATGAACAACTCTGAAATGACTTTTGTGTTAAAGAAACCGCACTGTTTTTTCCCGAAACAAAACATCCTTCAATGATTAATAAATTATTTACCCATATCATTGCACTTCGTTTCAGCCAACTCCAACAAGCTTTTTAGTCTCTCCTGTTCTACAACATAATTCCCTTCGAGCTGTTGGAACCATTTGATGCATTGTTTGAGCCTTCTGATGCAATCTTCCATTTGCTCACTTTTTTCCTGAAGAAAAAACAGTTTCCCAGCTCATAAATATGTTGAAATATCAACAGCTAGAAAATGTTAAGGAGTAGATGAAATTACAGAAAGGCATCTTATCCCATATCTTACCTTGTAATTGAATTTATTTTTTAATCTCAACCTCTCATTGAGTAAGGCTTCCACATCCCCTTTGCTAAATTCAATCAGTTCAGAGTCAGAACTTGCGCTGCTTGGTGGTCCGCTGACAGGAGGAGGATCCTGGCCCCCATTTACTACTGCAAGGGGTTGTCGGGTTTGCATTCTTGTTCTAGCATTAGGAGGCATTTTCACATTACCAATTTTTTGCCTTTTATACAATGATGACCCCTGGACAATGCACTTACGCTGATCAATATAAAATAACAAAATCACAACGTATACCCAAAACAACTTCAGAAATGCATACATTACAGAGAAAAAGTTTCCGAAACAAATCCAATTATACGAATACAACAGTTCAAAAAATCCAGCAAAAAAAATAAGCAAATATATAATAAAGTAGGGACTAACTTGTGGAGGGCTAGAAGGCTGATTCCTCTTGTTCCTGGAAGCCATCCGAATGGGAGCCTTTTGTATGGACACTGAAGTGGAGAGAGACAGAGAAGAAGGGATTCAATGCTTGTTTTTGGTGGCACAGTGGTTGATTGCAATCCAAGATAAATCCAATTTTTGTACAGGAACGATTGCTTCGAGTTGCAGGAATCAGAGAACGCCGAAACGGCAAAACTCGGGAAAATTATCTCCAAACTTGTGCTCGGAACAAAAAAAAAATGCAAAAAAATTAAATCAAGTTAAATTAAAATTAAGGATTGAAACGATTTCTCATTTAAGTCTGAAAGTAATCAGACACCGTACCTTGAATCAGATAAGTCGTTCGGGGGAATTGAGCATCATCTCGCATTAGGGTTTGCAGATTTGAGTGCGGAAGGAGGAGCGTCTACAGAGACCATTTTGCAATTGTTTGAATGGAATATGGCGGTATTCTTACAGTGAGAGTGAGAGGCATTAATTGCATGTCGAAATGACAGTTTTGCCCATGTTAATTCATTCTATTTACGAAATGTGCCTTCCTTTTTCTTTTACATCATTTTTAACGGTAAAAAATTTAAGGCTTACCCAGGATCAAACATACAGCGAAGATTGCCAAATTTTTTCAAATTTTTTTATTATTTTAAAAAATTATTATATATTTTCATACAAAATATTTTATCATATATAGTTTTAATTATCAAATTCAAATTAATTTTTTTCAAACTTATTCGAAATAAACAATACGTGTTTGTTTAGTTAAAAATAACTTATAAGTTAAATTTATTCTTATTTTTTTATTTTGTTAAATTTACTCCACTGTTATACTTCCTCCGTCCCATAACAAAGTATCTATTTTTTCATTTTAGTTCGTCCCATAACAAAGTATTCATTTCTTTTTTAGTATCTGTACTATTTACTTAACGTTATAAATATCCTTACAACTTACAATATATTACACAAATGTCATTACCTTTATATCACACGTACTAATAAGATTATTTTAGTTATTTCTACTTTATTCTTACTATATCCTAATATAATACTAATATTTTTAAAACTAAATGCAAAAAGTAAATGAATATTTAGTTTCGGAACGGGGGAGTATTTGATAAATCTAAAAAATCAACAATTATTTATTACTTTCATTTTAATATTTATTTACTATAAATTTACTAACTTTATTATATTTTTCCGTTAATTTTATTTAATTATTAATTAAAATTTTTATAATACTTGTATTTACTTTTTTTTTTTATCATGTTTTTAATAAATATTTTTAAAATTTTCGTGTCAGATCCAAGGATTGAAAATTACTAAAAAAAAATTAAAAAAATAAAATTATGAATTAGTATACAGTTCCCTAGGTAAAAAGAAAGTGAGTTGCTTGTAGCAGTACAGTGACCGTATGGTGGCCTTCATCTTCTTCCACAGTGTGTATAACAAATACCACTGTTGTACCTAAATTCGTAACCGTGGTATATAATGTTTATATAATAATAATAATAATAATAATTTTTAATATTATACCAGTATTTAACTCTCACTTATATAAAAATATCTTAGAAATACATTAATACATACTTCATCCATCCTATAATAAAATATTCATTTTTTTTATTTTCTTTTTAGTAACGGTACTATCTATCTAACATTATAAATACCCTTACAATTTACAATATATTACACAAATGTCATTATTATATATATAAGGTATGTAACTATTGTAAGTGGATTTAGGTCTGAATCCTAACTATTCAATATTTTTTAATATTAAATTAAATATTTATTTTTATAATAATTTTATTCCAACTAGAGTGTTTTTTTTTGAAAATTTTTTTGCAACTTTGACAAGAATTTTTTTGGAGTTTAACATTTTAAAAACATTAGAAAATATTTGATTAGATATTTTCTAAAAAATATTAAATAATACTAGCAAAATTTCAAAAATGTTATATAAATGATTATATTTGGATTATATTTTAATTTTTTAAGATATATTTGAAAAATCTAATCATTAATTGTTAGTTGGTTTGGAGATTGGATGAATATTAAATTGATAATTGATAAATATATTAATGTAAAAAATAATACTATAATAATTAAAATTTATTAAAATTAAATGAAAAGGTTAATTAAAAGTAAAAATTGAATGTTTGTTTTCACCACTTCAATTTGTGTGTTGATTAGGTCCAATTTTAATTTGACCTTCTAAGTATATATATATATAGCACAGTATAACAAATAAATAGTAAAACACATACCACTATATAACAGAACATTATGTTATGGATGGAATACTTATATTAAATATTTATTTATTTAAATATATTATATCAAATATTTGATTTTTTTATTGTTCTTTTTAAAATAAAAAAAATTAAAACTAAGTCAAAAGTACAACCTTAAATTTATCAAAAATAAATGTGTACATATATATATATATGATTGACTTTGAAGCAAAGAAAATGGAGCAGCACAACTGGGGTTTATTTATTTATTTAATTAATTAGGACTATTTTATTATTTACTGGTTGACTTGTTAGTTCAGGCGATACGTGACAGCCTGCACAATTTTCATACATTCCATTTAGGGTGTGTTTTCTCGGGGTATTTAATTTTAAATAAATTATTCATTCCATTTTTTTAAAAAAAAAACATCAAATCAAATATTTATTTTTTATTTTTTATATTATATTAAAAATTAATTTTACATTCAAAATATTACATCAACACCTATTTATATCACGTCATAGCATTATTCAAATTCAAAAATTTTATTATTCAAATCTCAATTCAAAATCCAAACCCCCAAACAAACACGCTCTTTCAATAATTATTTGCTTATTTTTGCCATTGACATGGGGTAATTACTTAAATTAATATTGTTTTCTATATTGTATTTTAATTTTGATTTTAATTTAAATAGTTGACGAGGTTGTGTTTGCTTGGGATTTTGTTTTTCAAGATTTTTGTTTAGTTTAGTTTTGTAGTGATATGTCTCATAAACATTGTATTGAAGTAAAATTCAATTGACCAAAAGCTAACCACAATTTAAGATTTGAAGTCATAATAAAGTCAATTACCATATCAGACGAGAAATTAATAAGAATGTAATAAAAATGTTACAATATTCTCTTAACATTGCCCGTAAGTAAGTGTCTATTTGGAATTTAAACTAACTAAGAAATTTAAACGACTTCTTAACTCGGGATAAATAATTGAAAATACTAAGATCTCATATATATAGAAAATAGAAATACAAGGAGTGTTAGTATCGGAGAGAATTCAAATTATATATCAAAAAATTAATTGTATGTTTATTTTGATAGGTTTGAAAAAAATTTAATTTTAATTTAGTATTAAAATAATGTTATGATTGAATATTTTATGGTAATAAAAATTGTATTTTTTTCTAAAATCGCAAAGTCGAAATAGTAGAAAGTTGAGGTTTAATGACTAAAGAGACAAACCCTAATTTTTTTTATTACAACAAACAATTTTTATTATTAATTTTTTTTTCCAAACATATCATTCACTCCATTCTTATAAGAATGATATTATTTTCTGTCAATACTATTTTTTGATTTAATAATTGTATTACCTATCTAACATAATAATTATTATGCTCTAACATATGAACTTTTCTATTTTGATTGGTCTGAATTCATGTATTTAGTTTTTAGTAATTATATTTCTTTATATATCATTCCAATAATATCATCGTTATTATTCAATTAAATTATTTTTTAAGGATAAAATTAATTTTTCAAATTTTTATACCACACAATTTATATTGTTTTAAAAAAATATAAAGGAATAAATAGTGTGTATTTTTTATTATAAAAAAAAAAGTTCAATATTAACCACATATAATTTTTTAATAAAAATTCATAATTTATTTTTACAAAATATGATATTAAAATATTATTGAAATTAAAATTCGAACTACCAGCCTAATTTCAAATTAAAAAACAAACAAATTTTTATATATATAAAGCGAATGGAGTAATACAACCTTAATTTAACCGGATGATATTGATACAATTTTATCAATACTTATCTATTCAAAACATGTAATAAATTATTATACTTACCACCTTTATTTATTTATTTATTTTTTTGACGTGGAAATCTGCAGCCGCTACTCGAAAATGCGCAGAATAAATTTTCGGTCAAATCTATTTTCGGTTGAACCTAATATTTTGTAAACTATGTCTCACAAACAAGTCATATTAAAGGAACCATGTATTGGTAAATGAGCTAACCACCTTTCTTTATTTCTTCTTATCATTAAGAAGTATAATCAATTATATCACTTAACTAATTTTCAATTTTAAAGTAATTAAGCAAGAAGGTATTTATTACCAGTAAGTGTTACATATACTTATCAATTACTATATTAAATAAACTGAATATGTATAGAAACTGCTTAAATTGTTATAATTATTAAATTTTAATATAAACAATAAAACTGTGTTTATCATTACTTATTTATTTATTTTTTTTGTATTTTAATTTTAATGTTTTTAAGGATAAAATAAGTGATTGAATAATAATGCCTTGAGTTTGTAAAATAATGTTGCTTTTTTTAAAAAAATTATTTTTCAAACATTTTTTATTGACAGAATTTTTAATATATTTGATATAAAAATTAGTTTTTTATATTAACAATATGAATATCTACAACTTACATTAAAAAAAAAAAATCTCAAATTAAAATACTAAACAAACATATTCATAATTTGATTTAATATTTGGTAATAAAAATATATTTATTATTGAGAATTGTAAGTAATATTTTTTAAAAAAAAAAAATAATATATTACATATACTTATTATTTTTACATTATCTACTTAAATTTAAATTTTTGTTGAATCCTATTTTGACATGATTATTTTTGAAGACATAATGTTTATTTAGTAGAAAATAAAATAATAAATAGCATGGTGTGGTTGTTTGTAGGTTTTGATTTTGTATAATAAAATTTTGAATTGAAATAATTGTTTAATGAAATATAATAAATAAAAAAAATTATTTAATTTGATAATAAATTGAACTTTGGTTTGGGGAGAATTTTTTCTTCTTTCTACGTAAAATATAAAGATTAAAAAATTGTATATATAATATAAAAATAATAAATATATATAATATATTAATATTTTTTAAAAAATATATTGTATATTCTTGACAAAAAACATACCCTAGTTTTTGCTAAATGAAAATATTTTGAAAAATAGTAAATTTATTTTGTTTTTTAATTTAAAAAATTTTATTTGACAAAAACTATAGAAAATTATACAAATAATATAAAAATAATAAATATATAGTATATTAATTTTAAAAAATAGTATGTTAGAAGAATCTTTTTTTTGTCAAAACAAACCGTTTATAAAAATAGAGAGGAGCACATTAACACAATCACGAAAAGTTATTTTTAGATTAGTGAGAAAAATGACGAAATTAGCCCTAATTGGAAAACGGATCTTTTACACGTTTAAAATTGTGAAGATTTAAAGACGATTTATTTATGAAATGAATGGAGACATGTCCATCATCCGCCCCCTGACTTATGTGGAAAATCGCCATTAATGAAACCTTCAAAATATGTGAGGATGGCGGTGAGTGGTGATGCATTTGCAGATAGCTTGGGAAGATGGAGGACGGCATCCTTCCCATTCCTCGGTCTTCTTTCTCAGAGTCAACTTGCGCCTGTGTGATCATCGTTGCTGCTTCTGATCGTACCTAAGAGGAAGTCCCTGTTTGAATCGCGAGTTCACCTCATTTCCTGTTTTTATCAGCCTTTTAGTTTGTGCATCGTTGGGAAAGCTAATCGACATTTAGTCAGTTAGTCTGGAGCTTTTTTGAGAACGATCGTTAATGTTGTAAGAGGGATTGGTGAAAGCTGTTGAAAAAGACTGCTGAATCTGGTTTGGTACAAAAATTGATTCAAGGAGTTGAGGAGATTCGAAATATGAAGTCATTGGAGATTTTCTGTACAGTTTTGAAGATGAAGATTGGAGGAAAGAGAGGAACTCTTTATTTTTTGGGGTCTGTTGTTCTAATCTGCACCACAATAGCAATTGTTGTTGAAAACAGATGGGAGGAGCAGGATTCGTTGCTGGCTTATCTACTGGAATCAGGAAAGATAAATCACGAGATGGTATGCAGCTCATGTTTACGTTTTGATTTTGATTCGTGTGCCTTGATTAATCTGTAAAAAAATTCTGTGAAATTTCGAATTAATTACCTGTTAACTGGTGTTGGGAAGACGTTTCCATTGTTGATTGCAGATTGAAATTTCTATTGATAGTGTCTCTGGTTTGTTTTGCACTTATGAAATTGTCAGTTAGGTTAGAAGATGATCATTTCAATCAACAAGGTTTTGAATCCAGCCTTATGGCTTTCCTGAGTTCTTTTCATGAAAATGTTTAATGTTATCTCTTACTGCAGGCAGAGATGTTAAGGAGCAACTGTATGCTTGAGTTTTTGCATACCAAGAAAAGTTTACAGAACCAAGATCAAGACTTCATTGAGCAGAAGTTAACTTATAATAGTGGATTTAAAAGGTTTCCGGGGACAAAAATGCATCATTTTGTTGATGCCTTGCTCCCTCAAGTTAATCAGATGCTAGTAGATTGTGCAATAAAAAGCCATGCTCATGAGAATGAGAAAGATTCGAATTCTGGATACACCATGTTTGGGGTGTTCTTGTTTAACTGGAACAAGTTTTTTACAAGACGTGCATTAGCTCAGACATCTGGAGATGCACCTGCTCCATCCCCAATGGTTTCATCACATAGTCGATCCCCTGCTCCATCCCCGGCAATCTTCTTGTCACATGATCCCTCACCTGCTCCATCTCCAATGGTTTCTTCTTCACCTAGCTCAGTGGATTTGGTTTCTCCGCAGCCTTCACATATACCAGCTAGGTCCCCATTACCTCATCCGCCCCCTTCAGATTTTTACCACCCGACTTTGCAGCCATCAGGTGTTGGACATGGTTCTGATGTAGAGCCAAGCAACAATATTATCAACAAAACTGTTGTTATTGCTGTTGCCGCAACTGCTTCTGTTACATTTTTATTTTCTGCACTGCTCTTTCTTTTCTGGTTTTTTTGCTTCGGGGCAGGTTCTAAACAGGATAAAGTGGCCGAAAAGCCTCTTATTTGGTCGAGCTCAAACGAGTACTCTAGTGGTATGAATTGCTTTTCCTGATTGATTCATCATTATAAGCAAAATCAGAAATGTTCTTATTCTTTTTGTCTATCTTTTTTTTTTGTCATTTCCATAGCCTCTCCACAGAAGACGTTCGGTTTTGGGAGTGTTGTTAATGAACAAGTGCTTGGGAATCAATCTTTTTACCACAAGAACCAGCATGACAAAGTCAGTGGAAACTTCTACATGGAGTCACAGTCTATTGGGAATTCAATTCCTGTTGTTGGAATTGTTGTTAGTGCCGCAGCAACCAATTCAGTCGAAAATCCATTGCAGATGAAGTCTGAAACATCAGGTCTTTCTGGATTGTCATCAGTGGAGCCATCTCTTGAAAATTCAGATCCTCCTACACCACTTCCATGCAATGCAACCCCTGCCCCATCCCCACCCCCACCCCCACCTCCACCTCCATCTACGCAGCCATCATCTACTGGCTCACATCCTCTACCTCCTACCCCACCTGGCAAGAATGGTCCTCAGCCACCACCACCTCCTCCTAGTGTCAGAACGCCTCCACCTCGGCCACCACCAATTGGCTTGAAACCCCCATCACTGCAACCATTTAACTCCACTTCAGTTAAAGAAAGTGAAGCCAGGGCTGCTAAAGCTAAACTGAAACCTTTCTTTTGGGACAAGATGTTAGCCAATCCAAATCATTCAATGGTTTGGGATCATATTAGAAGCGGATCATTCCAGTAAGTCAAAATCTTCCTGGTTATGATAAATGCACTTAATTGCTTCATCTGTATGCTGTCTTATAGATACAACTATGCCTTTTTAACAGCTTCAATGAAGAGACGATCGAAAATCTATTTGGTTGTGAGCCATCCGGGAAAAACAAAGTAGATGTACAGAAGCAGTCGTCTTCTTCATGTCAAATGCTTGCACCCCAACACATTCAGTTGATTGATTCCAAAAAATCACAGAACTTGCTAATTATGCTGAGAGCTTTAAATGTAGCCGCAGAGGATATTTTTGCTGCAATAGAGGAAGGTAATTATGCGATCCTGTGAATTGGTACTCTATTCAGATTATTTGTTGAGTTTGTCACTGACTGCTATCATTTTCCCCCCAAAATCAGGCAATGAACTTCCACCGGAGCTTATCGAAACTTTACTAAAATTGGCACCTACAACTGAAGAAGAAACAAAGCTGCGGGACTATGGCGGAGAGCTCTCTCAACTGGGACCTGCAGAACAGTTTCTGAAAGTCTTGATTGATATTCCATTTGCATTCAAGAGACTTGAATCGTCTCTTTTCATGTGCACTCTTCAGGAGGACATATCAATGCTGAGGGAATCATTTGCAATCTTGGAGGTTAATTAAACATTCGCCTGCAATTTTTCAAATATGTGCTGTTCAATTATTATTAATTTATTTTTTCTATGTTCAGGCTGCATGCACAGAGCTACGACAGAGCAGGTTGTTTCTCAAGCTTCTAGAAGCTGTTCTTAAAACTGGAAATCGCATGAACGACGGGACATTCCGCGGCGGCGCACAAGCATTTAAGCTCGACACACTTCTAAAGCTATCTGACGTAAAAGGCGCAGACGGAAAGACTACACTGCTGCACTTTGTTGTTCAAGAAATCATTCTTTCGGAAGGCAGAAGAGCTGCTCGTCTCGCACCCGAAATGTCTGATGATGATTCATCGGAAGAAAATTTAAGGAACATTGGTCTCCAGGTGGTCTCAGGCCTGCCAAATGAGCTCGAGAATGTCAAAAGAGCTGCACTCGTGGAAGTTGATAGCTTAACGGCGACGGTCGTGAAGCTTCGCAACGAACATGCGAAAGCTCGGGATTTCCTCAATAGTTCAGCCATGAGCAATGCAGCTGAAGAAAATGGTTTCTATCGGATGCTAAGTAGCTTTGTGCAAAATGTCGAGACTGATATGGCAACGTTGGTCGACGACGAAAAGCGGATAATTGTGCTAGTTAAGAGCACTGGCGATTACTTCCATGGAAACACCGGTAAGGATGAAGGCTTCAGGTTGTTTAAGATTGTCCGAGATTTTCTTGCTATGTTGGATAGAGTGTGTAAAGAAGTTAAAACAGGCTCTCCAAGGCCAAGGTTGCCCCGTAACTTAGGCGTGCTTGAATAACTTCTGAGTTGTAATATACACACCAGTTGGAACTTCAATTGATCCTCGATTATGTTATGAATATATATGTTGGTAAAATGTAAAGATCTTACAAGTTACAACGAGCATTGTTTTTGGTTTCACTTTGCCAATAATGAATATATATATATATGTTGTGTTAAATTGGTCATACTGTTAAAACTTTGATAGTGTAAAAATATTTATATATTTTATGTGATATTTAAAAAATAAAATAAAATTATTAATGTCAAGTTTCAAAATATGTACTAATAATATTAACTATAAATAAACAAACCCTACCCCCAAAATCCGCACCGCCTTTCTTTTCTCTTGACCTTCCTCTCTTCCTTCTTCTACATTCCGCCACCGCCGCCCGGTGTTGTATCCGGTGAGTTTCTTTTCCTTTCTTCTCCTCTTTCTTTCTTTTCTCTCTGATACTCCCTCTGCTCCAGTGCTTCCACCATTTATCAAGGAAATCGAGTTTCGTTTTAACAATTTTCTTAGCTCTTTTCTCATTCTTTATTTTCTTTTTTTCTTTCTCAGCTTCTTCTGCCGGTGGTCGCCGCCGCCGTCGTTTCAATCTTTTTGGCTGAGCGGAGCGGACTCTGTTCATCACTTTTTCCAGACCAGAGAAAAAAAATAATAGCGAAAAATAAAAAGTGATTTGTGGCAGTGGAAGGACCTAGGAGTAGTGTTGTAGGTTTTGTTGGTTGGGTTTTTGAACAGTAAATGCATAGTAAGCCCTGTGAAAAATCCGTAAACAAACACGAGGTTGTAACTTATAAGGCTGCTAATTGAATCGGCTGATTATTTGGTCGAATTTGTGGCGATGGAAATTGAATTGGGGAAGCTTCCATTTGACCTTGATTTTCATCCTTCAAGTAATCTCGTTGCTTCTGGTTTGATCTCCGGTGACCTACTTTTGTAAGTTGGGTTCTAATGCACAGTTTTATCTGCTGAAATCGATGCGAGACGTTGGATTGTGACCGTAATGATGAATTTCTTTTGTTTTGTTTAGGCATCGGTATGTGGCGGAATCGACGCCGCAAAGGTACTGCTTTACACTGCTTGGTGTATGTAAATTTTTAGGTGCCAAGATTGTTGATTTTGTTTGTAATGAATGATTGTTAGGGTTATGGAAGTGAATGCTCATACTGAATCATGCAGAGCTGTCCGTTTTGTCAATGAAGGGCGTGGTAATTTAGCATTATTATGACTTGTAAGTTGTTGCTATCGAGCACGATCAATTGCAATTGCTGATCCCTTTGTATTTCCTGTTTTAATAATGATTATGGGTTCAGCATTAGTCACCGGTTCTCCAGATTGTTCCATTCTTGCCACAGACGTTGAAACAGGTGCAGCTGTTGCGCGGCTTGAGAATGCTCATGGGTAGATTCAATTATAAAGTGTTATTGTTTGAACACGATTTTGCATCTTCTTGAATCTAACGTGTTGCGTGGAATGCATGGCAGTGCTGCTGTGAATCGAATCGTTAACCTGACGGAATCAACCATTGCTTCGGGAGATGATGAAGGTTGCATTAAGGTGAGTAACTGAAATTGTGGAAACTCTTTAAAGTAGAAAAAACAGTAAAAAAAATTGGTTGTTATTTGTTAGAGTAAATGTATTAAAAATGTGAGTGGATATAATAGTGGATATGTTTTGTCAACAACCAAAACATAAAGAATATTGGTGTAATTATCCAGGATGTAGGGAGTGTTGAGTACTTAATTCGGCGGATTTTGTTGTTCAATAAAGAAGTGAAAGTTTTCAATCGACTATATTAGTAAGTGTGTTTGTTTGAGGGATTAGATTTTGAGTTGGGATTTGAATAGTAAAAATTTTGAATTGTAATAGTTGTATGATGTGATATAAATAGGTGTTTATGTGATGTTTTGAATGTAAAATTAATTTTTAGTATACTATAAAAAATAAAAAATAGGTGTTTGATTTGATATTTTTGGGGTAAAAAAATTGGATGAATAGTATGATTTTGGATAAATCCTTTAAACGAACACACCCAAAGTATTTCTGTGTTGCAAGGGAATGTATCTTACATAGGTTTGTGTTATAGGTATGGGATACCCGGCAACAATCTTGCTGCAACACTTTTCAGGTTCATGAAGAATACATTTCAGATATCACATTTGCCTCAGATTCGATGAAATTGATTGGAACAAGGTTCTCACTCCCCCTCAATCTTAGACATCACTTCGTTGAAGATTCTTGATTTTGAATTTTAGAAATATATCTAGAGTTCCTCTAGTTGATGTGCAATCTTCATAACTTAGTTGAGATCCTAACGTTCATAAAAAATATGGTTCTTGCTAACACTGGAGGGCTGAGGATGTTTTATAAACTAATTCGGCCTGGATGATTGGTTTAAGTTGCATTCAAGCAGCTTTGTTTATTGCATTGACAGGGATTATTCCTTTTGTTCTTTTTAAAGATCCAATGCATAGACTTGCGAATGTTAATTGCTAAACATTTTGGTCGACCATCACTTCCTACAAATGACATATTTGAATTTGTTAATATTTATGTTGATTCTATCTTTTGTTTCAGCGGGGATGGCACTCTATCAGTTTGCAATTTAAGAAGCAACAAGGTATTTCTTTCTATATTCGGTGGTATATAGCCAGTTTATTGTGCCCTGAATGTGCTCAACAACTTAATTTATTCCCCAAATTTGATTGCTTGATTCCATTTCAGGTTCAAACCCGTTCAGAATTCTCCGAGGATGAACTACTTTCTGTTGTGATTATGAAGGTTTGAGACAACTTCGATTGTTTTATATATAATTCTTCAATGAGTGTGGCTATATCAATATTAAGGTTTCTTGTTCTTCTGGTGAGCTCACCAGTTTCTTCTGATTTTGATTACTTAGTTGATTTTAAGCTGTGGAATTTGTAAAATGATTTATGATTATTAATTTTCCTTTCCAGAATGGTAGAAAAGTTATATGCGGAACTCAAACCGGAACTCTTTTGTTGTACTCGTGGGGATTTTTTAAGGATTGCAGGTATTTCTTCTCTCAATAACTCCTATCTACATTGAACCTTTAATTAGGTATTCCTTTTCTTTTGTTTCCTGTCGTATTATTGAGGTTAATATTGATATTTATGGTACACCCAAAAATTTCAGCGACCGATTTGTTGATCTCTCTCCTAGTTCCGTTGATGCCCTGCTGAAGGTTAGTTGCTTTTTGCAATTACGTTTATATTTCAAATATCTTTTCTTAAATATTGAGTTATTTTTACAATTGACTTAGTTTACAATACTTTTCTGGTTTCTGATTTTCTTCTTAAGCTTGATGAAGATAGAGTAATCACGGGCTCTGAAAATGGAATTATCAGGTGTGATTTTTTATGCCGAGCAGGCGCATTGTAGCCTCCATTATGCGACGACTTCTGGTTTTTGGAATTAATATTTTAGTTTCCTCACTCTTTTGTCAGCTTGGTCGGCATACTGCCCAACAGAATTATTCAGCCAATCGCTGAACATTCTGAATATCCAGTGGAACGTCTTGGTATGATTTGGTTCTTTAGCATTTGTGTTTCTTCACCAGGTTCAATCAATTGTATTTCATTATATTGTTTACCCTCGTAATTTTGTGTTTGCAGCTTTTTCTCATGACAGAAAATACCTTGGTAGCATTTCACATGATAATACATTAAAGGTCTTTTGCTCTTTGTCCGAGTTCACACACACATACTCTTTTTTTTTGCCTGGTTTTGTACCTAACTTTAACAGTTTCGATCTACATTGTGTGTCTCCTTTAAATATAGTTATGGGATCTGGATGGCTTGCTGGAATCCGGATCTAATGTGCAAAACCATTCGACTATGTCAGACACTGATAGTGATGGGATGGATGTTGATAATAGTACCTCAAAATCATGTAAAGGTAAACTAGTGCTTTTGAGTATAAAATCTCCTCGCCCTCGACGTTCTGCTTTTCGTTTGTTTTTTGTTAAATTGTTGTGATAAGATCTTGATTCTCTTTCGACATCTTTTGGCTTGAGATGACTAATTAGTGTAGCTCTCTTGAAACTCTTGGTTTTACACTTTGTTTCAGAAGTCACACGCTGCGGCTTCTCTTATTTCATGGATCTCTATTCACGTTGCACTCAAACTACGATTAAATTTTGGCATTAGTTATAGGATTAATCGGAAGTTGATTAACTTGTAAGAATATTTCAAGGAACATGTATGACATTTTTTGCCGTTGTCGACGGGTTCACAGGTACAAAAAGGAAAAGTGCTAGCAAAGGGTCAAATTCAAGCAATGTAAACAATTTCTTTGCGGAGTTGTAGTCGTACCTACCATACGGTACTTTTATCTTTTTGTTCGATCGAAGTTTGGTTCCAATGCTGCTGCTATAGGTTTCTATATTTACGACAAATGTTTGTCTAATTTGATTCAATGAGCCATTGATGATTTTCTGTGTTTTGATTTACCATCTGGATTGAACAGTCTCATGATCAATATATAATCTGTTTGGACAAGTTTCGATTTAAGTAATATTTTGACGAGTTGTTTATTAATAATAAGTAACATGTATATATTTTATTGAGAATGATTGTTGTTTTTTATTTATAATCAAAATCAAAGAGCGTTCTTGCTTTTTTGATGTTATGATTGTTTATTTATTTCATAATAATTTATATTTTTTTGATGTTATGATTGTTTATTTATTTCATAATAATTTATATTTTTTTATATTTATATTATTTTTTAAAAGAAATAAATATATGTAATTTTTAATTATTTTGTATTATAAAAATTTATTTTTTATTGGGATTTCATTTTTAAAATATTTAAATATATATTTAAATAAATTTTTTATTATACTATTAAATTTTATAAATATTATTAATTACATAAAAAAAATACTTTGTCTATCTTAATTCAAAATACTATTTTCGTTTGTTTGAGTTCAAAATATCCTTTTAAATTATTAATTATATAATAATGCTAAAATATTTTTAATTTTTAATTAAATTATAAATGTATTACTATATCAAATATCATTGTTTTAAATATTATATCATTAATAAAAATCATTTTTGGGACATAACAATACTCTTTTTGTTTCACTTATGTTAACTCTTTTAATTTTTGTCCATTATACATAATTTGTTTTTGTTTAAATATAATTATACATTTCAATAAAATTTTACAATTTATAATGTTTTTTTTTTTAATCTTAAGTAAATTATTTAGTAATTTTAATTTATAATTATTTTTTAATTTTAATATATTTAGTCATTTTAATTTTAATTTATAAGTTTTTTTATTAATATATTTTTTAAAATACTTTTTAAAATAAAATGGACAACTTAAATGGTACAAAGAGAGAGAGTAAGTTTTAATATTATATTTTAAATATAAATATATAGTAATTACTTTATGGCGTCCGATAACATTTTGACTACATTATTAGAAACAAAAAATAAAAAATAAATCCAGACATAGGAGACAAAATCCAGCGTGTGAATATCACCGCAAATTCACAGTTAGTAGCCGGATTTAATAAACATACAAAATAAAATTAAAATAATAATGACTTAATACTGTTTGATTTATTGGTTATGATGAATTTCCCGTGAAGAAATTCAACTCCTAATTAATAATAACAACAATAAATAAGTTAGTATTGTCTGTCATTTCTCAAATCCGTGCTGTCTCTCTCTCTCTCTCTCTCTCTCTCCTCTCAGTATTTACATATATTATTATCTGCACTGTCTGAAGTGAACCAGGCTCCCATTTTATCCATCGGATTCGTCGTTTTCCATCTCTCTCACTCTAAAATCTCCCTTCAAAAACCCATCTTTATCCATGACTTAAGCATTTTGATTCATCTCCATCTGGGTTTGTCTGTGTCAAGCTTTAATCTTTAATTGCTTATTTTACCTCTGGCTGAGACTGCACTGCCTTTCCCTTTCACTTTCGTCCTTATTATTACAAACATCCAATAAGTGAAACAAACTCCTCTGTTAGCCCCAACTCCTTTTTGCACATGCAGGTGGGAATTCGAAAAAGAATTCCATGAAACTTTAAAAGGGTTTATTTTTGGAGAAATTCTTTGTGGGTGGCTGCTCTCTGTGACTGGCCTCTTTCTGAAAATGAAAAGGCAATAGCGATTACTCCTACAAAATTAATGCTGTGAGGCCTCTTTGTCTTCGTGTCAACTACCCACCACTGCTCTTTCATTTTTTTTGGGATTAAGATGAGATATTGGAGGAATTAAAATTAGGGTTTAATTTTTCTGAGGTGCAGAAATGGGGGAGAAGAAGAAGGACATACCTACGGTCTGGATTTCCTTAAAGAAGTCTCTGCAGTGTCAATCAGAGGCGTCCGATGTGCACAATCCGAAGACGAGGAAGCAGCTTGGGGCAATTTTGACGAGGCCCAGGACCTCGGCGAGGTCCGGGTGCTCGAGGTCGATTGCAAATCTGAAGGATGTGATCCATGGCAGCAGCCGACGGCACATTGAGAGGCCCCCCAGCTGCAGCCCGAGGTCCATTGGGAGCAGTGAGTTTGTGAACCCGATTGCCCACGAAGTCATTCTCAGCAACTCCACTTGTGAGCTCAAAATCACCGGCTTTGGCGGCGCCTTTCACGACGGCGGTGGCGGTGATGCAGCTGCCGGCGCCGGCTCAACTTATGTCGGGACTCTTAGGCCCGGGACTCCTGGCCCTGGGGGACACCCTACAATGCACTACTTCAATCCTTCGTTTAAAAACTCTGCAACAGCAACTGCAACTCCGCCTAGGAAGACGACGATGGGTTCTTCCCTTTTAGGAGAGAGGAATAATGGATCTGCAGCTCCTGGGGCCTTCCATGGCTTCTCCTCTCGAAAAGGGGCCTCCTCCGACAAAGATTCCAACGTTGTTACCTGCCACAAATGCGGCGAGCAGTTTTCCAAGTGGGAATCTCTTGAATCCCATCATCTCTCCAATCATGCTGGTAACTCATTTCAGCCCCAATTTGCCTTCAATTTGTTGCCTGATTCTTGCATCTGTTTGCCCTAATTTGAATCCTGTTCTTACATTGTCTGATTAATTACCATTGATTGATATCTATATATACATATATGTCTGTGTCTGTCTGCATTGTTTTGAATCGAACAGTGTTGATCAATTAGCTATACTTTACCATTACGCAGTCACCGAACTAATCGAAGGCGATTCCTCCCGAAAAATCGTCGAAATCATCTGCCGATCGAGCTGGCTGAAGCCGGAGAATCACTCTGTAAGAATAGATCGAGTTCTTAAAGTCCACAACACACAGAAAACTCTTGCCCGATTCGAGGAATATCGCGAGGTCGTCAAAATTAAGGCCAGCAAGCTCCCGAAGAAGCATCCTCGATGCCTCGCCGACGGCAACGAGCTCCTCCGATTCCACGCCACGTCTCTCGCATGCTCCCTCGGTGCCAACGGGTCGTCGAGCCTCTGCATTTCGGACAAATGCTGCGTGTGCCGAATTATCCGTTACGGATTCTCCGCCCGCCGCGAAATCAAGGGCGGGATCGGCGTTTTCACGACGTCGACGAGTGCGAGGGCTCACGAATGCGCCGAATTGCCCTGCAGCGACGGTGACGATCGATCGCCGACGATGCGGAAAGCGTTGATCGTTTGCCGGGTGATCGCCGGGCGCGTCCACAGGCCGTTGGAGAACATTCAGGACATCACCGGGGCGACGGGGTTCGACTCGCTGGCCGGAAAAGTGGGGCTTTATAACAACATTGAGGAGCTTTACTTGCTTAGTCCTAAAGCATTGCTGCCTTGTTTTGTTGTTGTATGTAAATCCTGAGTACAAACAATGTTGATCGAAGCTTTTGTTAGGACACAAGAAGATGATCTTTATGGACTAATTTTTGCATCAGGTAGAAAAGAAAGGGTTAAAAACAGAATCTTTTATCTACCTTGGTTTGTTTGATGTAGGCCTAATTTGTAATCAATTGTCAGAAAGATGACCACAAAATTGTCTTGAATTTTTGTTCTTATTTGTCTCCAGTTCTCCAATAAATGAGGTTGTGTACGTGGCGGGTGCTGATTGGACGGTGGATGGCCATGAGATGTTTGATTTGTGTGGGAAGGACAGAATTGTCATTTCCTTTGTAATTTCAATTTGGGTATTGGTATTGCAGCATAGTACTGCGACCCCATTAAATGCCGGTGTCGGAAGGGGACTCAAATCTGGATTCAATTTAAATTTAAATTAAAATTAAATTAAATTTAAGTGTCAGAAATTTGAATGCAATGGAACCGCGCCTGTGGGTTCGATGGCCGAGAAGCATTTATTGCAGCTGAGTTTGAATGACGTTTTCAGTAGGGTTCATTTGCAGACAGACACAAGAATTTTCACAACTGTTACTACTAAAATTGAGGGCTTGTATTACTATTATATTTTAAATTTACTTTTAATAAAATAAATAATACTCCGCCCATCCTGCTTACTTTACTCGGTTTAATTTTTTATTTTTATTTTTGGTCTCTTTCACTTATTTTGCTATTTTTTTTAATTATATATTATAATTTTAATAAAAAATATTTTTATTATATTATAATTATTTTTAATAATATATTTTAACTATTTACTAATTATATTACTTATAAATTTTCGGACAATATAGTAGTAGGGACGGATGAAGTAATATTTAATACACAATTAAATATTATTGGATAATGGGCTAGAGTATTTGAAATTTTGAATTTAAGGATGTGTTTCTTTTAATTTGGTACTCTCTCATTCTACTATTTGTTTATATTTATTTCTTTTAGGTAGATTTTATATTCTTAATATATTAATAAATAATATGACAGAAACATAAAAAGTTTTATATTTTTATTTTTGATCTCTAATCTGTTTGTTTTTTGATTCCATTATGAGACTTTTTGGTACAAAGTACAAAAATAAATTCATTCTTGTTCGACCCTATTAAGTTGATCCAGTTCTAATATCATAAAATGTAGGAAGTGAAAATACAATGACAAAAAAAAAAAAAAAAAAACCAAATATTTTTGTGCATCCAATCCATGACTCGTAAAACTTGGTTCGAAGGCTTACTTGAGTCGGTTGGGTAATCTATTTTCTCTACGTTTCGACCAATCCAATTCGCAATTTGAGCTTATAAGCGTTATGCACACAAGAATCTAATCCATAAATTCTCACATGTTGCATGCATGCATGCATAATTTATACATGTCTCAATTTTCTGGTGCTGAGATTGGGTTGGTGACTTGTCTCTATCCCTATGATTTTTAATTCAATAATTTTAGAAGATTACACTTAAATTTTGTTGTGTATCAAAGTTGAATTTTTAATGTTTGTTTTAAGGGTTGGATATTGAACGATAACGATGAAAAATAAATATTTAATTTGCATATATCACTTTCAAAAATGATTTCCATATATATCACCACCATCCGTACTTGCGGCAGTACTATATATATAATAAATCATCATTTCAAAGGTTGACTTAAATAAATAAAGAAATCATTTAAAAATTTGCATATTAGTTCCACTACTTTCACAACTTTTTTTCCCAACTAAAATGTTCAAAAGTTTTATGTGTTTTTTTTCCCTATATAACTTACTTACCTATTATTTTACATACAATTTTTACTGATTTATAAAAAAAATTATATAAAAAGTGAAGGGAAAAATAAAGACATAATACTTTATGACTAAAATATGATCCTACAAACTACAAAAATAAAATTGATAATCAAGCATATATATATGGCCAAAAATGTATTAGTGTGTTTTGATTGTATATTTTTTTTTTACTATGCGCGCAATACTTATATTATTTTTGAATTTACTATCAAATCGAATTATTATTTAAAAAAAAAAAATTAAGAGAACATACCGGCCACATTTATTATGTATGGAATATACGAAACATTGTTTTATTTAGTAAACATAAGTTGTTTTTGTTTAGTATTTTAATTTGAGATATTTTTTTATATAGAATATGAAAAATTATGTCGGTGATATAAAAAATATTAATATTTATGTTGAATATTAAATTTTTATAAATAAATATTATATATATTATATATATTGAAATTGTGTCGGTATAAATTTGATTGAGCAAACAAACTCATTGATTCAACAAAATTAATAAAATATCAAAATATATTTTTCAATGTGCAAAGTTTATTGGATATGGGCTCTTCCAAGTCCAACCCGATGATATTTTAATTTTTATCTATAAAAAGGTATATGGTGAAAAGACAAGGTTAGATGTAAGAAAGATATAAAATACATAAATTTAGATATAACCCCAAAAAAAATATATGGAAAAATGTAAATATAAAACTCTTTCGAATATATATATATATATATATATATAACTAGAGGAATAAATACATAATCACTGAATGAGGAATAAATTCATTATCACCGAATATAAATTACATTTCAATATAAACTTTTTAAAAATATAAATATAATTATATATCATTTTAAAAATATAAATAATAATGAATCTAGTTATATTATATATATATATTAATGAAATGAAAGCAGGAATTGGACAACAAACATATATTACTCCATTCGTCCCACAAAATTTGTCTCTATTTTCTATTTTCATCAGTACCACGTAATTTGTTATTTTTTTTAAAAAAAAATTAATTATACACTTTAATTATATTTTAAAATTTATAATTTATAATTTTGTTAATTTTAATTAACTATTCGGGTATCTTAATTTAATATATAATTATTTTACTAAATAATAATTTTTTTTACTAATATACTTATTAATTATATTTTATCTAAATTCTCATATCACATTCCATCTTATGAGTATTACTTTACTGTTACAATAAAAGAGTGAGAACACGTTTGCGTTCCCACATGGGCTGGGCCTATTCTAGATTCTAAAATTGACAACCAACGGTCAAGATTTAGAGACGTGCTTACGTGGCGTGCGGCCGACCTGCTGAATTAGTAACACGTGATTAATATAAATTAAATAAGGTTTAGCAAAAGATTATAATAATAAATAACCATGAATCACACATTCTCGATTCAATGATACTAATTTAATTAGTGACACGTGCAGCACCACGTTATTATATGTTTTGGCACTATTATTACTATTATTATTTAATATGTATATAAACTCGAATAAAATTATATAATAATAATTTAATATAATATTCTGTAAAAAATAAATACTCCAATACACTTGCACACCGCGGTATCTTCAGACATAGGCCTTGAACCGGCTGAACTAAATGAATAAATTGTTGCATTACTGTTCAACCTAATAACCTGTAAATCAGGTCCGACAAAAAAGTCACACTAGGCGAACAATATGTGGCAGGTGACCTGAGATGTCGGGGGTTTAAACCCAAAACCTTACCGTCACAAATCCACCCTCTACACCACCAGATCATCCCTCACAGGCTGTATTAACTTCTGATACTCTGACTTGTGGTGTTTTATATTGATTTGATTATTTTGGAACCGACATATATATACACACATAGAAGATGCATTCGACCAAATAATTCCATTAATTATAAAACTTTTTACAATTTTTAATTTTTTTTTTTCAAAATTTCAAATAACGAAGCCTAAAATCACTACCGGATCCGACACAGTCCAAAAACAAAACAAAAAAATCCATATATTTTTCACGTCCTATAATGCTATTTTTATTATCATTTTATTTAATCCTAATATTTGTGTTGATAAACTAGTTATAACACGTGCTGTAACAAACGGAAGATAATACTAAAGGTTAGAAAACTAAACGAACAATATCTTTATCCTATGGTAGCTATGATATATCATATCATCATTGGCTGTGTGATGATAAGTTTGGATAAGATAACCCTTTTAATAATTAAATAAATAAATACTACAATACTAAAGAAAATCACAATTATTCACAAGTCAATGATAAAAATTATAAGTGGTCAATTAAAAGATATGATATGATACTGTTCCATTGCTGACTTAATCAAAAAAGTTACTCAATCTAGGCCTTAAATTTCAAAACTAGCATATGTCTATGTCCTAATTTTATATTTTGAAAATAATAATAGTTTGTTGGAGTTAAGATTTCATATATAGGTCTTAGAAACACATGTTTTGGCAGTTATTTTATTGGTATGGCAATTTGCAACAACACCACCACAATAACCAAAACTAATTATTAGTAATTCCTCCACGTTCCATAACAAAGTATCCATTTTTTCATTTTAATCCGTCCTATAACAAAGTATCCATTTCTTCTTTTAGTAACTGTATTATCTACCTAACATTACAAATACCTTTACAACTTACAATATATTACACAAATGCTATAATCTTTATATCACACATACTAATAAGGTTATTTTGGTCATTTCTACTTTATTCATACTATATCTCAATATAATACTAATATTTACGTGCAAAAAACAAATAGATACTTATTTCTGGGACGAAAAGAGTACTTCATTAAAATATCTCTCGGTTTTCTCAAAACACACATATTTATTTACAAATAAATGAAAGGAATAACGACTAATTTGAGATTTGTATTTGAAAACATTAAAAATAATAATAATAATAATAAATAACGAGTTTTGTGAATATATTTGTTTTTAGAATGACTTCAAGGTTGGTGGCAATATTTGTTTGGGGATTTTCTTCAAACTTTACTATTTATTCCATTTTTTTTAAAAAAAAATATTTAATCAAATACTTATTTTTTTATTTTTTTATATTATACTAAAAATTAAATTTACATTCGTAATATCACATCAATGCTTATTTATATCATAGGAACAACAATCGTTGTAAGTATCATATAATATCACCAACCATCTCATAGTGGGAATTTTCTACCTAAGCTATATGCTTATGACGACCTATTTAATTATTGTTATTATGATTATTTTTAATAGTGGGAATGCAATATAATGTATATTGTATAATTAATGTAATTATAAAATACATTATTTGCACTGTAATTACTGGACGTGTAGATCTAATTAGCACATGAGGAAAAGAACTTTATAGGCCCCATGCATATTTATTATTATTATTATTATTATTATTAATGACGTGATACTATGTAGTTATTCTTAAGCTCTGTCTAAGTATATTCATATCGAACCTAATAATTTACAAAACTAGGCCAGCAAAGTAATTATGCCTTGTTATAAATTAGGACATTTATAAAAGTGTTCCGTATAATTTAAATGAAGAGGACATTTTATATGTAAATTGAGAGTGTTCTTTTAACTAAATCTTTTTCAAAAAAATTAATATATTATATATATTTATTATTTTTATATTACCTACGTAATTCCTCATGTCTCACGATAAAAAATATCTCTGCAAACCAAAATACAAAAAAATACATGGACTTTATTAAGTAACATTTTTGAAAGTTTTGGAAAGTAAAGTTGGTTATTTGATTTATATTTTGACATGTAATAAACTTTTAATAAAATGTCCGTTTCAATTTAATATATCATTTTTTTTTTTTGTATCATTTAAAAATATTTATTTTTTAATTATAATAAAAATAATCAATACTCAAATACCCCTAGTTTTTATCAAAATATTATTTTCTGTGTATTTTCAAGGACTAAAATATTCAAATTATGTTTTACATTTTTATTCACCAATAAAATATTACTCCATCCGTCCTAAATACTCTGCAACATTTTTTTTGGTATGTCCCAAACACCTGCAATATTTCCAAAATAGGAAATAATTAATTATATTTAATCTCTACCTTAAACTTTATCCCCTCACATCATCCAAATAAAAAATAAAGTATATATTTCTCACTTCATCACATTACCTAATTTCTAAATTATTCTATTTAATGCTACCCACCTAAAAACCTGTGTCAAAAGTAAATGTTGCAACTTGTTTGAGACGGAGGGAATATTATATTTTAACCTATTACAAAAATATAAAAGGGTACATTTATTGGTACCATGAATTTATTGAGTTTTAGAGTGAATTCTTTCGGTATCTTTCTTTTAATTTGCATAATCATTCTAGTAAAATCATAAAAAAAGTATATAGATGTATTATATAATTATAAATCTTACTTTAAAGAAAAGTAGAAGAAATAACTAAATTAAATAAGGGAAAATAGCAAAAAACCCTTGTGGTTTCCAAAATATTGCAAAAAATTCTTCATATGTTAGGATTTAACAATGGTTATATATCACGCGTCTAAAATATAATTTTTGGTCCATATATTTCTGTATAAAATTACTAAAATACCCTGGCTTCTTCTTCCTCATTTTTTTCTTTCTTTCTTCTTCGTACTTTTAGAATTTAATCCAAATTCTATTTTATTTTATTTTATTTTAAATCCGTTAAACACAATCAAATTGAAATCGATCCCAAATTTATAATACAATTAATCAACCGGACATTGAGATGAATACGAGAATGCATAAGTTATTACTCACTGTTGATTTTTTCTTCTGTTCTACCAAACCCAAAAATCTAATAAATAAGAATTGGGGAAGAAAAAAGAATAATTGAGGAGGAAAAATAAAGACTAAATAAAATTGGAAAAAAAAATAAAAATTGTTGTCCAGCTTTTCTTCTTCCCCTTCTCTTCTTTCTTCCTTCCTTCTTCCTGCTCCAACCGTCTTCTGTCCGTGTCTTCTTTCTCTTCTTATTCTCTAATTCTTCATTCTTCAAAGTTTTGAAGAATTGGAGATGAAGAAGGAGAAAAAAAAAATTGAGAAAAAAGAAGAAAAGAACCAGTACTGCTGCCGCATGAAAAATAATTGGGGAACAAAAAGAAGAAATTGAGGAAAAATAATAAAAGAAAGAGTTGAGCGTGTTAAAAATTTGGGGAAATAAGAAGAAGATGGAAGAAAAAAGTTAGGAGAAGAAAAGAGAGAGAAACAAATTAAAAAATATATAAACAAAGGTATAACCGTCAAATTTGATAAAAGTTTTAGCGTCCGTTAATCAAATTTAGAGATGAGAGAGTATGCAATATTTTGGAAACCACAAATAAATTTTTTATAATTTTAGAACCACGAAGAGTTTTTGGCGAATTCGTAAAATAATACATGGATTTTTTTTTATTTTTATTTTTTCTATTTTACCGTTAAATAAAAAACATTACTAACATATTAGTATCAAACAGTCCTCCAAAAATTAACCATACAATTGTGCCGTTGGGGCCATAAATGCAAGTATAAAGAAAACTTCAACTTTTATTACTAAACTATCACATCACCGTTTATTATAACTATATATTATTTGCATGGAATAAAATGAGCCGAGCTTTATTCTTTCTATTAGATATATATTATCATTAAATAAATATTTGTAATCCATGTGAACATAATTTTTATAATTCTAGTCTATGCTTTTAAAATAATAAAAAAAAAGGATTTGTATACATCCTCCTTTATGCTTTATTATCTGGGGTGCTTAACATTTAGAAAAGTTTCAAGAATTTTAATTCAGTTATTCAAGAAAGTGAGAATGTGTTTGCTAGTGGTTCATAAATTTTACTCCGTAATTCAAATATATTTTATTTTTCTTTTTAGGTTGTTATAAAAAAATATTTTTATTTTTTAAAAATAAAATATCATTAATTACTCATTATTGTCAAAATTTATGTCGGATCAAATTAGCACATATTTACGTGATCGAAAGAGTAATTTAAATGCAAATATGAATATTGAATTGATGTATTAAAAGAAAAAAAAAATTCAGACAAAATTAATTTCATTACAAATTATATATAGTGAAAAAATAGAACAAAATCACGAAGTAAATTTATTGAAGGTTGTTTCGAAGCATTAAGAGCGTGTTTGACCGTCAGTCGTACCGCGTTGCCACGTCAGGTCAATATAGTCAACAACTTGTTAATTCTAATCCCACGTGTCGACGTTATCATCTGCAATTGGTCAGAACTGTTACCGTCAGAGCGTCACGTTGTTGTCACGTGATCGTCACTTCCTCATCGGCTCTCTCCATCTCGGCTCGGCTTAAGCTGGCTAACTCTCCTACATCACTCCTGTAGCCCGCGCGTGTCGCTCACTCTCAGATTTCAAAACCTGTTATTCTAGTAGGTCGGCTAGCGTGCATTGCACGAACGCCTTCAGAGAGCGGCCACGTGCGCAGTCTCATTCAGCTCGGCGTGGGGCGGAAGTTGTGGTCGGCGCCAACACAAACCGTTCAATAAATCGTCATCAATGTCGTCAACTAAAAACCTACACTCACTCACAGTCAACCCTCCGTTACCGTCACCGTTAACTCCTCGGAGTATCCATCCTCTCTCTATATATATGTAATTCGGTCATCGTTCCCACTCAGCGTTCAGATTTCGAACATCGATAAACACCCTGTTGATACTTAATATTCTATTCCTTCACCAAAGTTGCTCGGAACCTCAATTTCTGCTGGTAATCTGCGAAAGACTTCAGGTAATTTGGATTCCTCTCCGCTGTAGGTTTCCGTTATTTGTTCCGTGTTTTGCTTTCGTGAGAGCTGCTCTTTCGTTGAATCGCCGATTATGGTCTTTCTATGATTTAATCTTCGTTGAAAAATGAGGAATAAGAACAGAAAAGTCTTCTCTTGTTTGGAGTTTCATTGACGTTCTTTAGGATTTTAAATTTTTTGGGGAAAAATTTTGAGGAGACCTGAGCGTAGTCAAGGGGGATTTTTATCGAGAGTTGAAATATTTTTGGACCTTAGTACTTATTGATAGTCTACCAATTTTTAATTTCTTTGCTCCAATGCTTTCGGTAAGTTTCGTCGAGTTTTCAGAGAAATTGGAATGTCCATGTAAAGTGGATGTGGTTGGATGGTTTGAATTGGTATCTATATATAGATAGCAGTCTGCATAACTTTCTGATGTAAATCGGATAGGCTTTCGTGAATCAGTTTGTGATATCTTGGTATTACCTGCTTTTACGCATTTTCTTTATTCATGTTTGAGTTAATAAGATTACGTTGTCATGGAGCTTTTCTGTTGGATGTTCAACGATCTTAATCTCTAATAGTTGTTGTTTGGCTTGGTTGGTATTGGTTGGTTATGTTATATTGTTATTCACATAGCCTAAAGAACTGTCTACCCGATAAGCAACCCGCGTCGAATTTAACAGTGATAGGGTGCCATTTTTAGAGGATGATAAAAACAGAACATATACACCAATAGCTGATGCTTATATGTCGATCTTGTTTGTTACAGGTTGCTCGAAACTTGTTTGCTTATTGGTGAGGACCTATCTTTGGATCTTTGGCAGGAAGTCGAGATAATAGACTAATGCTTGCCATATAGAATGGATTCTCAATATTTTGGGTATAGTATTTGTGGTGCAGAGTTACCCTATCCTTCTTATTCTACTGTCTCCTCCATACCAGCAAAGCTGTTCCAACCCTTGACATTTAGCTCAAGAAACTCTCCCAATTCGCCGTTCTCTACTCAGTTCGATACAGAGACAATCCCAACATACAGCGACAGCCTTGAACAGCATAGTTCGTCCGATAACTTCTCTGCTGTCACCCCTTGCAATACTTCTCTGGATTCCAACAGCTACCGTAAAGAAGGAAGGCCATCTCCCTTCTGCCGCCAGAATAGTCTACCATATCATTCCACTGAATCGCCTTTCCAACCGAATGCAAATAACTATCAGAGCATAAGGCACGTGTTGCAGGAGTTGGAGAGCACTCTTATGGCTCCGGACGAAGATGATGAAGTCACGACGTCGTCCGAGCCCTTCTTAGGAGGTAATAAGCGACCTCATCCGCTTGGTCCTAGGTCAAGATCGTGGAACCAGGAAGCCCAGATATCGTCACCTGGCAGTTCCCGTTTCGGGAGCTCGAGCAGTGAGGTCCATCTTCCACGACACCAAGGATCACCGGAGGACTTTGCAGTACACGGCGGTGCTCCTCCGAGCAATCTGAAACAGCTTCTGATGGCGTGCGCCGGAGCTCTGTATGAGGATAAAGTATATGAGTTTGAGAAACTCGTCGCACAGGCTCGAACCAAAGTTTCTATTAGCGGGGAGCCGATACAGCGCCTCGGCGCTTACATGTTGGAAGGGTTGATAGCAAGGAAGGAGTTGTCGGGCACAAACATATACCGCGCCCTGAAGTGCAACGAGCCGGAGAGCAAGGAGTTGCTGTCGTACATGCACATTCTCTACGAGATATGCCCGTATTTGAAATTCGGGTATATGGCAGCAAACGGCGCAATCGCAGAAGCATGTCGACACGAGGACCGCATCCACATCGTCGATTTCCAGATCGGACAGGGGACACAATGGATGACTCTCTTGCAAGCACTTGCAGCCAGGCCTAGCGGTGCCCCTCATGTCCGAATTACTGGTATCGACGATCCCGTCTCACAGTACGCCCGCGGAGACGGCCTATCGGCAGTGGGATGTCGCCTCGCAGCGATCTCCGAGAAATTCAACATCCCCGTCGAGTTCCACGCCGTTCCAGTTTTCGCGCCGGATATCACCCGGGACTTGCTCGATGTTCGCCCCGGCGAGGCCCTGGCGGTGAATTTCCCGCTGCAGCTCCACCACACTCCCGACGAGAGCGTCGACGTTACGAATCCAAGAGACGGGCTTTTACGAATGGTGAAATCGCTGTCGCCGAAGGTGGTCACTCTGGTGGAGCAAGAATCGAACACGAACACGGCCCCGTTTCTCCCGAGATTCAAAGAGGCTCTGGAGTTTTACTCAGCGATGTTCGAGTCGATAGACGTGACGATGCCGAGGGAGAGGAAAGAGCGGATCAACGTGGAGCAGCACTGTCTGGCGAGGGACATCGTGAACATCGTGGCGTGCGAAGGAAGGGAGAGAGTCGAGCGGCACGAGCTACTGGGGAAGTGGCGGTCGAGGTTTTTGATGGCCGGATTCCGGCAGTTCGCGCTGAGCTCGTACGTGAACTCGGTGATTCGACAGCTGCTGAGATGCTACTCGGAACACTACACGTTGGTAGAGAAGGATGGGGCGATGCTGTTGGGATGGAAAGACAGGAATCTTGTTTCTGCATCTGCTTGGTGCTAATCTAATCTCGAATCTGAATCTAAGGTAAGTATATATGGGAATGGGGGATGTTGTTTTCAGTGTCAACCAAAATTTTGCATGTTCCTTATTGTTCTTATACATTTGATCGATTGATTAATTGATTAGTTGGTTAATAATATGTCGACTGCTTCAACCTTTTTGTCTTTAGTTACCTATTCTAATTCGATTATTTTCCTATCTATGGGCAAATTATTGAAACACATTCAGCCACGTTATTGGATTACCAAAATAGTAGCTAAAGAGTTATGATGTTACTAAAATGTATAAAGAAGAATATCATATTGCATTTAAGCAACTTTAGTATCTTATGTCATAATTGCATGTATTATGTATAATATATAACTCAATATATTACTATTATAAGTATATGTATTCACGATTTACCAAGAAAATACTGTTTTGTTAAGGATTTTTTTTATATAAAATAAATTAATAATAATGAAAAAATTATAAAAATAATGGCTCGGTTTGATTATATGGGCTACATAGGCTGCAAGAAACCTAAGCATAAAAAATAAATCCAAAGATTTGTTTTTGTTTTTGGTTTTTTCGAAAAAATATATACTAGTATATATTTATAATTATCAAATCAACCCATATATTTATTTTCTTTTATTAAAAGAATTAAAACCAAAAATATCGAAAAAAGCCAATTAGTCATCAGTGCAAGCAAAATAGGTCATAATTTGAAAAAAAGTGGATAAATTTAAAATAGGGATTATCGGTGGGGGTGAGATCATTTATATATAGTATAATTTTATTGAATTTGGTATATAGGTGATATGGCAAGTCATTTCCTAATGTGGGTTTAAAGCTTATCTTATTAATGAATGAATGAGAATGAGGATGAGAAGAATGAGATGGTTGAGGTTAAGTTACTCTAACAGACAGGTAAAGTTTGAGTACACAACATCCAAAAGTTCAAGATCAACCAAGGAAGCAAACAATTTTACTAAAAAAAACCAAAGAAAAGTACCACTTTCAACTGATTATTCCCCTCAAGGCAAGGCACTCACTCTAAACGACGTACAAATAATATATATATATATATATATAGTTCATTCGATCGATATATATAAAATGGAAGCAGCAGCAGCAATAGCAGTTATTTGGTTGGTGTTGGTGGGTGGTGGTGGTGGTGATGGCAAGTGCATTACTAATACTGATACTAATACAAATATTAGTATTAGTATTAGCCGGGGTGATTTCCCAGACGGCTTCGTTTTTGGGACCGCTTCTTCGGCTTACCAAGTAAGTTGGTCTCTCTCTCTCTCTCAATTAATCAATTACTTTATTGGTTCCATGGAATAATGTTGAGCTGAGTTGCAGTTTGAAGGAGGTGCCAATGAAGGCCATAGAGGGCAGAGCATTTGGGACACCTTCGTCAAACAACCAGGTTATAGCAATATATAGCTTCTTCACCTCTTCTCTTCAATTCTTCATCTGTAATTAAGTTGAGCTGATCTGACACATGACAAATCTTGTCTAAAGTGGGAAGAATTTTGGACTTGAGCAATGCAGACACCGCAGTTGATCAATATCACCGCTTCAAGGTCCTCTCTCTCTCTCTCTCTCTCTCTCTCTCTCTCTCTCTCTCTCTCTCTCTCTCTCTCCTCCAGGACCATATATATACATATATATGTCGATTGCAGAGTGACATCGACTTGATGAAGGACTTGGGCATGGATGCTTACCGATTCTCCATTTCATGGCCAAGAATCTTGCCCAGTAAGTACCAATCAAATTCATCATCAACTCAACTCAACTATATAATAATACCTTACAATTAATTACAAACAGATGGAACCGGCGAACCCAATCCTCAAGGGATCCAATACTACAACAATTTGATCGACTCTTTACTCCTAAAAGGTTCCAACAACACTTACATTGCAAACACCCATCCATCACATCCCAATTTAAACCTTTTTTTGTTCAAGGAATCCAGCCTTATGCAACACTGTACCATTGGGATCTCCCGCAAGCTCTCCAGGACAAATATGGAGGTTTTTTGAGCACTCAAATAGTGTATGTCAAAATCAAATCTTCCATGTTTCAAACATGCTTCAGTTTCACCATTGAACGACAGTTTTACTTAACACAATAATGCAGGAACGATTTCGTCGAATACGCCGACATCTGCTTCGAAGCGTTCGGGGACAGAGTGAAGCATTGGATGACATTCAACGAGCCACACGGTATCGCGCTTCAAGGCTTCGATACCGGCATCCAAGCCCCTGGCCGGTGCTCCATTCTCGGACATTTGCTTTGTCGACGAGGCGAATCCTCCGTCGAGCCTTACGTCGTAGCTCACAACCTTCTCTTGTCCCACGCTTCGGCTTATCGTAGCTATCGAAGAAATTTCAAAGTAAGAACAATATAATTACTTGCATATCTACATAGGTCCGAGGCTGATCGTCGCGCAATTTCAGAAAACGCAACGAGGCTCGGTTGGGATAGCGTTGGATGCCAAATGGTACGAGCCGTTTTCGAGCAGCAACGAAGACGTCGATGCGGCAGAACGAGCAATGGATTTTGGACTTGGATGGTAATGCATTGCAGAGTAGCTACATACCTTCTCGAATTTTGTCGAAATCGTTAGTAGTAACGACAACGTAAATCAGGTTCCTCGATCCACTTTTACTTGGTCGATATCCTCTTTCGATGAAGAAACTCGTGGCTGAAAGGCTCCCGGAGATCGATCCGGAGGTGTCTAAACTTTTAAGAGGATCGCTCGATTTCATCGGCCTAAATCATTACACTACATTATACGCTCGCAACGACAGAACTCGAGTCCGTAAGCTCATTCTCAAGGATGCATCGAGCGACGCTGCTGTCATAACCGCTTGTAAGAAATCGATCATTTGTTTTCGTCGATAGAGAACATACAGTGATGATACTAATTTGCACCGTCCTTGTTTATTTCTAGCTTCGCGACATGGTGTTCCGATTGGTGAAAATGTAAGCCTCGAGTTCTTATAAATGTATTGTAATATTCATCGTCTAGACTTATATATATATATTGATCGTTGATCGATTCCAGAGCGCTTTGCATTGGTTGTACGTTGTCCCGTGGGGCATTCGGAAGCTGGCGAACTACATCAAAGACAAATACGATAATCCACCTGTAATCATCACAGAAAACGGTGAGCGAGCTACAAAATTATCGACAACAACGCCAGTTACGACATACCTAATGTCTTAAAACTGATTTTCTCCAATGTATATATTTCAGGGAAGGATGATCGTAACAGACCTCTTGCAGCATTTAAAGATGTTTTGAATGACGAGAAGAGAATAAGCTATCATAGGGATTATCTTTCAAACTTGTCTGCAGCAATCAGGCAAAGATCAAAAGCTCATTCTTGTACAATTTTTCGAGTATTCGGACACATTCATATATGGGATGCTAAGAACTGATTCTTACATACTGCAGGCTCGATAAGTGCGACGTTCGCGGCTATTTCGTATGGTCGCTGCTCGACAACTGGGAATGGAACATGGGTTATATGGTTCGGTTCGGGCTATATTACGTCGACTATAAGAACAATCTCACCAGGATACCCAAGTCCTCTGTTTCTTGGTTCAGAAACATGCTGAGACCGGCATCGATGACGACGACGGCGGAGTTATCGAATTTGGAGTTGCTAGAAAGTTCTGTCTAATGGATTGCCTCCTGTATAACATCTACATCTGTTGTATAGCGTTGTAACATATAGCATATTGAACACATTTACATGATTCTTTGAAGTGTATATCGAGGAGTTGAGTTGAGTTGTTGTATGAGAATTAAGAATGCAATGTGAGGTTTTATGTATTTATTTTCAAGGAACATTTGATGTGACTAACACAGAACTTGGAAATCAAAGCAAGAAGAAAATGGTTTTTGATTTTGATAAATAATTTGAGGGTGGCTTCTCGCATCAAACATCAACTAATTTTTTCTTTTCATTCAATTTTTTTTAATATTATATTAAAAATTAATTTTTCATTCAAAAAATTATATATAACATCTATTTATATTACATTATATAATTATTTTAATTCAAAAATTTTACTATTAAAATTTCAATCAAAATCCAATCTGCCAAACAAGTACATGTTTTGAAATAAAAAATAGTACTTGAGTTCTATGTGTTATGGTCTTAGCAACTAAGTATTAGTAAAAATAATTATAATTTAACAAACATAATTATAGATTAAAATTAATTAATCTAAATAGTTTAATTAAAATTAAAAAATTTATAAAATATGAATTTTTTAAAAAATAGTGATTATTATAGAAATATTGGCTTAACTTTTAGATTTTTGTATTTTTCATACTTCAAGTTAGATTGTTATTGTATATAAATATTTATAAGAAGAATAATTTTTAAAAAAATCGAAATTAGTTATATATAAACAACAAAATTTTGTACCGTAACGTTGCAGTGTGCGGTTGAACTTGTCACCGTAAAGTCATAGATGTAAACCCCGATGTCACTTGTCACACATAATTCACCTAGTGTGATTTGCCTTATCATGCTTAGTTTGCAAACTATTAAGTTCGATCGAAAATTCACCATGGCTTTGTTATTTTAAATTATAAATATAATATTTTGTTAAAGATCATAACATCTTTTAAAAATAATAAAATTATAATATTAAAAAGTAATGGTAAAAAAAAAAAAACTATCTTAATCGTTAGCTACTTAACCATGTCTCATAACACCGTTGTCTTTAAATAAAGTCGTCAGACTCTAAGAAAAACAAAAAAAAATAGGTCTTATAAAATTTTAAAAAATATATATTGTAAAAATATATATTTTTTAAAATCATAAATATAGTATTTTATTATATGTAACATATTTTACAAATAATAAAATTAAAATATTAAAAAGTAATTGTAAAAAAAAATTGCAAATTATCTATTTTTACCATAAAATCTTGTTTTTCGAGTATTTTTGGATTATTTATTAATTGAACAAATTTAATATTTGTTATTTCAAAATATTATTTGTGATAAAATATTATTTAATTTTAGATAATTTATTAAAATATTAATATATTCAAATAAAATACAATTTTACCAAATTTATATTTGACAGATAATAATATAAATATATATAAGGAGACACACTATTAAGGTTGTGTTTGTTTTGGGGATTGGATTGGATTTACACTATTTATTCAATTTTTTTCCCTAAAAGACATCAAATCAAATACTTATTTTTCATTTTTTATATTATACTAAAAATGAATCTTACATTCAAAATATCACATCAACGCCTATTTATATCACATCATACAACTATTCAAATTCAAAATTTTTACTATTCAAACTAACTCAAAATCCAAACTCCCAAACAAACTCGCCCACATCTTTCCTTTTTCTTCAATAGTTTTGCTTATTTCTTTTTCTTTGTTTTCTCTTTCCTTTTTTATCTTTTACTTTCTTGTTTTGCTTGCATTTATTAATTTTATTTTCTTATTTTTCTAGTTTTTCATTCCTTCTTTCTTTCCATTATTACTTTTTTTTCAAACATGATTCTACATCATTTTCTAACAAACATGATTCTACCTCCTTTTCTAAGGAGATTGGAGAACCCACTCAATTTTTGGTAAAATGAATTCGTCTGATATAAAGATAAAATTTGACAATTATTATAATTTGTTTGTAATTTAATTCTTGTCTCACATCTCTAGGAAGATTTATTTTTATTTTTATTTTTTTTCTTTTCTAATGAATTATGATACTTCATACTTTTGTTTCTTTGTATTAAGGCCCTAGTTTGTATGATTTTTTTTTTTTTATTCTTTGTTAGGATCGATTTGCTGTAGCACTTTCTGATCTTGATTAATATTAATATAATGGATTATTAAAGAGATGTAAAAGTTCGTGGAATTTGACCGTCATACTACGAAATCAAATCAAATTTATCACGAATTCTGTACTTCCGGAAACTTGAGAGGGTATTGGTGGAAGCACAAGAACATATCTCGATCTTAGTTCGGGAGAAATAGTCTAAACAAATTCTCCCGAACTTACGGAAACATAGGTATAAATATAATCATCAATGTATAAATATAATTTCCAATACCTTTTTTTTAAAAGTAATTGATGATTTTTAGTTTGTAGGTGAAGGTAGGTGATTTTGGTACGATGAGATATAAATAAATATTAATATAATATTTTGAATATAAAAATAATTTTTAATATAATATAAAATATAAAAATAGATATTTAATTTGATTTTTTTTTTTTAATAAAAAATAATAATAAATAGTAAAATTTTTTATAGAATCCCTAAGAACAACACAAGCTTAGTTATTGAAAGTATTGGATTGTGTATGAAGAAAAGTTTAGATAAAAATTTTTTGAAAGCTTTTTTTGCTTTTGAAATTCTTTTTAAAATAATCAAAATTTAGTATTTAACACTATAATGTTCTATATAAAAAAGAAATATTTAACTTTAATATATATGTTTTTAAATTACTTTTGATATTTTAGTGTAAAATTGTAATTATATTTAAATATAAAGATGACAAAGTAAGGAGATTTATATATAACTATCATGCTCAGTTCATTTTTAAGATATTTTTTATTTAATAAAGAATTATTATTAAAGTTATTTATAAAATATATTACTCCCTCCCTCTTAGATAATTTATTCACTTTTTCTATATCACATATAATTTATCATGTTATTTTTTTGAAATATAATCATATATTTTAATCATATTTTAAAATTCATAATTTATAATTTTTTTAATTTTAATTAAATTATTTAACTATCTTAGTTTTAATCTATAATCGAGCATCGGCGGAGGAAGAGGGGACTTGTATGCCGGTATCGAAGCCTTGAAGTGCAATATCCTGTGGCTAGTTGAATGTCATCCAATGCTTCACTCTATCCCTGAAAAAGCTTGGAAGCAGATATCAGCGTATTCAACGAAACTATTACTACTACTATCAATGAATCATTTTACACATGTGTATCTCTTGTCCCCTCCTCTCTCTCTCTACTACTACAAGTATGTGTAGTAGTCGAAAGAGAGAGTAGGGGACAAGGGATACCACATATGAAAATCATTCATTCATCCATATTTCTCATCTTCATCCTTATTCATGAATGAATAAGATAAGTTTAAAACCCACGTTAATTAGGAAATGACTTGCCATATCACCTAAGTTTTAATCTATAATTGAGCATCGGCGGGGGAAGAGGGGACTTGTATGCTGGTATCGAAGCCTTGAAGTGCGATATCGTGCGGCTCGTTAAATGTCATCCAATGCTTCACTCTGTCCACAAATGCTTGGAAGCAGATGTCAGCGTATTCAACGAAATTATTACTACTACTATCAATGAATCATTTTACACATGTGTATCTCTTGTCCCCTCCTCTCTCTCTTTACTACTACAAGTGTGTGTAGTAGTCGAAAGAGAGAGTAGGGGACAAGGGATACCACATATGAAAATTATTCATTCATTCATATTTCTCTATCTTCATCCTTATTCATGAATGAATAAGATAAGTTTAAAACCCACGTTAATTAGGAAATGACTTGCCATATCACCTCAATTTTGGATCCAAAATTAGTCTAAATTTTCAAAATTCTTCACACTAATTTTGCAATAGATGAACTCATATAGCACCAAGAATGTTATTTTTTGCACATGGAGATATCATTTTGAAGAAACTTCAATGTATATATGAGGTCAGGGTATTCATGTTGGCTATTTCGATGTTGTACTAGATCTCTCCATCTCCATCACCAGTTCAATGAAGGTTACAGATAAGAATTTAAAACATATTTTTTAGTCATAAAAAAAAATAAATTAAAAAAAAGTATAAAAATTATACTTTTTTTTTTTTTTTTTTTTTTCTTACCGTGAACATCACTTTAAAAAATGTTCTCAAAGCAAATAAGTTTATTTTTACTCAACTACGGAAGAATAATTATCAAATAATTTTACGATTAAGTTTAACTAATCAAAAAATTATTATTATACATAGGGGAAAATGTATTACAAAATAGTGAAGGGAAGACTCCTTTGACTGCATTTCTTTGGTAAAAGTTTAGAAAGTTTTGGTTTTAATTTCATATTAAGATAATGTTTATATTAAAATAATATTTGATGAAATATTTTGTAAAATTAGAATTTCGATTCTCTAAAAATAATACTCCCTCCGTCCCATAACAAGGTATCCATTTACTTTTTTCGTGTTGATCTTTGAATATTAATTATTGTATTAAATCGTATTACAAATAAAGAGAAAATGACAAAAATACTTCTATTTGTGTCATATAATACTAATATAATGACATTTGTATTAAAAATTATACAAATATAAGGATATTTTCAATGTTAATACAATGATGCAAAAGACAAATGAATACTTTGTTATGGGGCGGAGGAAATATGTTATATTTTTTACATAATTTTCTATACTACACAAAAAAAAAAAAAAACTTCAAAATAAAATTAATTACTCATTACAAAAAAATCAAATATTTAATTTAAAATAACATATTTTATATTTTTAATACAATTCTCTATAATACACACTGAAAATTAAAATATCCAAAGTGTTTGGTATAGAGAAATAAAAATATCCTCATTTTTCTTATTTAGTTGAGACAGATAATTGAGAGTTGGGAAATAAATCGTTTCTTGTTCCTAATTTTATTTTTCTCTAATGAAATAGAAAGAGTCAGGGTGTTTATTTATTTTATTTATTTTATTTTTTTATATTTAATTTTTACAATGTAATTTGTATTTATTTGTTATATTTTCTTATTATTATTTATTATAATGTTTATATTATAAAAGTTTCGTGAAATATCATATTTAAATTATTATTAAAATAATTTATCAAA